CGATAGTCGTAGCGCTAGTTTGTTTTGTGAATGGGGCCTTGGAGTCGTCCCACAAAGCAATCGTATACGACTGTCGAATGCCTGTGTTAAATTAAAGTACGGGAATTAATGTCATCTCAGCGCTGAGATACCTTTGAGAAACGGGACCTAGAGGTATAGCGGTATACCACCGCAAGACGTCTGCCTTGCCCAGCTGACTTAAATTAGTCTGTTTGTGTGTACGGGCCTTCCTCTGAGTCTGAGAATGACGCACATACATTATAGCGACGGTAAGTCAGAGATATTGCTTGCAAGGAATCGAGGTCCCATTAACAAGTACTTTTGCCATAACGACCTCTTTTTCTCGTTGCAAAACAATATTCTAGATGAACTGATTTAACAAACTGCTAATGATCTTTTTCAAAACAATCACTCGGCAAGTAGTTTCTTGTACATGATATGCAACGTATATCATCTGCTAGCTATGTTTGTATCACTTCGGGCAGCGCGGACAACGCTGATTAGTTTTCCTTATATGGCACACAGTCACGTGACGTATGAAAGGCGAGTAAGCTGAGGTGAAAGTCACCTCTCCCAAATATCGATCAGCACTGGCCTTGACGGTAGTTAATGGAAGCTATGGCTTCATCAATACCCGAATGACCATCTGTCAATAGCTCTAATAACTCGGGTCGGGTGACCAGGTGTGTTGTTCTACCTTCTCGTGGAACTCGAACTGTGGTCTTAGCCTAGCCTTGCTCCAAGGCTGTACTGAATGATAAGTCCATGGTGGTGTAGTGTTTCTGTCCTTGTAATAGACAAGTCTAGATAAGCAGACAATACAAGGACGCCAGTGCCTTATAGGGACAACTTGTTCTTATCACTTATATAATCAAGGAATTATGATTTGAACTAATATTTACTAATATAGAGACTTGTGTAAGTCTAGAAAGAGCCCACGGGCAGGGGATTGTTGTCCCAGATTGAACGTGTGTGTGTGTGTGTGTGTGTGTGTGTGTCTGTGTGTGTGTGTGTCTGTGTGTGTGTGTGTGTGTGTGTGTGTCTGTGTGTGTGTGTGTGTCTGTGTGTGTGTGTGTGTCTCTGTGTGTGTCTGTGTGTGTGTGTGTGTGTGTCTCTGTGTGTGTCTGTGTGTGTGTGTGTGTCTCTCTGTGTGTGTGTGTGTGTGTCTCTGTGTGTGTGTGTGTGTGTCTGTGTGTGTGTGTGTCTGTGTGTGTGTGTGTCTCTCTGTGTGTGTGTGTGTGTGTGTGTCTCTCTGTGTGTGTGTGTGTGTCTCTGTGTGTGTGTGTGTCTCTGTGTGTGTGTGTGTGTCTCTGTGTGTGTGTGTGTGTGTCTCTCTCTGTGTGTGTGTGTCTCTGTGTGTGTGTGTGTGTCTCTGTGTGTGTGTGTGTGTGTCTCTGTGTGTGTGTGTGTGTGTCTGTGTGTGTGTGTGTCTGTGTGTGTCTCTGTGTGTGTGTGTGTGTGTGTGTGTGTGTGTGTGTGTGTGTCTCTGTGTGTGTCTGTGTGTGTGTGTGTGTCTCTGTGTGTGTGTGTGTGTGTGTGTGTGTGTGTGTGTGTGTGTGTGGAGGGAGGTAGTGTGTGTGTGTGTGTTAGTGAGTGAGTGAGTGAGAGAGAGGGTGGGGTGGGGGGGGGGGGGGTATTGTGTTGGTGTGTGTGTGTGCGTGTTTGAGTATACGTGTGTTTTTGTGTGTGTGTGTGCGTGTTTTTGTTTGTTTGTGTGCGTGTGTGTGCGTTTGATTTTGTTTGTGTGTGCGTGGTTTCTTTTATTTGTGTGTATGTGGGTGTCTGTGTGTGCGCGTTTGTCTGTGTGTATGTGTATGCGTGCGTGTGTGTGTGACTTAGTGTGTCTGTGTGTATTTTAAAGAAGATGTAAAACCTTTAAAATAGCAATATTGAGGGAAGACTGCCTGCACATATGGACAACACGCAGTGGGTACGGCGATGGGCGGGCACGTGTTTTGTTAAACAAACTGACCAAATGAAACACCATTTCCACAAAAATGGTAAACAAGGAATCATGTACATTAAAATGGATGCATTCCTATTTGTGATGTTCAATACAGCTACGACACACCAACTTACGCACGAATTGACAAACAAGGATTTATATTTGTTCACTAACTATAACGTACAAGTATTGTGATCCCCCATGTCTTGTAACCATTCCTTGTTCCTTTCCTAAGCTTAGCAACTGACGCGCGTTTCCTTTGTTGCTCAGCAACTAACGTACGTTTCTTTCATTCCTCAGCAACTAACGTACGTTTCCTTCATTGCTCAGCAATTAACGTACGTTTCCTTTGTTGCTCAGTAACTAACGTACGTTTCCTTTGTTACTCAGCAACTAACGTACTTTTCTTTCATTGCTCAGCAATTAACGTACGTTTCATTATTGCTCAACGAGGCGTTCGGGTAGCCTAGTGGTTAAAGCGTTCGCTCGTCACACCGAAGACCCGGGTTCGATTCCCGACATGGGGACAATATGTGAAGCCCATTTCTGGTGTCCCCCACCGTGATATTGCTAGAATATTGCAAAAGCGGCGTAAAATCACTCACTCAATTGTTGCTCAGCAACTAACGTACGTTTCCTTTGTTGCTCAGTAACTAACCTACCTTTCCCATATTGCTCAGTTACTAACGTACGTTTCCTTTGTTACGCAGTAACTAACGTACGTTTCCTTTGTTACGCAGTAACTAACGTACGTTTCTTTCATTGCTTAGCAACTAACGTACGTTTCTTTCATTTCTCAGCAACTAACGTACGTTTCCTTTGTTGCTCAGTTACTAACGTACGTTTCCTTTGTTACTCAGCAACTAACGTACGTTTCCTTTGTTACGCAGTAACTAACGTACGTTTCTTTCATTGCTCAGCAACTAACGTACGTTTCCTTTGTTGCTCAGTAAGTAACGTTCGGTTCCTTTTTTACTCAGCAACTAACGTACGTTTCTTTCATTGCTCAGCAACTAACGTACGTTTCCATTGTTGCTCAGTAACTAACGTACGTTTCCTTTGTTACTCAGCAACTAACGTACCTTTCCCATATTGCTCAGTTACTAACGTACGTTTCCTTTGTTACGCAGTAACTAACGTACGTTTCTTTCATTGATCAGCAACTAACGTACGTTTCTTTCATTGCTCAGCAACTAACGTACGTTTCTTTCATTGCTCAGCAATTAACGTACGTTTCCATTGTTGCTCAGTAACTAACGTACGTTTCCTTTGTTACTCAGCAACTAGCGTTCGGTTCCTTTGTTACTCAGCAACTAACGTACGTTTCTTTCATTGCTCAGCAACTAACGTACGGTTCCTTTGTTGCTCAGTAACTAACGTACGTTTCCTTTGTTACTCAGCAACTAACGTAAGGTTCCTTTGTTACTCAGCAACTAACGTACGTTTCCTTCATTGCTCAGCAACTAACGTACGTTTCTTTCATTGCTCAGCAACTAACGTACGTTTCCTTTCTACTCAGCAACTAACGTACGGTTCCTTTGTTGCTCAGCAACTAACGTACGTTTCCTTTGTTACTCAGCAACTAACGTACGTTTCCTTCATTGCTCAGCAACTAAGGTACGTTTCCTTTGTTACTCAGCAACTAACGTACGTTTCCTTCATTGCTCAGCAACTAACGTACGTTTCTTTCATTGCTCAGCAACTAACGTACGTTTCCCTCATTGCTCAGCAACTAACGTACGTTTCCTTTGTTACTCAGCAACTAACGTAAGGTTCCTTCATTGCTCAGCAACTAACGTACGTTTCTTTCATTGCTCAGCAACTAACGTACGTTTCTTTCATTGCTCAGCAACTAACGTACGTTTCCTTTCTACTCAGCAACTAACGTACGGTTGCTTCATTGCTCAGCAACTAACGTACGTTTCCTTTGTTACTCAGCAACTAACGTACGTTTCCTTTGTTACTCAGCAACTAACGTACGTTTCTTTCATTCCTCAGCAACTAACGTACGTTTCCTTCATTGCTCAGCAACTAACGTACGTTTCCTTCATTGCTCAGCAATTAACATACGTTTCCTATGTTGCTCAGTTACTAACGTACGTTTCTTTCATTGCTCAGTAACTAACGTACGTTTCCTTTAATATTCATTATGGATACAATGTGTGAAGCCGTGATATTGCTGGAATATTGCTAAAAGCGGCGTAAAACCATACTCAGTCAGTAATATTCAGTAAGTAACATATGTTTTCTTTATAGCTCAGCAACTAACCTACGTTTCCTTTATAGCTCAGTAAATAACGTGCGTTTCCTTTATAATTCAGTAACGAACATACGTTAGACATAGCTGCTCTACTAATATTGCCTCTGGGTTATCCGAATTGAGATGTTATTTTTATCGCTCTTTCTTCTTTTCATTGTTTTATACAGTAACTCATTTCAAAACTATATCTTTCAGAGGCTGAGACAAGGGATCAGGCTTCATCAGTGAACTCTGTGTCCCTCCTCTGGTGAAGCTGGTGACAGTGTATGGGTGTGGCTTAGAGGAGACCACGTGTTATCAGGAACTGACACTGATAGATGTGAACTCGGCACGCGGAACTAAGGGAATTTGTTTTAGACCGCCCCGTACATAACGTGCTCATATTGTTCTGTAGCATCTTAGTTATTAAATATTTTATTCTGAAAAGGGCGTCCTCACAATCAATCGTTACATTCTCTGTAGCTTAAATCAAAACATATTTAGATTATTAAATGCTGTCTTGTTTTAATTGTCAACATATGTAATTTATATTATCTATGTTACCAGGTAATGAGACATAATTTGTTACTTGTGCATTCCTAATTCAATAAAAACAACATTGAGTGGAACATTGGGCCAATATGACCAGCAACGACACCAATACGCGAGGAATACACAATAACCTCCTAGGCGGTAAACCAACCAATTACTTCAGACACATTACCATAACTCGTCCTGCCTCAAGGGCAAGCGAACGAGCGCCCGGCCTCACAGCCAGTGTCAAGCGTTCACTGACAGACGAAGAAAGATACTCACCGCGACAGCCTGAAGCGACGCCGGTAATGTCAGTTATATCACGACATCGTCGGTAACTCTTGCCAAGGGGGTGATTTTTTAAACTTTAAAAAACAGGTAATCCTCACAATAGGAGTGCGTATTTCTCCGCCTGTTGCCATAGAAACGTTTCTGCCAAAGAAGATCAATACAAATCTCCTGCGCGTTGTCGGGTCAGGGGATTTGGGGGACCCCTTCCTCCTCGCGTGACGTCATGTGCTTGCTGCAAAGCAGTTGCGTGTTGATTGTAGAATGTATTTTCGTCAGGTATTATTGATAGTACAACTCTTGTATATAAGACGGTGTCCCTCAATCTTAGAAGGCTGACGCCCATGTGATATGTTTTCTGTAAACAAACTCATGCAGATGTTAACCCCCTTTAGAATGGTATCTCGTACAGGGAATTCACTGGAAAACATATATCCCAAAAATTCCATCTGGAGAATTCAAAACTACATTGGCATTTTAACGTATTTTGAATTATTAACATACACTAGACGTGTTTATAGTGACATGGAGCCAGGGCGAAATGAAGGGAAATAAAAATAGGAACGGAAATTAAGTTTCGGTGAATGACGTCACACACTGGGACAATGTGTTTGGTAAACCGTTCTCATGGATGGGATAGAAGGCAAATAGGGCGTATACTGTACGGGGGGGGAGGGGGGGGGGGGGGGCGCTGCTTACACTCAAGCAGATACTTCCAGATACGATAGCCGACGTGTGCGCTTATATATCAACGTGCACACTAAGACACAGTATATACTGACTCCCAGCCGACCAGACCCTGTTTAAGCCTCTTAATGCCGAGCGCAGGCAGGTTAACAACAAGTACCATCTTTTAACGTGTTTTGATTGACGCGGCCAGAGATTGAAACACCGACCTGTTCCGCTCTCCGGGCAGACGCTCTGTTCACTGAACCATGGAGGCGGTCACTTCTGAATATGGTGACATGCATTCGTCAAATGCAGTTCATACTTTCTACAACAAGAATATTAAACTCTATTAGCAGACAGATACTTTCCTTAAACTTAACTTGATTTACACATTACAAAATCTCGATTCGGCTATTGTTAAGCCCTTCTCGTTTCTTTTGTCTGTAGTTAGGTTTAATATTGTATATTTTTGTATATTTGTTTGTTTACCCCTTATTATTTATTTATTTCGTTATTATTAAATAGTTCATACAAAACGCTCGTTGGATAAAGATGTTCTTAAAAGAAGCGACCACGTGTGTCATAAGAGCCAACTTAATGAGGTGAGGTGAAATGGGGTATAACGTCGCGTCCAAGATTATTGCACTTATATAGCGACGTGCATGCACGTGTGTGTGTGGCTGCTTGTACTAGTCCGGACTGATGCCGATTTATAGTGCTAGCCCACTGAGATACCATGCCGCAGTTTAACATGAATACCCCACTCAGACACAGTATACTGACTCCGAGCCGACCAGTCCTTGTTTTAGCCCTTTAATGCCGAGCGCCAGACAGGGTAACAACAAGTTCCATCTTTTAACGTCTTTTGGTATGACGCGGCCTTGGATCGAACCATGGACCTTCCGCTCTCCGGGCGGACGCTCTACCACTAGACCACGGAGGCGGTCGCCAACTTAATGGGTATAGGGGGACACTGGGTGCTCATACTATCAATCACTGGCCCGTATGGCCCATTGTACAGACCAGTGAAGATCCGGGGTAGAAAAGATCGTCAGCAATCCATGCCTGCCATAAAAGGCGAATATGCCTGTAGTGAGAGGTGACTAACGGGATCAGGTGGTCGTGGTTGATGCGTGTCATCGTATCCGAATTGCGTGGATCGATGCTCATGATGTCAATCACTGGATCGTCTGGTCCAGACTCGATTGTTTATAGACCGTCGTCACATAGCTGGAGTATTGCTGAGTGCAGCGTTAAAAAACAAACAAACAAACATCCCACACAGCGCCGTTTTCGGGATTTAATAGTCATGAGTAAATAACGCTCACTCACTCACTCACTCACTCACCACGACTCTGAAGGAATCAGTTAGTCGAGCGTACAGGGTTTTCAGACATACCAGAAACAGTTTACAAACATGGTTAATATGGCACACAATCAGCTGATGGTGCCAGTCAGTCAGGGCCTCAAAGTTCACCGGTTCCTCGAGGGGCTTGCCTCGCAGTATGAACATTAAATTTTTCACAAGGGCACAGGACTTGCCAACCGTAACTTGCGCCAGACCTAGCTACACTTGGCAAAGCAAAGATAATATTAATACCGGGACTATGTGAGCGATGTCAAGCACCCTGAGCCAAGTCAAATGGACGTCAAGAAATAATAAGGGGCGGCGGGGTAGCCTGGTGGTTAAAACGTTCGTTCTTCGCGTGGACGTCCCGGGGTCGACTCCCAACCTGGATACAATGAGTTAAACCCATTTCTAGTGGCCCACGTCGGAATATTGCTGAAAGTAGCGTACAAACCTATTCTTACTCACTCATTTGAACTGATGGCCACTGGGATTCCTCTGGAGAATTCTTTCTCGTAGTCAAATAAAGCCTCACGAGTTTATGCCCCTGTAGTACTAAATGAAGCGTTCGTAAAATGATATAAGAAACGCTACTTCAAAAGCCTCTACTCAATTAGTAGTAGTAGTAGTAGTAGTAGTAGTAGTAGTAGTAGTAGTAGTGGTGGTGGTAGTGTAGTAGTAATAGTAGTAGTGGTGGTAGTGTAGTAGTAATAGTAGTAGTATTAATAGTAGTAGTAGTAGTAGTAGTAGTAGTAGTAATAGTAGAAGTGGTGGTAGTGTAGTAGTAATAGTAGTAGTATTAATAGTAGTAGTAGTAGTAGTAATAGTAGTAGTGGTGGTAGTGTAGTAGTAATAGTAGTAGTGGTGGTAGTGTAGTAGTAATAGTAGTAGTATTAATAGTAGTAGTAGTAGTAGTAGTAGTAGTAGTAATAGTAGTAGTGGTGGTAGTGTAGTAGTAATAGTAGTAGTATTAATAGTAGTAGTAGTAGTAGTAGTGGTGGTGGTGGTGGTAGTAGTAGTAGTAGTAGTAGTGGTGGTAGTGTAGTAGTAATAGTAGTAGTGGTGGTAGTGTAGTAGTAATAGTAGTAGTATTAATAGTAGTAGTAGTAGTAGTAGTAGTAGTAGTAGTAGTGGTGGTGGTGGTTGAGGTGGTAGTACATCGAACAGGTTGTTTCAAATACTAGTGTAATACTCCAATCCTTGTAATACACAATAAAGGCGACTCGATAAATCAACGTAATCTTTTCTATATTTTGGAGCAGCAGCTTGGTATTTACTCTAATTGAACAAGTATTGCTTCAATGAACAACAACTGTATTATTTGACAGCCCCGGACTTTGACACATCAATTGTCTGTCTTCCTGTCTAGACTAACATTTAGTCCCAGAAATAAAGTTATCTGATTTAAAAACATATGTATCTAAAAGCCAAAAAGTAAAATCCAAATGAAACCCAGAACAATGCATAATTTCTGGTCAAGAGTTGAGGCAATCTAGACGTCCCTAATCATTCTAGACTTGAGTTGAGGCAATCTAGACGTCCCTAATCATTTTAGACTTGAGTTGAGGCAATCTAGACGTCCCTAATCATTCTAGACTTGGGTTGAGGCAATCTAGACGTCCCTAATCATTCTAGACTTGAGTTGAGGCAATCTAGACGTCCCTAATCATTCTAGACTTGAGTTGAGTCCTGTTTTTATTTATTCTCTGAGGTCTTGGGTGAGTGAGTGAGGAGAAAATAGCATTGCTTACAAACGAGGCAAGGGGTTTCTTTCTACAGTAGAGTGAGCAACAAAATGGTTGTTCAATCATTACTGTTATGTTATGAGTGAGTATGGTTTTACGCCGCTTTTGGCAATATTCCAGCAATATCACGACGGGGGACACCAGAAATGAGCTTCACACATTGTACCCATGTCGGGAACCAAACAGGGTCTTTGGCGTGACGAGCGAACGCTTTCACCACTAGGCTACCCGACCGCCCCCGATGACGTCTAGGAAACAGACTTTGTTCCTGTCCTGCTCAGCAATATTTAATGATAATAGCGAGATTAATGAACAGGTAATATGCTTCATATCTCCTCTCTCTAATGCGACATTTTATGCAAATGTATTCATGGCCCACCTGGCCCGTCACGGGTTATAGATCAGTGAAGTAAACTTGAACTACAAGTATATTTCCAACGGTATGGTATAAAATAACTAAGTCAGTTTTGTTCTAAAATACATACATCAAACACATTTTAGAAAAAAACCTTGCTACACTTCAAATGTCAGATTTGAGATAACAATGCTTCGGCCGCGGAAGTAGACTATTTGGGTATTTCGAAAATTACAACTTGTTAGTCACAGGACACAGTCACACGCATACTCACCATTATACTAGCTGTATGCACGTGGGACTACCGACCCATTCACTCGTGTACTGCACCCCATGTGACTATGAGCCAGGGTGGAGGAGAATGTGACAGCGACTCCCTATTTCCGTGAAGGCATTCTCCGAGAGTCAAACATGTTGTTGTGGCTGAAAGGGGGAAATTATGATGACGAATATCCGCAATAAGTTTATTGAACTCACAAAGCATGAGACCCGTGATGATCCGGGGTAGAATAGGTCTTCAGCAATCCATATGCATGCTTGCCGTAAAAGGCGACTGTGCTTGTCGTTAGAGGCGACGAGGGGATCGGGTGGTCAGGCTCGCTGACTTGGTTGATGCATGTCATCGATCCCAATTGCGTGGATCAATGCTCATGATGTCAATCACTGGATTGTCTTGACCAGACTCGATTATTTACAGACCGCCGTTATAAAGCTGGAATATTGCTGAGTGTGGCGTTAAACAACAAACAAACAAAACAAATAAAAGCAAGTATCTTTTACTATATTTATTAATTTTTCGGCTTAAAGGTTTCAGCCTCGCCACAACTCAAACAGTGTCAATAATGATGAATGGTTGCATTTTCACCGTTCTTTCTGATGCATTAACGATAATCTGTGAGAGTAGACATATATAACGAACCATTCTGGCCTCGTTGCTTGGGACGCTATCATTCAAACTGTTTACAGTGATTTCTTGGAACACTAACAAGGTCAGTTTGCCGGAGCACTGACCGCGCGACACAAACTCCTTACGTCCTGACACGGTAACAAGATATTTCACTGTAAGAGCCCCACTATGTAAGTGAGTGAGTATTGTTTTACGCAGCTTTTAGCAATAATCCAGCAACATCGCGGCAGGGGGACGTCTGAAAAGGGCTTCAAACATTGTATCCATGTTGGGAATCGAACCCGTGTCTTCGGCGTGACGAGCGAACACTTTAACCACTAGGCTACCCCAACACAACGTAAATGTGCTATACACTGAACATTCACACCTACAAATATATGCCCCTTTTATGGGAAATAGCAAAAATATCTCTTAAAAACGTGAAATTATCACTGCTTTACCACTCTTTCAAAAATGCAACTGTCACGATTTATCACAAATTCTATGGCAACGTTCCATTACTTAACCAGAGGTTCGGGCTAAAACTGCACGTGCACCTCAGCAAAGCGTCACCGATTTCTCGGGCGAAAACAGCACTCCCTTTGGCGAAAACGGCTACCAATTGTCGGGCGAAAACAGCACCTCTATTTTTAATAGATAAGAGCAATTTATGTAGTAGTTTATATATGCTCCGGCTAGCTACGGCACTGGGAGTGCTAATTTATACGTTTCTGGATACAACACACATTACTGTCAAGTACCTTAATGACTATTATCATCATTATTGTCGAATTATTCATTTTCATGCATGTACAAGTGTTGAGTAAAATAATTTGTGTTCTTCAAAAGTAAAGTAAGAAAACCCAGATCAACATGAGCTTAAATGTCAGCATTTCCTTTTACTTTTAGAACCGTCACGGTACTGTTGGAAGTTACAAAATGCTTGGGAATGCTTGCATAAGTTTCCTTCTTCCAAACTCGTGGGATACAATACATTGTGACAGTCATGTGACTGTCATTCACTCGTGATTACTTTGATCGCTGCATTGTCAGTGCATTGCTCGTGGGTCACGTGACATGCACTGAACGCACACACGCTGAGCATGCAGTATCTCATCCCGCTTCGATCTGTTTTGTTTTAATCGTCCTTGTTCTCCTCAGTCTAAACGACGACACACATTTATCGAGAATCGTTACAGTATTCAGGTTAGTCGTGACTGTGCCAGCCTTGTATGATTTCGAAAACTTTGTAAAACAGCCGAGCGTGTTGTGAAAGCTTGGGGAATCCCCCTACTCGCACAAGGTAAGTTGATTCTGATTGGCTGAAGGCTCGGCCTTGCGTACGGCGGTGAACGCCTCGGCCGATACTTGTCATGGATATCGCCTTGCTCATTCATACATGCGCTGTTGTAATATACAATTAGCAATAAAACGGCAGGAAGACACCCACCTCGGTTCCTTGCGCAAAGACATGAAACTAGCTCAGTCTATATTTGGCCATTGCTTTTAATAGAAGCAGTTTGTGCTGGGTAAAATTGTGGATTCCGAAAGTTGCGGTCAAGGTGTTCGTTCCTAGAAATCAGCTGACACATGGTTTCTCCTGCCTTGATGGTATTTAAGTATCAGGGCCAAAAGGTTCGTCATTCGTCTACAGGTCTACGGAACGAGAGGTCGATGTAAACAGTTCAGTCCCGTCCCTAGGTAGGGCATTATCTGGAAAAGGACGATGGCGTGCGATGACAACGTGTTGAGTTGTGCTGTAGACATGTCAGCACGGCAGTCCTCTGAATCCGGTCAAAATTCTTGTGAGGATGTTTTGGACAAATTTCAAAATATGTCCGTTAACGACATGTCACATCCAGTTATGTGTGGAATATGTCTCACCGTCAATATTTCCGATTGCTGTTTGCATGCTAACTTGAGTATGGACTGTGAGAGAATTAGACAGCCAATGCAGTGTGACGTCATGGACCTGTTCTCTCAAGACAAAGACGGTGACACCAACCTCCACGTTGCTATCATACAGAGAGAGGCCTACATCGTGATGAACATGATTGCACTAGCTCCTCACAAAGACTGGTTAAATACTTCTAATGGACTGTTGCAAACTCCTCTGCACCTCGCTGTAATTACACGCCAAGTTGACGTCGTGCGACGTCTGGTGACGTCAGGTGCTTCTCCCGACGTCAGAGATATCTATGGTAACACTCCTCTTCACATTGCATGCAGGGAAGGCTACGATGATATCGTGGAATGTCTTTTAACGCCAATAAAAGTCGAGGAAGTTATTGATTTGAAATTACCACACATTCCTCAGGGTTTATCACTTAAAAACTACGAAGGTCATACGTGTTTACATCTCGCTGCCACGGAAACCAGTTTGAGAGTCATGGATTTGTTACTTTCCGCCGGTGCCAACATTAACATTGGGGACGGGAAGAGTGGACGAACAGTCCTACACCAGGCGTCAGAGACTGGCAATAGGATACTCCTTCATTTCTTGTTTATGTGGGGGAAACTCGACGTCAACTGCACGACGTACGGCGGGATGACGCCATTAGCTCTAGCTGCCGGTCGGGGCTACGATGACATCACTGCCATTTTGATCGCTAACGGTGCTGACGCTGAACACATAGAAACGGACAGTGAATGTTATTGAGCATTATTAAAGTGAGGTGAGTGAGGGTATACACGGTTTTTGCAATATTGTATAGCAATATCACGTCCTGAAATCACATATGGGCTTTATATTTTATATACCAACGTGATGGGGACCCAAACCCGGTCCTTCGGCGTTTCGAGCTAACACTTGACCTACTGCCCCAGCCTCCCTCCGATTGCAAGGCAGCAAACTATGGTTATAGACGTTAATAAATAGATACATCTGTAATACAACACATTGTTTAACAAAATGTAACAATTTTCAGTTTTGTGCATTTGGTATAAGAAGTGATATTATTTGGTATATTTTGTGTCTAGTTTTCGCCTGCGTAATTTTCAAAGGGCGGGGTCTAAGGTGAAAAGATTCTTTGGGTCTCGCAGTTTAATATGCAAGTTAGTATGTTCATCTCTGTGACGTACAATTTACTGCTATCGAATCATGCTTTGAAACAGAAACGGGGACAGGCATTTTGCTGTCATAGGTTGTTGTCGGACATTTTAAGACGACAGAAAGTTTGTGTCATAAGGGCTCGACCGGGAAATCAGGGCTTATATGAGAGCCTATTTACTATTTATTCCCAATATTATGATATCAAAAATTCATTTTCTGGCATCACAAATTTGATTTTTGATAAAAAAAAATGATGTATTTTAAATATCATTAAATCGGGTTATTAATATCACAAAATGAATTGTTGATGTCACAAATTCTATTTTGTCCAATACTGAAGAGCAAAAGAAAGTATACCGAGTTTTTTTTTTATGTAGTTAAAAAGTGAAACAACTGTTACATTTGATTCACCATCACTCAAAATAAATTGGCTCAATGAAGACTGGGGTAGGAAATGAATTTGCATCCACATGACCCTGGTCATGTTGGAAATGTTGGAAATGTAAGTCGGAAAAGGTAAATTTATTGAATTTCAAAGATAACACGTCTAAGAAACCCATCAGCAGTCGTGCATTATGCGAATATTTTTAAGTAATGTAAATATATTTAATAAGTTTCAATCAAATTATATTTTATAAAATAAAACCATGTAAAGGTATTCTGTGTTGACGTATCTTGAGGACAGTTAATTCTATTATATAATGTCGCTTACTTAAAATATTTCAGTTGAAAATCAAACATGATAAAATCAACCGAGAGGTATAGTTTCTTTTGTTCCTCAGTATATGTTTTCTGACGTTTGTGATTTGTATAGGCAAGACGTATGTTTTGTCCGATTTGTTTTGTATAATGGTCGTGAAATTGTTTAATACCACACTGAAGGCGATATATATATTTTCCAATAAATACCATGCATTACTGATACCAATGTCATGTTTCAAGCAAACAACTGCTCTGTGAGTCAACAATAGAAACCTGGATCCTGGATCCGTCCCACATCTACCTCGATGCTTATGTTATATATACAGTTTATACACACATTTACGTCTTGTTGTTCAATATGATTAAAGTCTATGTTTCGATATGTGTTTATCAGGTTTATTCGTTATTACAAAAAAATAAAATATGCTGATTCCGGTTCCCGGTGCACAGTGAGTGAGTGAGTGAGTGAGTGAGTTGGGTTTCACGCCGCTTTTAACAATATTCCAGTTTTATCGCGGCGTGTCAGCTTAATGTGGGAGGAAAGCCCGAAGTGATGCAGGTCTCAGACGTTTACCACTTCGGTGAAACCCACGAGCACGGATATGGTGCTGACAAACCTAGAAACATAATCGGGGCGAACCGGGATTCGAACCCACAATCATAGGTTTCTGGCGTACCCAAGGGGCGCAACTCTGCACAGCGAATCGCGGCGCCTTAGACGACTGGGCCACCCGTCCCCCTCCCGGTACGCAGACATATCAATATATGACGTTAGCGCCGAAACAGATTCCACTGAGCGTAAAAGGAATTCGAAAGTAGGGGTGATAATTATATGAATGGATCACCGAAAATCTGTAATGACACCAGGTGTTCGCGAAAAGGGTAGGCATGTCCCGCCCTACAGGCAGAACCCGTCACTACTCACACAGGCCCGATTAAACTTGGGATCAATTCGTGATGTGTGTGATGGCTGATGTCACCAAATATCGCCCACGTGGACTGGTGCTCATGCTGTCAATCATTGGTTTGCTGGGTCAGACGCTGTTACTTTATTTCAGCGATCGTCGTGTGTGGGAAATCATAGGCAGATCAGAAGTGGGGGTCAGGGGTTTTTGGGTCCCCCCTTTTTAAAACCAAATGCAGTATGGTGTAGGCGGTAAAATCATCTGAGAGAGGAGTTTGTTACTTTGGACCCCTCCCTTTTAAAAAAAATGCTGGATCCGCCCTTGGAAATTAATAAATTTTCATGAAGAAAACTCTGTGGTGATAAGTGTTCGTCGTGTACAAAGCTGTAAATTATGTGATCTCAGATTTAACGTTTCCCTGCTAACACTTCGTCAGCTGTCAACGTTATCATACCATGAAAAATTATTATTATGGGATTGTATAAAGAGTTGTATGTGTACTTATCAACCTTCAATACTTTGGTCAGATGTCTGGGCAAATATATTTCAATAGTGTGTGTGTGAGTGTGTGTGTGTGTGTGTGTGTGTGTGTGTGTGTGTGTTTTCAATTGCGAAAGACCGCATTCGTGGTCTAGTAGCAGAGCGCTGGAGAGCTCGGCATTAAGGGGCTAGAACAAGGACTGGTCTTCTCGGAGTCAGCATGCTGTGTCTGTATTGATGCTACAGCAGCATGTTGTCTCAACGGGATAGCACTATAAAATCGGCATTAGTACAATAATCTTGAACGCAACGAAAACCGATTTCACAACACCTCACTTGAAAATATTATTTGTCTTATTAAACCTATAGTCCCCCGTAAAGAGCATGTGTGCTTCAATCGCCGAAGGCCCAGCCGGAGCACCATCCGTGCTCACCCTTCACAGAATACAATCAGCTGAGTTCCACATAAAATGCTGGGCGGTCGGGTAGCCTAGTGGTTAAAGCGTTTGCTCGTAACGCCGAAGACCCGGGTTCGATTCCCGACATGGGTACAACGTGTGAAGCCCATTTCTGGTGTCCCTCGTCGTGATATTGCTGAAATATTGCTAAAAGCGGCGTAAAACCATACTCACTCACATAAAATGCTGTTATACACTTACAGGCAAAAGAAAGTATTCACTTGAAAATTAAGTTCATTCTATCATTACTGAGTACCGTGAAATTGAGGCCCCCGCGTACCTTGAAACGTCAGGTGCACGTCGCCTGTTGTAATTAAGATACTCATTGATAAGATGCATGTAATATCGCATATGATACCCGTATCATACACATCACCATCTACTCGCCATTTCTTGATTGTGTAATTTTTAGCCAGCATCAAAAAAGGATGTATACTTTATTTTGTCCTGAACAGTTTATGTGACGATAGAACCGTAAAGTCCCACTTTAATCTGGTGTTAACCATGGACCAAAAACAACAACCTGCTGTGAAAGGTATTTTCCGAAAACTCGACTGCATTTGGTTAACGTGGTTGCAAGATGGAAATACAGTCTATTCCGCATTAGTATCCCAATTGCGTAGTACGATGCTCATGATGTCAATCACTGGATTGTCTGGCCCAGACTCGATTATTAACAGCCCGCCATCATATAGCTGGAATATTGCTGACTGCGGCATTAAACAACAAACAAACAGACATATTCTTTCAGTAGAAGGCCTTTAGTTACTGATACGATTCCATCATATTGAATATTATATAGATGTATCTCAAGGGTGAAGACCGCCTCCGTGGTCAAGTGGTAGAGCGTCCGCCCGGAGAGCGGAAGGTCTGGGGTTCGATCCCCGGCCGCGTCATACCAAAGGTATTTAAGGGGCTAAAACAAAGAAAGGACATTAAGGGGCTAAAACAAGGACTGGTCGGCTCGGACTCAGTATACTGTGTCTGAGTGGGGTATTCATGTTAAACTGCAGCATGGTATCTCAGTGGGCTAGCACTATAAATCGGCATCAGTCCGGACTAGTACAAGCAGCCACACACACACACACGTGCATGCACGTCGCTATAAAAGTGCAATAATCTTGGACGCGACGTTAAACCCAATTTCACATCACCACGAGGTAGTGAACATTGTAGAATTATAAGTCGTATCACATAGTAATTATATGCTTCAGGTACATTGTGCCTATATTGTGTCTATAGTCATGATATTCATACTGGGGTCTGTTTTGACTGACAGTGGGCGGGTTTCATACATTTCGTTTCGTTTCGACTGATATCCGCCGACACTGGCGCGGTGGGGGGTGGGCGTTGTGGGATTATCAATGACGCAATGGTTATAGGCAAGGATATATAAATACTAGTATATATAGGTTATAGGGGCGTGGTTATAGGCTATTTGCGTTGGGTAGTCACAAACAAAGCGTCTGCTGCAATGTAATCTGTATATTACACACGAAATATCTATTACACAATTATATATTAAATCTCGCAATATTTACCTTTCTATTTGACGTGAGAAACTATTGAAACAAGAGTGGGATTTTACGTACACGCAACGCGGTACATTATATGACGGGGTGGGTTGGGGTGACAACTGACGATTATCAATGTGTCCCCGGCCATTATTTGACTGAAACAGAAGCAGAGAATGGTGTACTGTCGCTGACTGACTTACTATTTACGCTTCAACCGTGAAGTTTTGGAAGAATTGGTCTTCAGCAAACCATACTTGTAAGACGCGACTAACGGGATCCGGTGGTGAGGCTCTGTGAATTGGTTTGTCACCGTATCCCAATTGCTTAGATAGATGTTATCAATCACTGGATTGTCTGGTCCAGACTCGATTATTTACAGATCGACGCCATACAGCTGTAATACTGATGAGTGCTGCGTTAAACAACAAACAAACGAAAGTACAGTTGAATAGGACTTGTTACAGAGTGCGTATCACTTACACGTGAGAATCGTTATCCGGCGCCAATATACTCACAATAAGACCTTTTACATACGGCGATAATTTATCCCTGCGTGAGATCTTTGTCATGAGTATTATGCCCCTATATACACGTATTAAATTGTTTTGAAAGCGCAAACAAATGTTCATCTATTCACTGCACGGCAGACTCGTGAAGATCCGGGGTAGAACAGGTCTTCAGCAACCCATGCTTGCCATAAAAGGCGACTATGCTTGTCGCAAGAGGCGACTAACGGGATCGGGTGGTCAAGCTCGCTGATTTGGTTGATGCATGACATCGTATCCCATGGGTGGATCGATGCTCATGATATTAATCACTGGATTGTCTGTTCCAGACTCGATTATTTACATACCGCCGTCATATAGCTGGAATATTGCTGAGTGCGGCGTTAAACAACATACAAACAAAGAAACAAACAAACATTGCGCTGCAAACGGAAACCTCCACAAAACGTTCACCTGAGGTGAGATAATTAAAAGGTCTCAATGGCACCTTCTTATATTTTTTTCTGGGCATGGTAATTATTTCATGCATACTTGTAGGCTAGACATACAATATTAAAATATGTTTAAATTGACATGTCCCGCCAATCAGTGAGTGAGTAAGGGTGATTTTACACCGTTAACATCACAACTCTACACACGAATGGGCTTCGGATATTGTACCCATGTACGGAATCGAACCCAGATCTGCAGCGTGACGAGAGAACGCTTTAGCCCCTACCCCAACGACCGCCCAACGCCATTGAAAGCCAGTACAGGAGGCACTCTGTTGTTCAAGCAAGACGCTGGTTCGGCGAAACAGTTGTCAGTGTATTGACCATTACTCGGAAACATCACTTCTCGAGGAATCAGCACTGGTGAAAGAGAAAGTATGTGTTTCCTATACCTGGAGTTTTCATCCTAATTGTTATTTCGGAACCTCGAAGTGGGATAACATATGGGATTTGGTTTCAATGACTGTATGAGTGCGTTCGCTGTAATACAAGAATGGTTTGTCCTATCAATGCAATGTACTAATTCAAATGACACTGTACATGGAAAGACATGCTGAGTGATACTTAGAATACACGATATCAAATAAACAATAGTTTGAGAATGTTTTGAAGTAATAGACTCACGTGAAACAATTAATGCACTTGAACCAAGTATTGTATTAGTTCAAAGTCTCATTTAATTTATAGAATGGTTCCAACTACTTTACATGATAATTCTAATTCTAATGTGTTTTGTTGTTACAGTTTCACATAAACAGAAAAGGGATCCAACAATGTAGTTATCAAACATATTTCGTCACTTTCCAAAATATGAAGTTCCCTGAATATATTCATGATGTCGTCACTCCTAAATAAAACGTGTACGCTTAGATACATGACGAAATCGACTGGTATCCCAGACATCATGGGCTGCACCTGGTTCTACAATCGTCGCACTATGTTAACTCAACCTTATTTATCTATGTTGCTTTAAGGTTGATTGATAGGCATTACTTAGAAGTTGACTGATGACAAAGTAGACACAATTTATGGATAACAACTTCTTTATTTAATGTAAAGGCGACGTTTCGGTATAGATCCTTATACCGTTGTCAAGCACATTTGTTGCTTAAGGTGTTATTTTGTTATGAATTCAAATATATTGAATAACATTTAATTTTTTTAGAGCAGTATTTTTTTCTTCTAACTGAATATATTCAGTAACGAAAACCTGACGCATAAACTGTAGGAACTGTTTTAGTGGATGCCAAAATTTATCACAAGTAAAAATGACATTTCAGTTTTCAAATACAAATATTTATATATCGGAACATTATTTACTATAAATTTTATTCAGATACTATTGAACGAAAATAAGAAAAATATGGAGATTTTAATGTTATTACGGCTGCATGTATGGGTGAGTGAGTGAGTGAGTGAGTATGGTTTTACGCCGCTTTTAGCAATATGTATGGATTTCAAGCACTCGGTTATGTCAACATGATTATGTGAACAGAAAGTAGAGCATTGTAGCATGTAGTTTTTGAACTTCGTCCATTGTGAAAATGTTGAAGAGCATTTAGCAGGTATGTAAGTGAATGATGAGGTTATTTAAATAAAAATAGCCTTTATTCTTTTAAAAGAAAACAGCTTTTATTCTCTTTAAACACAAAAAGCCTTTATTCTTTTTTTTATAATAGCATTTTTTTCATTTTAAATAAAAATAGCCTGTATTATTTTAAAATAAAAATAGCTTTTATTCTTCTAAAATAGATATAGTCTTTATTCTTTTTAAATAAAAATAACCTTTTATCTTGATACTATCTACAATTGATGATGTTTAAATAAGATTTCAAGTTAGATGACACTGATGTCATGAGACCAACAACAGGAACACAGTTTGTGTGCATTCTGCCCTATGATACAATCACACAAACCTAGTGACCAGTGTACACTAGCCCCATGAAAATAATTTCTGATATATATTTATACTTCTAAAAACACTGAATCACATATTACACTTAAAATTTAAGCAGACTGTGGAAGGTTACTCTGTACTTGATGGTGATGACCACTGATTCCACTGTGTCCCCCTCACATTTGTGCCTGTTATAAAACAGTGGTTTAAAAATGACAGTATCGGACCCAAACTAGCCTCCATGTGTAGAATTATCACACCATCATCATTTTCACAACAATTTCAACCCTGATTGTGCAGGCAAATATTGATCTGTTGGATCAATCATTTTAAAATTTGTTTTTTATATTGAACAAAACAAAATAAAATCAGTTAAAAAGTGAAATTAAGAGGTAGAGCTGATGTGTTTTAGAAGCAGATATTAAAAGATTAAGATTGATATCAGTGGATATATCTGTATCAGGTTATATCAAAAGAGAAACAATAGTGTATTAAAGTTACACACCCATGTAGATGTATTGAAGTCAAATATGTATGTAAACATCTTGTGAAATTTTCGAAAAATATTCGAAAAATATCTAAAATTGTGAAACCTGGAAAGACTCGACAATGAAGGTTGTTTACACTATTGCTACACAGCACAGCAACTCAATTTACATTGAATTAAAGGCCAACCCATTTAAGGATGCTTCGCATGCATTCATTTTAAAAACCTTGTCAGTCAGACTGATCAGATGGTGGCGCTTTGAGTCAATGTTTGTGCATGCATGCATGTGTGCGTGCGTGCGTGTGTGCATGTTTGTGTTAGGAGAGGGGGTGCCATGAAAAATGTAACATATATTTGGGGGAACATGACTTTATATTTAGAATTACTTTGTTCACAGTAAACTGCTGACACAAAATGTTACAAACATTAAAGAAAACTAAAATCTTGACACCTGTCTGTTTTTCTTCTCGTGTAATTTTGTTGACTCATTAAGTTGGTAAATGTGGGAAGACATTATTTCATCATGTTGAGCAGACTGACATTATGTAAAACAATAAAAATATAAACAATCAACAAGTTGTAAAAATACTTTCTTATTAGAATTTCAACAACTGAATTGAAGTATCTTTGTACAAACATCTGAAAACCAAGTTAGGGCCTCAGATCTATGATGTCGGTCAACCACATCCATGAAATTCAAGTTGGTTTAAAATGACTTAACATCAACTTGCAGGAACAGGAAACTGGCTACAGGTGAGGCTAAGAGTTTATGAGTGAGTTGGGTTTAACGCTGCTTTGAACAACATTCCAGTTATATCATAGCGTGTCAGTTTAATGTGGGAGGAAGGCCCGAAAGTGATGCAGGTCTCAGACGTTTACCACTTCGGTGAAACCCACGAGCACAGGTATTATGCTGACAAACCTAGAATCATAATCATTTGTATCCAGGATCACAGGTTTCTGGCGTGCCCAAGGGATGTAACTCTGCACAGCGGCACCCTCGACAACTGGGCCACCTGTGCCCCTAGTGAGATTACAAAATAGCAAGAATGATATTACTTGTTAGCTAAAAAAAACCTTTCTGTGCTGTTGCTTCTAATTCATGGGATATACTCACTGGTGTCATTTTAGGTCTACATGAAAATAATATTTTCCAAAATAATTATGAGATCCATATTTATGCTTGTAGCAACTTTATCTCCATGTTGTATTTGTATTCTACTCAAAAGAAGTTAAGGTACTCCCAATTCTTTCATATTGCCATGACAGATTAACTATAGTAACATGAATGAATCAGGTGTTCTAACTTCTTTTGATTAGTATTTAAACATACATAGTGTGCCAAACCATTCCTAATACAGTAATAGGACAGGTCACTCTCAATTGGTCATACGTTTGTATTTTTAATACATTTCTGAAACAATTCTAAAATACATCATTTTTGTCCAAGACTAAATCTAGCAGTGTATTACCAAAATAAATCAATAATCAAGTTCATGGGGTTGTGTTTTTAATAGGGCTGCAATGAATTCACTATAAGGCGAACACGATTCATATCACGAATATAGGGTAACGAATATGAATATTAATTCACGAATACAATAACAAGTCAGCAGCTGATGTATTATTTGTTATATTCAGTGAAGCAATATGAACATAAATTATTTGACATCATTTGTTAATTATTAATATATTATACATTTATATACTGCACTTATCCAGGTACTAGTATCAATGCGACAATGACCAGTGACCATAATACTGTCAAATTAAATGATATAAGAGTGTTGTCTTTTGATTTGGTTTGTTTGTTGTTAAACACCGCATTCAGCACTATTCCAGCTATATGATGGCTGTCTGTAAATAATCGAGTCTGGACCAGACAATCCAGTGATTGACATGATGAGCATTGATCCACACAATTAGGATACGATGACATGCATCAACCAAGTCAGTGAGTCTGACCACCTGATCCCGTTAGTCGCCTTTTATGTTAAGCGTAGTCGCCTTTTGAAGAAATATGTGCATATAATATGTTCTTATGGATATTTTTATGTACATGCACATGCTTGCATATTCATAAATATTTGATTCTAGTGGCCACTAACGAATTCACCGAATACGCGAGTGAATCGTAAACAGCCCTAGTTCTTAATTATTTGATCTTATTTGATCTTAAAAATGGTTCTGGCAGGACCTGAAATATGGTTCTGCTAGGTAAATAAGCAGTTAGTTTAGGTCTCAAAAACATAAAATTTCAATGAAATTCTAAAAATAAACATATATTAAGTAAATACACATATAAAACATGAAATGTCAGAGAACAAAATTGTGACAGTATCTTGCAGAAACTCATTTCTGTGACAACAAATGTATTTACAGTTATCAACAATAGGTCACAACAATAATTACAAATACATCAATCAATAATAAGGCCTGGGGGCAGCAAACCAGTGGCTGACAGCATGAACAGTTACCTTGAACATAGATGAGGTGAGGTGAAATTGGGTTTAACGTCGCGTCCAAGGTTATTGCACATATATAGCGACGTGCATGCATGTGTGTGTGTTTGTGTGGCTGCTTGTACTTGTCCGGATTGATGCCGATTTATAGTGCTAGCACACTGAGATACCATGCCGCAGTTTAACATGAGTACCCCGGTCAGACACAGTATACTGACTCTGAGCCGACCAGTCCTTCTTTTAGCCCCTTAATGCTGAGCGCCAGACAGGGTAACAACAAGTACCATCTTTTATGAACATAGATGACACCCAATCAGCCAGGTCACACACACAGACCACCCAATCCTCATCAGGCAGCTTTTACAACAAGCATGAGGTGGGGACCTATTCTGACTCAGAATCGATGGGGGACATGACAGTGTCTGAAGGCACTTAAAGACATGATATGAGGTCTGACAAACTTTGGCGAAAACAAAATATGTGTGTCCTATTTCAATCCATGCACAATTTGGGAAGGTAGGTTAGATGTTAGATTTACTGTTTTTGTTCTCTGAGAAACTGTAACTTGGAGTATGTCTGTAAATGCCTGATTTTCAAATAAAGACAATGACTGGCTTATTTGAAGTGAAGCGCAACAAATTTACACTAGTGGCATAAAATTCAAACAATATAGTGATGGTTGTAGAAGCTGTGGTGCTACTCAAGAAAATCAAGTTTTAGAGTTGAGAGTCCCAGATTAGTGTCAGTCATGAAACTAGAAACACACACTTTGTTGGGGTGGGTGATCTTGGGGAGATTACATATGAGAACATCACATATTAACATGGAAGATGACAGTTATGTTTTCTTCTTCTCGTGTTGTGCCTGCGAACGCTGACCTCCTCTGTGTATCAGCAGTAGACCAATGAGAATGCAGCAGGAGCCAAGCCACCACAGTACTGGAAGACGTTCTTGGAACATGAGACGACTCACAAGTGCCTGCGTAAATAAATTACACAATGATTTACATTCTGATGAGGGAGTGCAGAAATTCCACAGACAAAATTAAATGTGTGTCAATTGAAATTTAATTTGTTTAAAAAGTAGTTGTGTACCTGTCACACAACAATACTACATTGGTTAATAATAATAATGTAAAAATACATCGCCATAGTCTGACTGAACGCTGTTATGAAAGTTTGCTTACTTCAGATCAACTACCTGCTCAAAACAGTTTACTCAATATGTTCGCTTACACCAAAGAGTTTGCCTTTAATTTTGTCATAGTAGGATGAAAACAAACATACTCTGTTTATCTCCTAATTCCATTACTTGATAAATGTCACATAATGCACTGTATTACACGTACAGTGAGTACTGGCCACAACTAGTGTCAGAAAACATACCAGCTTCAGCTTAACAAAGCAAACAAACAAACAAACAAGCATGCCTTTTGTGATCTTTATTAACACATGTTTTGGTAAGCTCACATTTGAAAAATGTATTATTTATGTACCACAGTTGTGTGAGTCCTCACTGGATATTTACATGGATATCTTGTTTATTTGTTGTTTAATGCTGCACCCAGCAATATTCCAGCTATATGACATCAGTCTGTAAATAACCAAGTCTGGAACAGACAGTCAAGTGACTGACATCATGAGCATCGATCCACGCAATTTGGATGCGATGACATGCATCAACCAAGTCAGCGAGCCTGACCACCCAATCCAGTTAGTCGCCACTTACGACAAGCATAGTTGCCTTTTACAGCAAGCATGGGTTCCTGAAGACCTATTCTACCCCAGAATTCACAGCTCTACATGGATATCACACAACTGACTTCACAACTTGATCTCATGCAGTGTTATGTATGACAAATACAGATTTCAAACAATGTTTCAATGTCAATCATTTAATTTTTATGTACTTATAGATACTAAAATAAAGTTCCAGACCAACTTACTGTCACTAGGAAGTTTCCTGCAGTGTTTGTGACTGTTGCCTCTACAGATGATGAGCAGAGTTGCAGAGACTTGGTAAACAGTGTCCACATGAGACCATTGCACAGGAAGATGCCAACTACACCACACAGTCTCACAACTAAGACAGTCTGAAAACCAATATCACAGAACTTATTTATCAAGTTATCACATACATTTCTAACAGATCGATAAAACTTGAAAGCGGTATTCAATGTTCATTAATTAGTTTTTTATTTAGTTTAAAAAGTTACATCTATTTATTAACTACAGTAAACTATGGTTATAACGAACACAAAGGGACCACTAATTTTAGTTCGCATTATCCGTAGTTCATTATAGGCCTAGAATCTATATACATCATATATGCATCAAACGGCCGGGACTAAAAGTAAGAAAGTAAGTTCGTTATAGCGGTCAGTTTGTTATAAGCGTGTTCGTTATAAATGTACTTTACTGTAGTTTGAAGAAACAAAACATAACCTTTGGGCAAGTAAATATATGTGCTGTTTGAAAAATATGTTAAAATTTACATGCAACAGTTCAACAATTATTACAAATGATTTTTTATAAAGAAATGGATGAAGTACTGCATATTAAAGAGTTACATTTATGTACAAGAAAGGTTCGAATGTCACCTTATCATTCTTTTCTATACATTCCTCAATCGACAGTAAGTCGATTCCAAGGAAGTATCTGTATGTTTCCCAAATATTTTCACCGACTTTATGTGCTTCGTCATAACTTGTTGCTAATTTGGCACAGACAGAAGCTAGAGCAGCCATTGTGCCCGCAAACAGAGCAAACACTAATCCTTGATTGGACATGTTGATTAAAAATGAAACACTGGCATTGGATAAGATTCAAACAATGGTAGGCTTATTTCGAGCAGACGAATTGTACATGTTACATGGGTGCAGCCATTTTGTAGTTCCGCAGATCAATATTATTATTAATATTATCATTAAAAACAAAAACATTGTTATTCTTTCCCGACTTGGTTGTTAGAACGTATGTATTTATTCAAATTACAAGTCTCTGAAGCATAAATGTTATTCTGTTTGTCAGAATAAAAATGAAAAGTCATTGTAGGACCGCACTCGCTCATCAAAAATGGCGGAAATCATGGTCAGCGTGCAAGCTTACTGCAAGCTTCTGTTGCACGCAGCTAAATACCCACACTGCGCTGTAAATGGAGTCCTTTTGGCTGAAGATTCCAAGGGGAAAGAACATCGCGGAATTCGTTTTGTTGATTGTATACCATTGTTTCATATATCACTGAGCTTAGCGCCCATGCTGGAAGCTGCTCTTCTGCAGGTGCGTGCCCTGCCCATTCTCATATGATGATTTATGTTCGGAAACGTTGATACCAAGATATAACAATATTCTCTATATGATCTACCGAGTGAAGATTACATGTTTGTTGCATTTATGTTGCCTGTATGGTACTTATTACTGCTCTGATCTAATCTCCTAGGCTAACCCTAAATATTAAAGGGGCCACTGGTGGAAGGAACCTCACAGCACTGAGCAGAGTTACGCCCCTTGGTAATGCTAGGATCCACTGATTTTAGGCTTGAATGTCACGTTTTTCCAAATTATGACCCTTGGATTATTAGCACTACATTGGACCCTCTTCCCACACAAACAGACACAAAACTCTGGAGCTCTTAAGTAATCAGTGTCTGTTTTCAATTCCAGATTGATGCATATTGCCGAAGCAAAGGCTATGTGATAGGTGGATACTACCAGGCTAACCAGCACTACAGTGACAACCAGTAAGTACACTCAATATTCAACATGGGACTGTCATTGTACCCCAATTGCACAGGTCGATGCTCGTGATATTAATCACTGCATTGTCTGGTCCAGACTTGTTTATTTACTGACCACTCTCATATAGCTGGAATATTGTTGAATGCAACGTCAAACAACAAACAAACAAATTTATGTGGCTGCACATTGTTTCATAACATATCCATTGCATACACCTCGAAGTAAGCATTTGCATTTTATCATTTGTCTGTGTATGTCAGGTTCCATTCATTCCTAATCAAGCACACACATTTTCTGTGTCCCAGTTGAGGAACTGGTTTTTTGTCCGTTTTCAATTAGGCATGCAAGTTTTCGTGTCCGGTAAATCCCTGACCATGCTGACTGTATCATGTATATTGTGAAATGAACACAGGGATATACATTTTTTTTAAAATGTTCATGTTTATCTTGTTGATGCACCGTTAGCATGTTTAGAATTTAAGTGTGCAAACAATAATATTTATTAACCATGTACAATCTCTGAATGCCATATTTCACAAAGAGATGGATAATAAACAGTTTTCCCCTTCTCTTTTTCCAAATAGACTTGATTATTTACAAATCGCAGTCTTATGCATGATATAGCTGGAATATTGCTGATTGCGACACTAAACAACAAACAAACATACATTCTCATATATTTTGATTCTCTGCAAGCTGGTAAGAGTTAGATGTAAATTTGATCAAACCTTCACTTTATGAACTCATACTTCACTTATAATTGACGGTTTTAATATTCAAACACTAATTATTGTCATCAAGGCTGGTATCTGAGCAAAGTGCTAATACTTTGCTTCATTTTCATGCTGTGCAGTGGGCCAAGTTGATAAAGCATTTGCTCATCTCGCTGAAGACCCAGGTTGATTGCCCCCATGGGTACAATGTGTGAAGCACATTTTTGGTGTCCCCCACCGTGATATTGCTGGAAAATTGCTTAAAGTGGCGTAAAACTATGCTCACTCATTTTCCTGCTTTTCTTTTCCAGATTGAATCATATGGCCAAAACAGTCGGGAGAAAGGTTGCAGACAACTTTGCAGATGCTTGTATATTTATGGTAATGTATTTGTTTGAAGTAAAATAATATAAGTAATAAATGCATCAATAGAAATTAACAGTTTTAGTCCACTAGTCATTATAATATGATAATATATAGCAAAACCTTTTGCTTGTCGAAGAGGTAACCATTGCAATCTAGTGGTCACCATGGTCACACTCTGTTGCTGATTGCGTGTCATTGACAGCGTGGATCATTGCTCACAATATTAATCACTGGATTGTCAGGTCCAGACTTGTATATTAACAGGCCGCCATCATATAGCTGGAATATTGCTTAGAGTAGCATTAACAAAGAAAAAAACAGGCATGTCATTATCCACGAACCCTGCTTTGCTTGTGGAACAAGTAAAAATGTGTTAAGCATGTTTGGTGGGAACTGTGTTGCAATTGTTGAGTTGCCATGGTTACAGTTAAAGATGTCTGGTGTTTACAGGTAGACAACAGACACGTGAGCCCGGAGTCCGTGTCCCAAGTCTTCAAAGGATACTCGCTCCGTGACAACTCTTGGAAGGAGCTAGAAAAGAAGTAAGACACTGACAGGATACTGTATTGTCATTCACTCGGGAATCTACCTCTGATTGGCCGACAAATGAAGACTCATGGTAGAATAGGTCTTCAGCAACCCATGCTTGCCGTAAAAGGCGACTAGCGGGATCGGGTGGTCAGGCTCGCTGACAGGGTTGATGCATGTCCTCAATCCCAATTGCGTGGATTGATGCTCATGATATTAATCACTGGATTGTCTGGTCCAGACTTGATTATTTACAGACCGCTGTCATATAGCTGTATATTGCTGAATGCGGCATTAAACAACAAACAAACCAACCAACCTCTGATTGGCCAGTTGCCGACTTGTAGAAACCAATAACATGTTGGCTGGTGTGTATGGATATAATGACTTCTTACGTTTCACACTGTTACCATGGTTATAACTCACAAATGAGTCTTTGGCAAGAAAAAGTGTTTTCATGAATATTACTAGCAGTGGAAATTAACAGTTTTAGTCCACTAGTCCTTATAATGATAAAATATAGTAAAGCCCTTGAAAAGGCCAAATTTATACTGATTGTTATGATACCTTAACCATTGAGGAAGTTGGCAAGGACTAGTGCCAATTTTAACACTGATTATAACCAATGATTAAGACTGGGGAGGAAAGTCCCTCTGCTGTAAAGGCAATCCTAGTAAGGCTAGTCGAGTGCTGGTGATATTCCCGCTTGTTTAAATCATAAAACATGATAAAAGAACGTTATGATTTGACCTCGGCCCTAAATGGGGACTAGGTCAATGCGTCCGGTCTCTCTTGAAATAGCCTATGCCTGCATGGTATTGCTTTGTCAGCCTAGTCTATGAGAGCTATTAGAATAGACATTTAGCATGGTAAGGGTGAAACGATACAACAATACTTCAATGCACCAACATTCGTTGTATGCTATGCACGATACATCGGGCCTGTATCATGATACATGAATAAATAGGATATTTATCAGTATCTTATCTCTCTTAACGAAATCATAACCTTATCTGGATAGTAGGGATGTGCGGTTTTATCGGCATACCGGTATATTGCAATACAAAATCATCACGTTTTGGGCGTATCGGTTTTTCCCTCATTATTCAAACTGTGACAGACATGTATATGCCATGATGTATAGTCTTACCTTATTAAATCAAAACAAAGACAAAACAAATGCTTCATACTCTTTATTTGATTGTAGATAAAAATAATAGTACAATTTATTTAAATTGGTTCATAATTTTGACCAAATTGTTAACATTGCAGCTTTCATATTAATATTTGTCAAAGGGATATGAAAAAAAGCTTTTCACTTGGTAGAAATTATTTCCAAATATATTGCAATAATATTGCAATATGTTTTTGAAATATTGCAATATATCGCAATACACTTTTTGGTCCAATTCCCAACCCTACTGGATAGGGATAAATGCGAGCATAAAAGACCACCCGCGTCTTACAATTCAGATGTTTGGGATCATTTTGCTTTCCTGTTACTTTTTGTGATGGTTTCAAATAACAATGAAAAAACTATTGGTTGCCTTTTTTTTAGTAATTTGAAATACATGAGTTTTTCAGTTTATGACTTTTTGTATTATTATTCTGGCATATCAAGACCCATGAAGATTCGGGGTAGAATAGGTCTTCAGCAACCCATGCTTGCCGTAAATTAACAGGTGACTATGCTTGTCGTAAAAGGCGACTAACAGGATCGGTTGGTCAGGCTCCATGACTTGGTTGATGCATGTCATCGTATCCCAATTGCACTGTTGATGCTTATGATGTTGATCACTGGATTATGTGGTCCAGACTCGATTATTTAAAGACCGCCATCATATAGCTGAAATTTTGCTGAGTGCGGCATTAAACAAACAAATGAACATCTGGCGTATTGAGAGCAGTGTATCAAGATACATACCCTGGTACTCATATCTATGTTTTGTGTTTCAGGCGGGTTGTTGAAGAGGACACATTAAGTGTAGCATCCACGTTATTAAAATCTGAAGCCTACAAGAAAATATTGGACTTTGACAATCACTTTGATGATATAAAACACGACTGGAGAAACCTAGAGTTGAACGACCTCATCAGTCGCTGCACATAACTCTTCCTTCAGGGATCTGTGAATAATCTGTAAATGTAATATATGTTTCTGGGACTCGGACTGAAACTGTGAGAGAATGGGTCAGTCGGTGGCTCTGGATTGAGCCGTATCCAAGTTGTTGCCATAAATAAGTGTGTATATGCATGGTGCATGGTTCTCCAAAAATGGTCGTGTGGTTCCAGATGAATGTGAGAGTAGTTGCAGAGTTTGCAGCTATGAAACGTTACGGTTGTTTCCTCTGTGGTAAACCTATGTTTAGATCTTAACAAATGTTGTGGTTCTGAGTGCTCAAACAACTATGTTTTTGTCAGACATCAGCCTACACTGTATATCTGACATAATCATTTCGTGAAAAGAAACAGTTGCTCTATGCACCATACACTGACATTATAGGAAGTCCATTTGATCGGAATTTCAATTAATTTTTTTCGTAACTTAAACATTTTCTCTTTTTTCTTATCAATATTTAAGTAGCATTTTTGAGGCATGATACCATTGTATGTGAAATCATTTTCCACGTGTCATTAATTTTCATTCAATATTAGTATCGTAAAAAAATAAAGAACGATGGCATTTAAATTGGTCCTGTTTGTTGTGTCACATTTAGCTGGTTTAGTCACAATTATCAACAGCTGTCACAGGTACTGTTTAGTACAGTATTTAACCCAATAGGTGCACATGTAGAAATCATCAGTCCTTAATGTGATGCGCCCTAGACATGCAAGAGGTAGAAGGATAGAGTATGGCCACGGGTTGAAAACTGTCGATGTTGTTGTAATAACATGATGCATAGTCATGACAGCTGCCAATGTCACACGTTTTTCGTATTTGTTATGAATTTGCAACTAAATATGATATTTCTGCCTTAATTCATATGAATAATATGCCAGTATATGAAAGAAATACCACAAGGACAGTTTTCATAGACACTGGTAAAGAAAGGGTCTTTATTTAGCATTACACCATCTGCAACATGTGCCACAGTGTTTTCAGACACAGAGTAGAGGTTCTGTGACTAGTGAACCGTTCATAGTCCTATTTCATCACCTGAGCATCGACACTGCATCCATAGTCATGGCGATGGAGGAACGAAATGGATACAAACCTCGAAGTGTTGACAAGGGTTTTGGGAGGCTTGAAGTTTGTCACGAAATTTTGTTCAAGCCCTTTAGTACACAAAAATTGTACAGGAACAACCTATTTCTCTTCAAACACAGCATCTCTATGAAGCATTGCACCGATTGAGCTGAATAGGATACACTGTTTGTGGTCTTTTCATGTAAACTGGTAAATTGTTAAGTGTTGCTTGTAGTTTGAGTTAGGCTTTTTCTGATTAGAATTTAATCAGATTTTTTAAATAAGATATTAGATGTATTTAGGTGAGAGACAACTTCTTGCAACATGACTATGTATCTGTTGATGTTGGTTGATAATTGTCGGACAGCTGACAACATTGTTTAACATGTTTGGTGAAGTGTTGGGCAATACAGTTTAGGGGAATAGACAAGCCGGTAGTGTTTACTCTTTTCATATTCTAGACCCGAGTTTGTTTCTTAAAACTTGTGTGATCTGTGAAGCCATGCAGAGTGGTGTCCCTTAGACATGACAGGAACCTGGGGCTTTGAATTCAGGACCTGATTATGATTGTTGTGTTGTGTTGCTGCCTTCCCTTGTGAGAGGGTTTCTGCAAAGTGGTAAATGTCTAAGACCTGCATCACTTTGGACTTGATGATACAACCGAAATAATCAAAGTCCTCACTGCGGATAGACACTTCCACACCTGGTTGTGAGAACAGGTGCTCTATGGCTCTTTGAAGAGTTGTAGCCCTTAGCCATGCCAGGATCTGCTGCTATAAACTACCAATTTTCTCTGACATTGATCCTTGGCTTGTGAGAACCATTCCCATGCTAGTGGCTTTCACCGAAGTTGTAGACAATGTCCCTGGGTCCCTTTTCTCCACCATTAAGCTGGCTTGCCTTTATTAGCCAATATGCTAAAGGCAGTTGGACCCAATTCTATCCAGTCTCACTGATCATTTGTATATTTTTTCTATCATGTTTGTCACAGATTATTCAGCCCTGTCACTCTCTGAATTTATCCTTGTTCTGTTTATTCTCATGCTGATATGTTTTCATTCTTTGCATCATAAGCAGAAATTATTTAACCAGAACAGTGTATGTATATTTTGCGATGTTGTGTGTAACTCTGTGTGGAGTGAAGTGAGCCTGATGGTCCTTTAACACAGTATGATGTACCAGAGTCATGGGTGGCATGTGATGCGGTGAGCCTGAAGGTCCTATACTCCTTACAGTGATTTACACAGTATGATGTAACAGAGTCATGAGTTGCATGTGATGCAGTGAGCCTGATGGTCCAAACTCCTTACAGTGTTTTACACAGTATGATTTACCAGAGTCATGAGTTGCATGTGATGCAGTGAGCCTGATGGTCCTATACTCCTTACAGTGTTTTACACAGTATGATGTACCAGTCATGGGTCGAATGTGATGCAGTGAGCCTGATGGTCCTATACTCCTTACAGTGTTTTACACAGCATGATGTACCAGAGTCATGAGTGGCATGTAATGCGGTGAGCCTGATTGTCCTATACTCCTTACAGTGTTTTACACAGTATGATGTACCAGTCATGGGTGGAATGTGATGCGGTGAGCCTGATGGTCCTATACTCCTTACAGTGTTTTACACAGTATGATGTACCAGAGTCTGTGATGGGAGTTTGAGGAGTGAATTGCAGAAAGTGAGAAGTATTAGACTAGGTCTTCACACAAGTCATACTGAATGTTGGAAACAGAATTTTGTTGTTCAGAATGGGGATATTAACAGTCACAATATCTGAGAGAACCTCTAGATTGGATCTGTATGAACCATCACTGTGTCACTGTTAAAGAAGGTACCGATGGTTGTAGTCAAGTATTGTTTCTGTGCGTCCTAACATAATGTTTCAGAAACAGTAAGTTCAGTAGATTGATATTAGATATCAATGACACTTTTCTCTGTAATTCAAAAGAAAACCTCTTCAGCAGATAAACTTCTTGTTCAGTGATTTTTGTCATTCCTTAACGATGTTAGCCTATGTATGTGAGCTGATGTAAGACATTATATGATTACCTTGCAACCATCAGTAACCATGGTAACAATGCCTTAACTCATAAATGTGACGCATTAAAATTGGGTTAGATCTTTAGCAACCCATGCTGTCGTAAGGGGCACCTATGCTTGTTGTAAGAGGCGACATTCTTATCGTAAGAGGCAACTATGCTTGTAAGAGGCGACATTCTTATCGTACGAGGCGACTATTCTTGTCCTAAGAGGCGACATTCTTATCATAATAGCGACTATTCTTATCCTAAGAGGCGACATTCTTATTGTACGATGTGACTATTCTTGTCGTAAGAGGCAGGTAACATGACTAGGTGGTCAGGCTCACTGACTTGGATGATGCATGTCGTCATATCCCAATTGCATGGATCTATGCTCATGATGTCAATGTTAGGGTTGTCATTTTCACCCGCTTTCCATGTTCATTAAATCAGTTGGTTTGTGATGATTCTGTGGGAACATGCATTGCTCTTGTCCAAGATAGAGGTGTAAAGGTACAGTACTTATCCTGATACACGTTCTACATCCTTTCTTTCTTGTAGGCAGATTGTCTCCAGTTAATACTTACAAGAGAACAATTGGTCTCTTCAGCATTGCAGCACAAGCGTGTGTTATGTCTCCTGTGCATCATGGTGTACATAGGTTAGACACCCCCTCCCCCCCCCCCCCCCCCCCTCCTTTGCAGATGATTTGAATATATATATATGGATATCATATTTTTTTTGGGGGGGGAGTGAAAAAATGTTTCTGGTATGATATCGCCCTTGCCTATGTTGTATCAGTAGCTTGTATGATGATACAATATTGTATCTTTACACAACTTGTCGAAGGCATGTGACATTACATGAGAGGCATTAGAGCTAGTCACGCATTGGTCGTCATTGTGATACACGTCATTCAAAACCATTGTTCCATTGGTGACACTGGAGGCACTCTGTGTGAGAGACATTATATATCTAGGCTTGTCAGCACCTGAAACCTGCGTCACACCAAGCTTTCCTTCCTTCAAAGCGATGTTAATCCACACTCACTCACCTGTCATACATACAGTCAACACTCAAATTATATTAATTATCAAAGTATGCATGACATTGATCAATTGAAATTTTGTATAGATAATTAATAGGAAGCCCTGTAATAAGATTGCATCAAAACTTGTTGACATGAGCCTTGTTTCAGAAGACTGAATTGACAAAAAAAAATCCATGAAAATATGTACAGGTGTTGTGTTTAGATGGTGTAAAAAGAACATGCGTTGACAAGTGCTGTAGGTGCAAGAAGGGCGTCGTGAGCAGGATCCTCTGATTTGTCTAGGCAAGGAGTAATGTATTGGGTAGCTTGCAGATTCTCACCTCCTGTTTCCATGGATCTGATTGTGCTTTGTAAACAATAACTTTACTGATTGTTGCTCATTCTACTACACATATTTATTATGTAACTTTCTATCACATATGACTCTTTTTTTACTACATATGTTCACTATCTTTTATTCTCAGCAGTAATATTGTACGATTGTTTGGTTTATTAAGAATCTTGAAGCCTTAAAGCATTTTTAAAATGGCATAGCCTAGTGGTTAAAGAATTTACCCGTCAAGCCGAAGTCCCGGGTTTGATTCCCGTCATGGGTACAATGTGTGAAGCCCATTTCTGGTGTTCCCCTGTCATATTTGCTGGAATTCTGCTCATGCAATTTCATGATTGATATTATTCAAACTTGTTTACTTTTTAATTTTCATAAAGGTTGAGAAGAAATAGGAATTCCCTTGGTTGATTGTTGGGATATACCTGTAATCCTATAGTAGGTTTAGATGCTCATATTTCTTGTATGTTACATGATCCATAATATTCAGATAGACTAGCTAATGGGTTACCATGGATACTTGTGTGTAGTTATACTAGTTCAACATCCTCAGCACTGAAGTAACGTGCATGTTGACATAATGTATTGCCATGATTTTCTGTTGAGACGACAGGACAATATTGTTTTCAGCTGTGTATAATAGAATATCTATAAGAAGTTTATGTAAAAAATACATGTTCTCAGTTCTTAAAGTTCTCACATTTAATAAGAATTGAAATTATCGGTGATAAGAATGAACATCACTTAGGACATGGAGTCTTCATTCAAGTGAGTTTGATTTTACCCCGCTTTTAGCAATATCACAGAAATGGGCTTCACACATTGTACCACTGATACTCCTAGTTTTAAATACACATGCAGTTCACATTTAAACTCCTGATCACTCAAGTACTGTTTGTGTCACAAATGGACATTACTGTTTACTGGGGTATTTTACAAGGCCCATCGTATTCTCCATCCCCTAATATCCAGGGTGTCATGACGCCATGCTATCATGATAACTTGTCTGGACCCAGTTGCCAGCTCGGCTTTGTTTCAGAAGTGACGTCGCAAGAGTACTGCACTATACTTATATATTGTATTACTCTTACACTCTGGGAACAATAAAAAAAATGATGTAAAAATTGTATGTTTTCACCTTAAATTAGCTATCTCACCTCTTTTAATAAATTAATCGTAACTCACAATCCTACCCCCATCATGTTTGATTGGCGTGTGATGCCCAACCCTAACGATCTTAAAAGTCCGCTTGATCAGAAAGAGGATCCAGGTGCTGAGGATAGACTTAGGGTGAGTTTGGTTTCCCTAACAATCAACGAAGCACGTTAGTTCAGTGAAGTGAGAGCCCCAGTTGACAGCAAGGGCCAATTGGATTCGAAGCTCACCCGACCCGTGAAGATCCAGGGTAGAATAGGTCTTCAGCAAACCATGCTTGCCGTAAAAGGCGACTATGGTTGTGCTAAAAGTCGACTAACAGGATCAGGTGGTCAGGCTCGCTGACTTGGTTGATGCCTTTCATCAATCCCAATTGCGTAGATCGATGTTCATGTCAATCACTGGATTGTCTGGTCCAGACTCGATTATTTACAGGCTGCCGTCATATAGCTGGAATATTGCTGAGTGCGGCATTAAACACAAAAAACAGCACCCAGTGACCTGCAGTCCACCTCCATAAAGCAGCAAATGGGTCCATGATATTTTTTTAAATAGACATACTAGATAATAGCTCATGCATATTCTCTTAATGGCCAACAATTTTGAAGTTGGTCATGGGACCACAGATCTAGAATAAATATTACGAGAACCTGGCTTCCAAGCCTCCAGATGAGCACTACCACTGTTGGGTTGTCACTATATTTGATTTGACATTTTTGTACAATTGTTGTGCGACAGATTTCTCCTCATTCCTGTGTGTTTCTCTGTACCATGACTGTCTCCTCACACAGGTGTTTGTACAAGATGTGCGTTACGTCGGTACAAATGGTGACCAGACGAAGTAACAGTCCATTGCATCCTGCAGTCGAGATGTAAATAAAACTGTCAATAGATGGAGGACTGTTTTCTTGTTTTGTTCGTTGTCACAATTCACTGTACAGATGGGTGAGGTCGGGTAGCCTAGTGGTTAAAATGTTTGCTCGTCACAATGAAGACCCGGGTTTGATTCCCGATATGGGTACAATGTGTGAAGCCATTCCTGGCGTCCCCTGTGTTGATGTTGCTGGAATATTGCTAAAAGTGGTGTAAACGGTACTAAAACCATACTCACTCACTGTACAGATACTGATGATCGTGGGTTTTAATCCTGGCTCACCCTGATTAGGTTTGTCTGTGCTACTTCAGGTTTTCCTCCCATATTCCTTGATAAAACTGAAATACTGTTTTAAGGCGGCATAAAACCAAACTCACTCTCAATATCAGCTCATGGACCTGCATCAATTAAGGCCTTCATGACAAGCCGGAATATAACTACAATATTGCTTAAAGCAGAAAACCCAACTACTGTTCTCCCCAAGGCAGCTTGCTGCTGTAGGCATTATATATCAGCATGTTGGCTTGATGTGAGGGGGAAGCCTGAGGTGATGCAGGTTGTCTTCCACTTGGGGGAAACCCATGAGTATGGCACAGACAAACCAAAAACCATAATCTGGGCAAATCTGGGGTTAAACCAAAGTGAGTGAGTGAGTTTGGTTTTACACCGCTTTTAGCATTATTCCAGCAATATCACGGGGACACCGGAAATGGGCTTCACACATTGTACCCATGTGGTGAATCAAACCCGGGTCTTCGGCGTGAGGAGCCAACGCTTTAACCACTAGACTACCCGACCACCCCTTTTGAAGAGTTTGTAGAAGTCTGAGTAATGAATGAACAATGTACCTATACCACATGTTCGTTTATTCTGTCGGAAAACATTTCATGCTTGTAAGTACTACACACTGGCTCTTGTCGCTCCGTGTTTCTGGTTACTTTATACACAGTAAAACAGCTGGAGCCGGAACTCACAATGACGGCTGACACAACCACTTCAAAGGTGACACAATCTTAAACACACCAGTGAAGATATATAGCACTGTTGAGATCTTCCAAGTTGTGAGCACAACCGTGACCACTGCTGCCATCAACATCATAAAAGAGCTACAAAATATACCATGTCTCGAAAATATGTGTTCTGTACATCTATAGTCTATGTTATAGGACATCATCAGTGATAAAAACGATGGGGGGGGGGGAAGAACCAATATTATGTAATATAACATTTCACACCAAATCATACATATATTAAAATCATGCCACTTCATGAGTGCCTTGACAATAGTTATAGAGTGTTTTTCACAAAGGAAAGCTTAAAATCTACCCAAACAGGCCAAGGCTGACTCACCTGTTGTTTCTGATGAGATTTGCACTGCTGCTTTTCTCATATATCAAAGTGCATGTGAAGGAGTGAATACAGAACTTCTTTTTAATACTTGTGGAAAATGGAAATGGTTTATAGATACTGAACCTAAAAGATTAGGGATCATGAATTCTTTGGGGATATTTTTATGAAATTGTGGGTTCAGTCTTCACTACCGTCCCAAAATATTCATGACTCCTAAGTTTTTTGTTCAGTATATACTGAGACAGAACGATGCAAATACTGATTACAAGTTAAGGCACAGATTGAAATGCTTGATTATATTATCACTAAATTATGAAAATAGTTTTCAGGAGCTGCTTTATAAACATGTTCTCTTCAATCCTTCCGTCATTTTAACGAACAAGTTCAAGGGAACTGAGTGAGTGAGTGAGTTGGGTTTAACGCCGCTTTTAACAGTATTCCAGTTATATCACGGCGTGTCAGCTTAATGTGGGAGGAAAGCCCGAAGTGATGCAGGTCTCAGACGTTTACCACTTCGGTGAAACCCACGAGCACGGGTATGGTGCTGACAAACTTAGAAACATTATTGGGGTGAACCGGAATTCAAACCCACATTCATAGGTTTCTGGCGTGCCCAAGGGACGCAACTCTGCACAGCGAATCGCGGTGCCTTAGACGACTGAGCCACCCGTGCCCCCAAGGGAACTGAGACCCAGTGAGACATAATGTGAGGGTAAAGATGATTAAATGTATTATTGGAACTGATTAGTAAGGTGGGGACGGTACAACCAGCTTGTGTAAGGCAAGTGAGAGTAGCACGGTCAGAATTGGTACGAGGGAAGTTGAGGAACAATAAATAAAAAACAATTTCTCCTCATGCATTCCCCCTCAGCACTTAGTCTTCAATAAAATGAATGATTACAGATTTAATCTGAATCACAATCGCACATATGAACCACATGGAATATATACTATTTACATTCATTACAGAATTTGAATAACAAAAAGATTGCATTAATACACAACATGATAGTAAAGAGGAGAGATAAGTCAGAAATATGGCAGACAGGTTCTACATAGAGGAACTATGTACATCTCCACAGAAACACGTTCCCACAATGACTATGTCATAGCTTCAACATCCTCCACACGCACGGACTTGAACTGAATCTCCATGTCCTCCGAGTCTTCTTCTTGAAGCTCCCCCCCATCCACTTCCCCCTCCACGGCGTCAGCTTGGTTGTCTTGTAGATGGTCATCAGCATCCTGCTGGGACACGACTGGTTCCAGGACTACGGGGGGATCCTCCTTGGACACGACCGGCTCCAGGACGACGGGGGGATCCTCCTGGGACACGACCGGCTCCAGGACGACGGGGGGATCCTGCCTGGACCCATCCGTCTCCAAGGCAACAACAGGAGCATCCTGCTGCTCACGCAGGTTAGAAATTGTCTCTTGTTTAGTTTTCTTGGAGCTTGCCGGACGTTTACTCTCCAGACGAGCCTTCTTGAGGACATCCGATGGAGTGTAGTCTCCGGAGAGAAAGAGGGTCTGTCTCTCCTGGCCCTTCCTCTGTGCGGACATTGTTCTCTCGCAGTGGGAGGACCGGCTTCCGGGCTTGATGTTCTCCTTGTGGTGAAGGATCTGTTTGGGCGTGGTCGGGGCTCCTGTGTGTCTGGCCAGATCCATCTGGAGCCGCAGAACCTCTGTCTTCAGCTGCTGATTCATCTGAAACAGACCAATGGACTAAGCTGTTTGTTGCTGCCACAGTACATGTTTCAGCCCTGTCATGGCAGCCTTTAAGTAGCTCAGTCAAGCCAGCCAAAACAAATATTAAAAACACGAAATCACAGGGATTTATCTAGACCTGCTCAGAGGCCGATATTCCCAGCAAATGTCTAAAATATCCCAAATTGTAATTACAAATTTTCCAATTGTTATTAAATAGTAATAACTGGTGTTATGACTGAAGAAGCGACTTCGATTTCACTGAAAAATTTGAGCAAAAAAATTTCTTTCCACATTGTGGTTTGGAATCCTTAATAAATCCCTGATTATGAAGTGAATGTTTTGGGCTGCGGCAGCCAGAAATTCAGACAAACTAGTGATTGATATAATGAGCAACGTCCCATGCCATCAGGGTCTGCACTGCCATCCACACAGAGCAGTTGGGTCTCACATTAAACTTGGGCTAGTGGGGAACTTTTGTGCAGAGTTTTTAGCTGTCACTCAGCAAAGAGTGCAGCAGTTTCCGGTGATTGTTTATTTGTTGTTTAACGCAGCGGTCAGCAACAGTCCGACTACATGGCAGCAGTCTGTAAATAATCAAGACTGAACCACAGTGATTGACATCATGAGCATCAATCTACACATTTGGGATACCACGACATGCATCAACCACATCAGAGAGCCTGACCATCTGACCCCGTTAGCCGCCTCTTAAGACAGGCATGAATTGCAAAAGACGAATTCTAACCCATATATTCCCAGGGGCAGAGTTCAGGGAATTTGCAGCATGATGGGAAAACTAAACACATATATACATCCTACATTTGTCAGCTCAAAATTCTCCGCCTTCGTCTTCTGGAAGAGTTTGATCTTCTGTTTGAGATTCATGTGTCCCCCCATCTTGGCCACCTCCTCCTGCAGACTCTTCACCTTCTCCAGCGTCTCCTCCAGCTCCTGGGAAACACACACACAAAACTGTACCCTGGGTCTACATCATGCCTAATTCCTGCATATATCAAACAATAATTTCCTGAAATTCATGCAAATGATTTGATATGAATCATAACTGACACAATAAATTCACTAAGGAAATCTAATTCAAACTGAGAGTTTACAATATTTAGAGAAAAGCTGTTTAAAAGAAAACAAATGTACAAAATTTTCAGAATTAAATACATGTGTAAAACTGAAATAACTTTCATAAAATAGATACTTGGAATTTCCACCATGTATCAACTGTAATATTGGAATCAAAGTCGTGACTCCCAAACTCCTGTCCCCAAATATATGGTGAGTCATCATGTCTCCCATTTTCACAAGGCCACGTAAAGCCCTGACTGTACTGTTGTTTGTAGCTTATCTCAACTCATTTAGATTCATGAAGTCTTTGAAAGAATGGTGAGAAACAAGTAACAATTGAGGAAATAGAGGGTCAATTCACACTGAATTCTTCTTTTCACATGATAGTTATTGCACAGGTGAGGTGAGGTGAAATTTGGTTTATGTACCGTGTGTGCATGCACGTGTGTGTGTGGGTGATTTTACTAGTCCGGACTGTTGCCAATTTATAGTGTTAGCCCACTGAGATACCATGCCACAGTTTAACATGAATACCCCACTCAGACACAGTATACTGACTCCGAGCCAACCAGGCCTTGCTTTAGCCCCTTAATACAGAGCGCCAGACAGGGTAACAACAAGTACCATCTTTTAACGACTTTTAGTATGACGGGATCAAACCCCGGACTTTCCACTCTCCGGGCGGTGGAAACTGGACTTTTACAGTCAGTTAACTCCCTTGCCTCGTGAAGATGATCCCCATTGGGACAAGTAATACTTACAGTCTGAGACTTGCTGTAGTGTTCCTTCAACACCTCCAGCTCCGAGTGCTTGATGCTCTTCTCCTCCCGGTCCTTGATGCACACTGCAGCCAATCTGTGTACAGAACATGACATCAAGATGGATATATCGGACATTTTCTCCGGTTGTGAGCAAGGCAAGAAATATAGTACGTTTTTCAAGATCTGCTCCGGAAAGAGCACTACCGCCATTTTCAGTCGGTGAAAGTCAGAATTGTTGCCATGGAAACTCAAAAAACATATTTTTCAAAAATCCCAAACAAACAAAAGGCACCGGTTCACCACTAGTCCTATCTATGTGCCAAGTTTGGTTAAGATATCTCTCATGTTTTTTTAGTTCAGCTCCATAAACGAAACGTGACGGACAGATGGACAGGCTGACGGTACCCATTCCTATATCCCCTTTCCACTTCGCAGCAGTGGACAATAACAACCTCTGATCGAACAGATAATTTGACAATCGCATCAGAGGGGAAGCTACTATCCAGGCAAAAGAACTAATCATTCCAAAGATAGTTTGATATCGTTTGGGGGATGACCACTTTATGTTGGCTTACAAAGTACCTGTGTTACAGACTTTCATTGTCTGAATATGAGTCAACTATAAAGGGATAAAAAAACAACAACAATATTTGAGAATATATTTCATCATACTGTGTTAAGAGGGTGGCTGCTGATGGTGTTTCCCCAAACCCATACAAAAGACCAATACAAACCACTGGACTCGACTCATGCCACTTTACTCTTCCATCACAGCCCAGAGTTCACAATTAATTCATGGTGGAATGGAGATACTGTTTTTGCAAAGCAGAGCAAGGCTACCTGTAGATTTAACCGTGCTAAATGTAACATTTAACTCTTGGTACTCGTGTCACAGGTATTATGGTATTTCCATGCACTGTCACCTTATAAAATTTGTTTCCTGATCAAACATCTTTACGCACAAAACTAACACGGCTTTGTTTATATCAACTACCAACTCTGTCACACAGATCTATTTTGTTAAACCAGGTGAGGTGAAATGGGGTTTAACGTCGCGTCCAAGATTATTGCACTTATATAGCGACGTGCAGGCACGTGTGTGTGTGTGTGGCTGCTTGTACTTGTCCGGACTGATGCCTCTTTTTAGTGCTAGCTCACTGAGATACCATGCCACAGTTTAACATGAATACCCCACTCAGACACAGTATACTGACTCCAAGCCGACCAGTCCTTGTTTTAGCCCCTTAATGCCGAGCGACAGACAAGGTAACAACAAGTACCATCTTTTAACGTCTTTTGGTATGACCTGATGACGCGGTCAGGGATTGAACCCTGGACCTTCCGCTCCCTGGGCGGACGCTCTACCACTACACCACGGAGGCGGTCTTTTGTTGAACCAAAGAAGGAAAGTTATGATTGTGTACAAGCCCTAATGCAGTTACATATGCACCTGCCACACAATCTGAGACAGGCTGTTATTAAATGGAGCAAGCTTGATGGTCTGGCTGACTATATTTAGTTATAAAAATAAAGAATATGAACTTGTGGATGGCAATGATCTGACTAGATCTTAACATATTGCAAAAAAGTGATAATTATTCTACTCATACAACCATGAAAGATCTCATCTGTAATTATTTGCCTTTATTGTTAAAGACATCTGTGGTAGTTTATTACCCTTGGAGGTCCAGCTTGAATTTATCTGAATTCTAAAGTTGCCTAATGCCTATATTGCTAATGCTATTCATTTCAACTAAGATACCTTGTATTCTCATCCACCAATGTCTTCATGGAGTTTTCCAGATCTTCAAGTCTACTCTGTCTGTCTGTCATGCTGAAAGTTATACAAATACTCAACTTATCTGAACAATATCATCAATATCGCAAAATGAAAGTGAAAATAATATGCAGTATGGTTTTACGTGGCTTTAAGCAACATTCCAGCAATATCATGGCAGGGGACACCAGAAATGGGTTTCACACATTGTACCCATGTGGGGAATCGAACCTGGGTTTTTGGCGTGACGAGCGAACGCTTTAACCACTAGGCCACCCATCGCCCCAAGAGTTACAAGAGTGACACGAGGGCAATTCCAGGCCTTATTTCGATCTGACTTTTATCTTATCTATCTTGTCAATTGTGGATTGGATACCTATTTGTAAACATCAAATTCCTGCCGGCATCCAACTCGAGATTCGAGGATGGAGACATGCCTGATTCAAGACATTCGACAAAATTCTGAACATTCAAGGACATCAATGACATTAACAGTACAAATAAACATACAGTGAGGTTTTACATAGCGACCAAGATTATTGCACTTAGTTAGCGATGTTCATGCACGTTTGTGTGTGTGTGTGTGGCTGCTTGTACTAGTCTGGACTGATGCCGATTTATAGTGCTAGCCCACTGAGATACCATGTTTCAGTTAAACATGAATACATGTACCCCACTCAGACACAGTATACTGACTCCGAGCCAAGTGGCAGGCTGGGTAACAACAAGTACTGTCTTTAAATGTCTTTTGGTATGATGCAGCCAGGGATGGAACCCCTGACCTTCCACTCTCCGGGCGGACGCTCTACCACTAGACCACGGAGTCGGTCTACAAACATACAGAAGCTCCATGACCCCTACCTCTCTATGAGCTCCATCTTGGCTTTGTGGTGCCGGTCAGTCTGGTGCTTGGCCTGATTGGCCTCCTCCTCTGCCCGGCTGACCAACTCCTCCTTCTCCTTGACCTGGGCGTCCAGCAGACTGGCTCTGTCACACACAACCACATCGGGATATTGAATTCTCTTTAGATCAATTTGATACCTCTTATTCTCATCAGGTGTAAATGTACAAGTCATAATGTCACAGTCTGAATGCATTGTCAACACGAAATACCTACATACTCCCAAAACACAAGTGTCAAAATGTGTGGTGTCACCCTGGGCAAGTGACTTAGTTCAAATGTGCCTCTGTTCACCCAGCAGGGAATGGGTACCCAATGTGATGTGGATGTGAGGTGAATTGCGGCGCCATAGAGGACTGGGCTACGCATGCCTCAAAATAAACATGTGTACAGTTATAGGTTGTGAAATTTGATGCAGGTCTCAGACTTTACCGTGAACTTCTGACAAACCTAGAAACATAACCATGGCGAACAATCATAGGTTTCTAACATGCCTAAGGGGCGCAACTCTGCACAGCCAATTCGCGGAGATGACTGGGCCAACCATGCTCCCAGAAGGAGAAGAAGGTAAGATGAGGTGAAATTCTGTCGCGTGAGTGAGTTTGAGTGCTAGTCCGGACTGATGCCGATTTATAGTGCTAGCTCACTGAGATACCATGTCGCAGTTTAACATGAATACCGCACTCAGACACAGTATACTGACTCTGTGCCGACCAGTCCTTGTTTAAGCCCCTTAATGCCAATCGCCAGACAAGGTAACAACAAGTACCATCTTTTAACGTCTTTTGGTATGACGCGGCCGGGGATCGAACTCCGGACTTTCCGTTGTCTGGGTGGACGCTCTATTCACGAGGCAGTCAGAAGAAGGATAAGAAGGAGAAAATAAAAAATGAGGAGAAGAAGAAGGAAAAGAAGGATAAGAAGAAGGAAGAGGAGATGGAGAAGAAGAAGGTGAAGAATAAGGAGAAGAATAAGAATAAGAATCATACCTGGCATTCAAAGACAAACAAGATGGTGGCTAGTACACGGTTTTACATTTACTCTCAAGGCGTGTACTCACTGAGCATGGACATTTTGGAGCTCCGCCTCAAGCATACAGCATCTCTCCTCCAGGCAGTTCCTCTCACACTGGAGCTGACCAAAGTCTTTCTGGAAGCAGACATTGAATCAGGAATAAGTCCTGAGCACAACTGATGGGCAATTATGAAAAGCCTTACGGACCACGGACCTCTTGCAACAACCATTGCAGAGAAAAGCATACACGAGCATCACTGGGCAGTTGACCCAGTGTGTGTTACTGATGGCAGTGTTCAAAGTAACTGCCAGCCCGCCTGCCCATGGCTGCTAACTTTCTGTCGGGCTGCTAACTTTCTGTCGGGCTGCTAACTTTCTGTCGGGCTGCTAACTTTCTGTCGGGCTGCATGAAATTTTCCTCCACCTGCCCAATTGCCTGGCAGATCATTTTAAGACTACTTACGTATGCAGTTGTTTCATAACTCCTCGTAGATTCTAAAGTGATTGTTTTTCATTATTTCAACTGAATCTGGATGAGATTTTTGTGTGCAATGTTTCTGTATTTATAATGTTTGAATGTGGGCAGGTAACTTTGAAGATGGGCAGGCAACACTTATGGGTCACCTGCCCGACTGTCTTGTTGGGTTTCAAACACGGCTGATGAGATTCACCTGGTACATGGAAATGCTGTCGTTCTTCTCCTGCAGTAAGACGTCATTCTGGTTCATGAGCTTCTCCAGCTCCAGGATTGTCTTATTAGAGCTGAGAGGTTGTCAAGGCAACAATTTCAGAAAGAGTGAATTTTCTAAAAATTAGTACACAAACTTAGTTTTAATCTAATGTTTGGTTTGAAATCTTACAATGTACACAAGTTTGTTAGAAAAAAAGAAGATGTTTCTTTCACTTACAAATGAGTTTGGTCGGAATAACACATAGTTTTACATGAAACATCTCACCGGCATGGCAGCCAACTTAAGGTTTTATATCAGAATGTGTTGGTTATCAGCAATTACAGGGGGAAAATCAATGAAGTGCTATGCTTTTTAGTTTTGTTTGTTGTTTAACACCACACTCAGCAATATTCCAGCTGTATGACGGCGGTCTGTAAATAATCGAGTCTGGACAAGACAATCCAGTGATTGACATCATGAACATCCATCCATGCAATTGGGATCGATGACATGCATCAACCAAGTCAACGAGCCTGACCACCCGATCCCGTTATTTGCCTTTTACGGCAAGCATGGGGTAAAGCATGGACAAATTTTGGGACAGTATAAGCAGTTAACACTTTTCTTGAGAACATGATACCTATCTTTTCAATGACAAATTTGGTCAAACGATTTAAATTTAATGATGCTCTTTGTGCTTTATACTGCAGATGTTCATGACATAGCCACTGAGACTAGTTCTTGTACAAACTCTTTCCCAACTTAACCAAATCAGGGAGGAGCCGTTCTCAGTACAAAGGATTATCATTAAACAATTATTATTTTCTGTTGAGATATTGTACGATAGGGGAGAATGTAAAACTTAGATAAAATTACTGGGAAGATATAAATCTAACACAACGTTAAAATAAACTTTCACAATGATGTTAATAGATGAAGTACATACCTGACTTTCCCCAAATAGCAACTCAATAACGAATGAATGTTATCCGATCTGGGTGGATTTTTGTAGGGCAAGAAATGGGGGAACGCATGTGCATTTCAATTTGCACAGAACTCGCGTGCACCGGGTTACCATGATGCGTTAGGGCCATCGGTTTTATAGTCATCTGCTTTGTTTTTTTATCATCAAATTTCATTTTTCCAGATACGGTAATGTTAAATTTTAGAAACTTTGACAAAAATTACCCAGATATTTTAATGACATCTTTTCATGCAATATTACTTGGGGTGACGTTTCTTTTGCAGTTCAGTATACATTGAATGCCATGTTAAAAAACATCGGAATTAAAGAAAAACTTTTCCCCCAGTTTCCCTATCAAGTTTTTGAAGTTTTAATTGCAAAATTTCTCAGTCAAGAGGAAAGAATTTCTTTCTGACTTTGATGCACATAAAAATAAGTTGTTTCAAAAGCCCCATTTCCAGGCTGCTACTTGTCTGTCACCCCCAACCCCCAAAAGTAAGTTGTTTTCTCTCATGAAAAACAGTTTGAGAGCCGACAAGGATACTAATTTTTCTGTTCTTCATCATTTTTTATCTGAAATTGAAACAAATACAAAAAATAAGAGACAAACCTGCCAACTGAACAACTTCGAGAACAACGTTCATTTATATCAGTACATGACGCTTGTGCATATAGATCATTAATATACATAATTAATATGTCACACACTTCAGTGATTGGAGGGACAACAGCCACATGGCAACAAAAGAACTGGGCCCTGTTCCTCAAAGCGATCTTAGCGCTATGATGATCGTAAGACTATGCAAAAGTATGGGACTTACGATCACCTTAGTGCTAAGATCGCTTTGACGAACGGTGCCCAGGTTTTTACCAATGTCATATTTAAAAACAACTATGTACTACAACTGGGACGAGATACATGGCAACATGGTTATCAAACTATACATATTGCAATATTTTATCTGTGTTCCAGCATATTGGGTAAAAAGTATATAAGAGTGAGTGAGTGAGTTGGGTTTAACACCGCTTTTAACAGTATTCCAGTTATATCGCAGCGTGTCAGCTCAATGTGGGAGGAAAGCCCGAAGTGATGCAGGTCTCAGACGTTTACCACTTTGGTGAAACCCACGAGCACGGGTATGGTGCTGACAAACCTAGAAACATAATCGGGGGAACCGGGATTCAAACCCACAATCATAGGTTTCTGGCGTGCCCAAGGTAAAGTATATAACAAGTTTTGTTATTATTTGTATTATTTAACTTAAAATCTACGAAGAAATTCATTCACAAATGATGTTTACCTTCAAAATTGATTGACATAACGTCAGAATGTGGAAGTGATTTTTCTATCATGTTATCTCCGCTGTATCCATGACTACAAAATGCCGGCCACTGACCATGCTGTGTCATATTTACTTTAGTATGTAGACAATAGGATCTACATGTACAATCAGTGTCCAACACTTTACAGCTCCCAATCTATAGAATACTTATCGCAATATACAGCAATAAGAATTTTGGCCAATACACAGCCCTAATAGCAATGTGCCAGGTCAGCACATCCTGGTAGTTGTGCCCCGGAGCACCTAGCTTCACCCCAGCATGGACTTGAGGTGGGCCTCACCTCTCTGTCTCTGTGTGTCAATTTGGCCTGAGTGAGTGAGTGAGTGAGTGAGTGAGTGAGTGAGTGAGTGAGTGAGTGAGTGAGTGAGTGAGTGAGTGAGTGAGTGAGTGAGTGAGTGAGTGAGTGAGTGAGTGAGTGAGTATGTGTGAGTGAGTATGGTTTTACGCCGCTTTTAGCAATATTCCAGCAATATCATGACGGGGCACACCAGAAATGGGCTTCACACTTTTGACCAATGTAGGGACTCGAACCCAGGTCTTCAGCATAACAAGCGAACTTTCTAACCACTAGAATACCCCACTGCTCCGTGTCAATTTGGACCAAGGCTTATTCATTTAAGTTCACAAGACCAAGATACAACTATCAACATAAACATTCCTAAAACCATAACACCATCTTGCCAGGCTTGTTTAGGAGGCCAAAAGTTTAGGAGGCTAACAAGATGTACAATGCAAGCTGAAACAGGGATTAGAATCTGCCTGTGTAATAATGGCAAAAACTAATTAAAGAATAACTTTAAGATGGCATGGCTGGAGGTTAATTTACCTGTTTAAAATAAGTGTTATATAGGACAATAGCTGTGATGACTTGTGAGATACCATGATCTGACTGCACCTTGCCTACCTGTTGAACAATGTGCATCTGTTTGAAGACTTTACCAATTCTTTTTCTCTCTCAGTTTTCTTTTACAGTGGTTGCCATAATGATAGTTCTTCGATCTGATTTATTTACCAGTTTGTTTACCACACAGTATTTATTAGGTTTTCACTAGAGCTGCAATCCAAAAGCCTCTCACAGATAGGTAACATAACAGTAATGATTGAACAACCATTTTGATGCTCACTCTATTGTAAATGGTTTGTTGGTTGGTTTGTTGTTTAACGCCGCACTCAGCAATATTCCAGCTATATGACAGCGGTCTGTAAATAATCGAGTCTGGACTAGACAATCCAGTGATTGATATCATGAGCATCCCCTCTATTATAGAAAAAAACAACTTGCCTCGTTTGTAAGCAATGCTATTTTCTCCTGTAGCTTGGCACATTCAGCCTGAAAAGAAGCAAGTTTTAGGTCAATGTTGCTGTATCTAAATATACATGACAAGTAGAGGTGTAACGATACGGGAGGGTCGCGATACGATACATATCACGATACAGTGTTTACTGGTACAAGCTGATGTCTTTCTGCTCTCTAAAAGATGTGACAAGTACAGCTGAAGAAGATATAAGGTGTTTATTTACTGTTATAGCAAATTGTCAGCAATACAGTGTATGTTTTACTGAAACAACAAACTGGCTTTGAAATTGTTAAACGTATTTCATGTTTTTAAAGTACCGTATTTTCTTGAGTATAGTGCACACCCATGTATAATGAGCACCCCCTCTAGAGGGTTCAATATTTTGGAAAAAAAAGAAATTTGAATATTATGCGCAGAAAAGAATTACACCGTATCCCTTCAGCAAAGTCCGGCAAACGAACGGGTGATGAGAAACTTCGTCAGTACAAATTCGAAATTTGAGATAAAAAATCACCAGACATGTTGATTTACCGTTTAAATTGTATTTTTTGTTCAGCTAGGCATTGTTTTATATCCAGGGATTAAGATTACCTTGTTTATTTTCTTGTAACCTAAGCCGGACACAGCAATCAGCTGTACACACGTGTTCTTGGAATCTACCGGTGATTCGGTCAAGACACACCCAATGATATAACTTTACAGGATTTTAATGCAAGGATCGGAAAAAGTTGTATCTGAAACTACTTTTTTATCAGGAATAATATATTCCAATATCTTGTTAATTTAGATGCAGCTTTTACTAAACATATTTAAAATAATAATAACCCTAAGCGAAGCAGCTGATCGCTATTGCCGGGTATTATTTTTTACATGGAACCAGTCTGACCAGTCACCGTCAAGGCTCCCATGCACGTGATCGCTTGATCGCGAGAATTACGTGTTGACATAGAATCGTCCAACAAAAAACAAATATAACTTTTAACGAATCAAAGTATGGCATTTATGATATATGTATCCATTCTCTGTCAACTAAAGTTCGTTTCAAGGCGTCAATAGCGGTAATCTGACCGTGGTTGCTGTTAATAACGTTGAGTTGTGCGATCTTCCGATCGCTTCACACACGATTTCGCCGAAATTAATTAAAACAATATTAAAAGGAATTTTGAATAAAATTAATGAAATAAGTTACAAACATAAGTCCAGATATACAAAGAACACTTTTTATAGCCAGACAGTGTAATTACATGAATAATTTGCGAACTTCAGTATTGATTTGTTGACATGGTATTTCCGGTGTTACGTGCACGGTAATGTCTTTCCATGGGGGAAAAACATCAAAACTCATTAAGTAAAACTGTGTTATGAAAATATCGTATGTATCGCGATACATGCTTTCCAAATCGATGCATCGTATCGTGGGCTGTGCATCGGGATACAATACTGTATCGCCGTATCGTTACACCACTAATGACAAGAAGTGTTTGTTTGTTGTTTAACACCACACTCAGCAATGTTCCAGCTGTATGACGGCGGTCTGTAAATAATCAAGTCTGGACAAGACAATCCAGTGATAAATATCATGAGCTTTCACCTCTAAAGTGGGATACGATGACATGCATCAACCAAGTCAGCGACCGATGACCACCCGATCATGTTAGTCGTCTCTTACGACAAGCATAGTCACCTTTTACGGCAAGCATGGGTAGCTTAAGACCTATTCTACTCCAGATCATCACGGGCTGACAAGAAGTGACACTCAACGGTTACTATAGCGACATGCTGAAATATAAAGGTAATGTGAGTCAGTATTCACGTCCCCTACCTGTGATGCTGCCAGGTGGTTGCGAGTCTCCTGCAGGTCTTCCTGGGCACGCTCTTGCTGCTCACTCATGTGTTCCATGCTGTCTTGTACCACCGACATCTGTGACAACACAAACACACATCTCACAAACACAAGGGGCAATGGGACTTGAAATGGATATAAAATATAATTGAAGAACGGTGGAAATGAAAAATCTGATGTCAACAAATGTACAATTGACACATAATGGATGCTTTTGCAGGGTCCATCCATAAAATTTGTGAGTCTGTGGTAGGATTCGAACCACTGAACGTCTGATCTGAGGCAAGACGCCTTGTCCACCTGACCAAAGAGGTAAGGATATCATCTGTGGGATGACTCCTTCACTTTCATTACAGGAACCCCTCTCACCTCCACATCAAACTTGATCTTGACAGTTGCGGCCTCCTCCTGCAGTTGGAGCACTTGTTGTTCCAGGGAGGCCAGGTGCTGGACCTGATTGTTGTGGGCAGACTGCAAGATGTCGTGCTGCTGCGTCTTGTTGGTCAGTCGCGACTCCAGGGTGAGCTGCTCCTCCTTCAGACTGCCCAGCTTCGTCTTCTGGTCCTGGATGGTGTTCCACAGACTTGCCACTGATGCCTGGTGGTGCAGTGGAGAGTTAAACACACGGGCCAACATTTGGTTAAAGACGCAAAGATATGCACGCATGCACAAGTTATTTGCACCACAAATCAAGCTGGATGGTGTTCCACAGACTTGCCACTGATGCCTGGTGGTGCAGTGGAGAGTTAAACACACCGGCCAACATTTGGTCACAGACGCAAAGACATGCACGCATGCACAAGTTATTTGCACCACAAATCAATGAAGAATTTTGTTCCGAATTTTGATACAAATTCCTGTGCAGGAAGGTTCAGCCCTGAACCAAACAATTTTAGAAATTAATCAAACAGCAGTTTCTCTTCCTTTTAGCAGCCAACAGTACGTGAGTATTGTTTTATGCCGCTTTTTGCAATATTCAACCAATATCAACAGAAATGGGCTTCATGTATTGTACCCATGTGGGGAATCGAACCCGGGTCTTCGGCGTGACGAGTGAACACTTTAACCACAAGGCTACCCCACTGCCCCCACACACAAACAGGCACCTGAAGAGGCTAATGTAGACAGCTCTGACAACGTCCTTACCCGATCTTTAGCCAGCTCCTTCTCCAGGGACGTGATGGTGGCCGCGGACTTGTCCAGCTCCTGCTTCAGGAGGTCCTCGGTGTTGTGGTGGGCGTCGCACTCGTTCTGCAGGAGGGTGGCGGCCGACTTGAGGTTATTGATCTCATCCAGGAACTTGCCAGCCTGCTGCTCCTGACTTGCCGAGTCCGTCCTGATCTGAGTCCGCAGGGTCTCAAGGTCACAGTCTTTCTGTTCAACCTGGTCCTCCAGGCTCTAAACATCAGTAACAACGAGGCTGATGATACCAGTGCTCACACAGTTCCAGCATCTGGGGCTATGGTAATATCAAGGCTCTTTTACCTGGGCCTTGTACACCCTTATACACCAACTTCACAGAATATTAGAATATATTCTCTATTTAATACTTAGCCTGCAGTACATTAAGCATCAGCAATAAGCATAATGTAATGAATGCCTAAGTAAACAATATAACATTGTGTGGTGCGCATTGGTCGCAATGAAAGATACGCCAAAATATCTTTGACACCCACCCAACCTGAATCCCGGTACCTACAGACCTGACCTACCTCAATCCTGGGACCCACAAACCTGACCTACCCCAATACTAGCACCCACAGACCTGACCTACCTGAATCTCGGTACCCACAGACCTGAAGTACCTGAATCTCGGTACCCACAGACCTGACCTACCTGAATCTCGGTACCCACAGACCCCATCTACCCGAATCTTGGTACCCACAGACCCCATTTACCTGAATCTCGGTACCAACAGACCCGACCTACCTGAATCTCGGTACTCACAGACCAGACCTACCTGAGACTCCGTACACATAGGACCCGACCTACCTGAGACTCCGTACACAAAGACCCGACCTACCTGAGTCTCAGTACCCACAGACCCGACCTACCTGAATCTCAGTACCCACAGACCAGACCTATCTGAATCTCGGTACTCACAGACCCGACCTACCTGAGTCTCAGTACCCACAGACCAGACCTACCTGAATCTCAGTACCCACAGACCAGACCTACCTGAATCTCAGTACTCACAGACCAGACCTATCTGAATCTCGGTACCCACAGACCCGACCTACCTGAATCTCAGTACACACAGACCTGACCTACCTGAATCTCAGTACACACAGACCCGACCTACCTGAATCTCAGTACACACAGACCAGACCTACCTGAATCTCGGTACACACAGACCCGACCTACCTGAATCTCAGTACACACAGACCAGACCTACCTGAATCTCAGTACACACAGACCCGACCTACCTGAATCTCAGTACCCACAGACCCGAATCTCAGTACACACAGACCCGACCTACCCGAATCTCAGTACACACAGACCCGACCTACCTGAATCTCAGTACACACAGACCCGACCTACCTGAATCTCAGTACACACAGACCAGACCTACCTGAATCTCGGTACACACAGACCCGACCTACCCGAATCTCGGTACCCACAGACCCGACCTACCCGAATCTCAGTACCCACAGACCCGACCTACCCGAATCTCGGTACACACAGACCCGACCTACCTGAATCTCGGTACCCACAGACCAGACCTACCTGAATCTCGGTACACACAGACCCGACCTACCCGAATCTCGGTACCCACAGACCCGACCTACCCGAATCTCAGTACCCACAGACCCGACCTACCCGAATCTCGGTACACACAGACCCGACCTACCCGAATCTCGGTACCCACAGACCCGAATCTCAGTACCCACAGACCCGACCTACCTGAATCATGGCCTGCAGTTTGTTCTGTTTTTCTATCCCGTCCTTATTCTTGTCTTCCAGTTCCTTGATGCAGCTCTCCTGGAACTGGACTGTCAGCTGTTTGTTCTCCATGTTTTCCTGTCATGAATTACGGAAAAACGTCAGAATTCCTTAACAATCCTTATGTTAATACTTTGCCAAAACCTGAGGCAAAACATATTTTTTCAGTATTTTCTGGAACGAAAACCCAAATCCTCCTGTCCATCCAACCAACTGACATTTTTTTTATTTTATTCTTCGAAGTTTATCTATTTTTTAATATGCAATCCATTGTCACCAATCACGTTTCATATGTCATGAATTTAAAGTATAACTTGTCAAAATATTTTTTCTAATTTTTGCATTTGGTTGGAAACAAAAATGGGGCTTCTAATTTTTTTTCACATTTGTTTAGGGAAAAGGTCTCTGAAGTGAGCATCAGCCCTCACCAGTGCCATGTCCAAATCTTTGCTGAGGCCCTCATTAAGCTTTTGGACCTGCTCAAACTCCATTGAGATCTTCATCAACTGAAAGAAGGAAAGACATTAATTTGAGTCACATCTAATGTTGCACAACTTGTTTCCTGTCAATTTGCATTGGTTCTGATTAATGTAGCACCATGAGCAATCGTTTGATGGAAGAAACCTGGTGCATTATAATTGGTCTAAATAATGATAACAAATGTGATAAGAGGACAAAGTCATCAATATCCCCCGAAATGGTAAATATATATTTGTTGAAAAAAAATAATCAAAAGGCACCAGTTCACCATTAGGCCTGTCAATGTACCAAGTTTACTGAAGAAATATTGTATGTTTTTCAAGATCTGCTCCGGAAACGAGCACTACTGTCATTTTCAGTCTTAACCTTAGTTGTTGTCATGGAAACTCAAAATATATATGACCCGTGAAGATTCCGGGGTAGAATAGGTCTTCAGCAACCCATACTTGCCATAAAAGGCGACTATGCTTGTCGTAAAAGGCGACTAATGGGATCGGGTGGTCAGGCTCGCTGACTTGGTTGATACATGTCATCGATCCAAATTGGGTGGATCGATGCTCATGATGTCAATCACTGGATTGTCTGGTCCAGACTTGATTATTTTACAGATCGCCGTCATATAGCTGGAATATTGCTGAGTGTGGCGTTAAACAACAACAACAACAACAAAATATATATATATATCTAAAATCCTCAACTATCAAAAGGCACCAATTCACCACTAGACCTATAAATGTACCAAGTTTGGTGAAGAAATATTGAACACTTTTCAAGATCTGCTCCGGAAATGTCATCTTGAGCAGATGGACACACGGTTGGTGTCAATTTTAATACCCCCGCAAAACGCGTTGCGGGTGATGATGAAAATAATGTCGCTTTGTGTGGTGTGGACCTATTCTGTCTGGGACTGTGAGGTGGACCTACTTGTGTCTCGAGCGTCGTGATGGCCTTCTGCCTCGACTCCTCGGCCACCCGGTCCCTCTTCTCCATGTCCGCCTTCTCTTTGTCCACCCACTTGATCATCACACGCAGGTCCGACGCCTCCTCGCCGTTTACTGTCACAATACAAACAGCAGATAGTGTTGTCCTCATGACTACATTACGCAACTTGTCCAGTTTACCAAACAGGTATCAATAAAGCATTGTGTCTCTTCACTGGAAACCATACAGATGTCTTCTTGACAGCCCAATGTGTGCTGTGATTCATGGAGTAGGATACACGCCAGGTTGCTGCTCAACCCATTCTCATCAACCATTGATGCCTCTTAGAACATATCAGGTGTCTCATTCAAGAAGCATGAGGGAGTGAGTATGGTTTTACGCCGCTTTTAGCAATATTCCAGCAATATCACGGCGGGGGGCACCAGAAATGGGCTTCATACATTGTACCCATGTCGGGAATCAAACCCAGGTCTTCAGCGTGAGGAGCGAACGCTTTAACCACTAGGCTACCCTACCACCCCTCGGGAAGCATGAAGTCCTGACGGTCAGTTCTATCTTCTTGTCCCCAAAGGATCTTCACACATAGGGACATTAACTGACCATTACCCTCAGGCCAAATGACCCTTAACCCAAGACACAATGACTTTTACCCAAAGACCCCGAAAAACATTTACTCAAACATACCATCACCTTTACCCCAAGGCCCAATGACTATTGTCCTTTAACTATGATATGACATTTATGTCTTTCATCATGTCTTTCAACACCCAATGCACTTAACTCCAATACAACCTGATACTTAATCTTAGACTTGATGGTTAAATCTGTCATGTCAACTGAAGTCTGATACATTCAAACTGGCTATGACCTTGACCTTTACATGAACGCTCAATGTCTGAAAGCTCCAAGTGCAATAAAACAAATATGTTTGATAAGCTGACCTTCACCTCTTCATCAATAACTGACCTTCACCCCTTCATCAACAATTGACTTCACCTCTTCAGCAACAACTGACCTTTCACCCCTTAATCAACTGACTTTCACCCCTTCATCAATAACTGATCCTCACCCCTTCATCAACAACTGACCTTCGCCTCTTCATCAACAACTGACCTTCACCCCTTCATCAATAACTGACCTTCACCCCTTCATCAATAACTGACTTTCACCCCTTCATCAACATCTGACTTCATCTCTTCATCAACAACTGACCTTTCAAACCTTAATCAACTGACCTTCACCCCTTCATCAATAACTGACCTTCACCCCTTCATCAATAACTGACCTTCACCCCTTAAACAAAGACTGATCTTCACCCTTCAACAATAACCAAACATTCACCCCTTGACCTTCAATCACGAACTGACCTCTGGATGTCTCCCGTGTTTCTTCCAAGTCCTTCTTCATCTTGGCAGCTGAGTTTTCATACTCCTCCACTTCAATGGCTCTCTCACTCCTCTCCTTTTTCAAGATCTGACACACACAACATATAAACATCAAATAAACATCATATAAACACCCCACATTCGGTATCTACGAGTGAGCAATATTTCAGCAATATTTCAGCACTATCACTACAGGGACACCCAAAATGGGCTTCACACATTGTACCAATGTGGGGAATGGAACTGGGTCGTGATGAGCGAACACTTTAACCACTACGCTACCCCAACGCCCCTGGCATCTACGAAAACACAAAACATGTTTGTGAGTCTGTAATGGAGCCATGTTTATAAACCTATTCATTGGTATCGCTATTAAGTAAGAGACTTGTTTCTATAGGCATTAAGACCTATTGTGAGGTTTTACTTTCCAGTCGGGTTAAATCTCATAAACAGGTACGTTGTAATGTCCCTGGGAATTTATATAATATCCCAGGGATTTTATATAATGTCCTGGGTATTTTATTAATATAACTTCCGTTCAGATTGTAACATGTAATGAAATGTAAAATCAAAAGACAAATGTTTTCTTTATATTCCCGAGGATCGAACTCGCAACCTTCATATCTGTAGCCCAGTCCGTGTACCACGGAGCTACAGGTGTTGATAAGCCTCACTGGTTTTTAGAATGTCCTTTTCAAGATCCGTACGTCAGCGCGTTTCCTAAGGTTCATGGAAAGTATGTTCGAAACATAAAAATGTTGATGAATGTTGTTTTAAGTTTCTTTTTCCGGTTTATAAGCATGGAAAAACACTTTCCTTCGGTTTTGGTAGACAGAGCATGCCCTGGGGGTCGAGAAAAACCGCAGGGGCTTCGCCCCCTTGGTTTTCCCTCTCACCAGGGCATGCTCTGTCTACCAAAACCGCTTGAGGTGTTTTCTCCAATACTTAGAGCTGTACATGATTTTGGTAAAACCCAGTTACACGGGTATACTGACTGTTTGATAGGCATTCTAGAAACTGGTGAGTAAGTTAGAAAACGTAAAACTATATTATTGATAACAACTTCTGGTTTATTGCAATAGCAAAGTTTCGATGAACGTTTTGATGATTCTTCGACTGTTCTCAAGCTGCAGTGAGTATATTTCGTTTCAAAAGTACCACCAAGAAAGAGGCTGATGTGATGTTGCTAGCTGCACTGACCTTCTCCCCAGATCGTTCATTGCTACACTTACATCATTGAGCTGTTCTATCTGGCTCTCATACTTGAGTGTCTGTTGTCGGATTCTCATCACGTCACTCTCGTACTCCTCCAGGCGCTCGGACAGCTTGTTGTTGCTCTCCTGGATAACAACAAACATGGGTGAGTGAGGGAGCCGTGTGTCACTCTCCCTTTATCAGCAATATCACAAACATGGGGTGAGGGAGGGAGCCGTGTGTCACTCTCCCTTTATCAGCAATATCACAAACATGGGGTGAGTGAGGGAGCCGTGTGTCACTCTCCCTTTATCAGCAATATCACAAACATGGGGTGAGGGAGGGAGCCGTGTGTTACTCTCCTCTATCAGCAATATCACAAACATGGGGTGAGTGAGGGAGCTGTGTGTCAGTCTCCGTCTATCAGCAATATCACAAACATGGGGTGAGAGGGAGCTGTGTGTCAGTCTCCCTCTATCAGCAATATCACAAACATGGGGTGAGAGGGAGCTGTGTGTCAGTCTCCGTCTATCAGCAATATCACAAACATGGGGTGAGTGAGGGAGCCGTGTGTCACTCTCCCTTTATCAGCAATATCACAAACATGGGGTGAGGGAGGGAGCCGTGTGTCACTCTCCCTTTATCAGCAATATCACAAACATGGGGTGAGGGAGGGAGCCATGTGTCACTCTCCCTCTATCAGCAACATCACAAACATGGGGTGAGTGAGGGAGCCGTGTGTCACTCTCCCTTTATCAGCAATATCACAAACATGGGGTGAGGGAGGGAGCCGTGTGTTACTCTCCTCTATCAGCAACATCACAAACATGGGGTGAGTGAGGGAGCTGTGTGTCAGTCTCCCTCTATCAGCAACATCACAAACATGGAGTGAGAGGGAGCCGTGTGTCACTCTCCTCTATCAGTAATATCACAAACATGGGGTGAGAGGGAGCTGTGTGTCAGTCTCCGTCTATCAGCAATATCACAAACATGGGGTGAGAGAGGGAGCCGTGTGTCACTCTCCTCTATCAGCAACATCACAAACATGGGGTGAGTGAGGGAGCCGTGTGTCACTCTCCCTTTATCAGCAATATCACAAACATGGGGTGAGGGAGGGAGCCGTGTGTCACTCTCCCTTTATCAGCAATATCACAAACATGGGGTGAGAGAGGGAGCCGTGTGTCACTCTCCTCTATCAGCAACATCACAAACATGGGGTGAGTGAGGGAGCCGTGTGTCACTCTCCCTTTATCAGCAACATCACAAACATGGGGTGAGAGAGGGAGCCGTGTGTCACTCTCCTCTATCAGCAACATCACAAACATGGGGTGAGTGAGGGAGCCGTGTGTCACTCTCCCTTTATCAGCAATATCACAACCATGGGGTGAGAGAGGGAGCCGTGTGTCACTCTCCCTTTATCAGCAACATCACAAACATGGGGTGAGAGAGGGAGCCGTGTGTCACTCTCCTCTATCAGCAACATCACAAACATGGGGTGAGCGAGGGAGCCGTGTGTCACTCTCCCTTTATCAGCAATATCACAAACATGGGGTGAGGGAGGGAGCCGTGTGTCACTCTCCCTTTATCAGCAATATCACAAACATGGGGTGAGGGAGGGAGCCATGTGTCACTCTCCCTCTATCAGCAACATCACAAACATGGGGTGAGTGAGGGAGCCGTGTGTCACTCTCCCTTTATCAGCAATATCACAAACATGGGGTGAGGGAGGGAGCCGTGTGTTACTCTCCTCTATCAGCAATATCACAAACATGGGGTGAGTGAGGGAGCTGTGTGTCAGTCTCCGTCTATCAGCAATATCACAAACATGGGGTGAGAGGGAGCTGTGTGTCAGTCTCCCTCTATCAGCAATATCACAAACATGGGGTGAGAGGGAGCTGTGTGTCAGTCTCCGTCTATCAGCAATATCACAAACATGGGGTGAGTGAGGGAGCCGTGTGTCACTCTCCCTTTATCAGCAATATCACAAACATGGGGTGAGGGAGGGAGCCGTGTGTCACTCTCCCTTTATCAGCAATATCACAAACAAGGGGTGAGGGAGGGAGCCGTGTGTTACTCTCCTCTATCAGCAACATCACAAACATGGGGTGAGTGAGGGAGCTGTGTGTCAGTCTCCGTCTATCAGCAATATCACAAACATGGGGTGAGAGGGAGCTGTGTGTCAGTCTCCCTCTATCAGCAACATCACAAACATGGAGTGAGAGGGAGCCGTGTGTCACTCTCCTCTATCAGTAATATCACAAACATGGGGTGAGAGGGAGCTGTGTGTCAGTCTCCGTCTATCAGCAATATCACAAACATGGGGTGAGAGAGGGAGCCGTGTGTCACTCTCCTCTATCAGCAACATCACAAACATGGGGTGAGTGAGGGAGCCGTGTGTCACTCTCCCTTTATCAGCAATATCACAAACATGGGGTGAGGGAGGGAGCCGTGTGTCACTCTCCCTTTATCAGCAATATCACAAACATGGGGTGAGGGAGGGAGCCGTGTGTCACTCTCCCTTTATCAGCAATATCACAAACATGGGGTGAGGGAGGGAGCCGTGTGTCACTCTCCCTTTATCAGCAATATCACAAACATGGGGTGAGAGAGGGAGCTGTGTGTCAGTCTCCCTCTATCAGCAACATCACAAACATGGGGTGAGAGGGAGCTGTGTGTCACTCTCCTCTATCAGTAATATCACAAACATGGGGTGAGAGGGAGCTGTGTGTCAGTCTCCGTCTATCAGCAATATCACAAACATGGGGTGAGAGAGGGAGCCGTGTGTCACTCTCCGTCTATCAGCAATATCACAAACATGGGGTGAGAGGGAGCTGTGTGTCAGTCTCCGTCTATCAGCAATATCACAAACATGGGGTGAGAGAGGGAGCCGTGTGTCACTCTCCGTCTATCAGCAATATCACAAACATGGGGTGAGAGAGGGAGCCGTGTGTCACTCTCCTCTATCAGCAATATCACAAACATGGGGTGAGAGGGAGCCGTGTGTCAGTCTCCGTCTATCAGCAACATCACAAACATGGGGTGAGAGGGAGCTGTGTGTCAGTCTCCGTCTATCAGCAATATCACAAACATGGGGTGAGAGGGAGCTGTGTGTCAGTTTCCGTCTATCAGCAATAGCACAAACATGGGGTGAGTGAGGGAGCCGTATGTCACTCTCCCTCTATCAGCAACATCACAAACATGGGGTGAGTGAGGGAGCTGTGTGTCACTCTCCCTCTATCAGCAACATCACAAACATGGGGTGAGGGAGGGAGCCGTGTGTTACTCTCCTCTATCAGCAATATCACAAACATTGGGTGAGAGAGGGAGCCGTGTGTCACTCTCCCTCTATCAGCAATATCACAAACATGGGGTGAGAGAGGGAGCCGTGTGTCACTCTCCCTCTATCAGCAATATCACAAACATAGGATGAGTGAGGGAGCCGTGTGTCACTCTCCGTCTATCAGCAACATCACAAACATGGGGTGAGAGAGGGAGCCGTGTGTCACTCTCCTCTATCAGCAATATCACAAATATAGGATGAGTGAGAGAGCCGTGTGTCACTCTCCGTCTATCAGCAACATCACAAACATGGGGTGAGAGAGGGAGCCGTGTGTCACTCTCTCTATCAGCAATATCACAAACATGGGGTGAGAGGGAGCTGTGTGTCAGTCTCCGTCTATCAGCAACATCACAAACATGGGGTGAGTAAGGGAGCCGTGTGTCACGCTCTCTATCAGCAATATCACAAACATGGGCAGGCCACAAAGTTAAAAAAAATTTAAAGGAGCCACTTGGCTCCTAAATGATTTTTTCAAGGAGCCAAATAGAATTTCAAGGAGCCAAGACAAAATGTAAGGAGCCAAAAGTAATGACTTGTAATTTAACTGCATAACAAAACAAAAAAATCCATTAGTTTGAATAATCAGTTTTAAATCATGAACAACAACTGTTGACGTGTTGTTGAAGCTTTTGAGTTTTTCAGACAAACAAGCTTTAGAACATTGTGTCAGTAACATCATCTGACAGTTTACCGGTGCCAGTTGCAGGTTTTGGTTCATCGAATGTGTCGATAGACGACGAAACTTCCGTGTCAGCTTCGCCATTCAAAGCATTCCGTATTATCTTGAGTATACTGCGCATTTATTTCCAAAAAAACACAGCTGTGTAGAAGGGGGTGCGCATTATACACGAAATAATTAGTTTTGATGTTTTTCCCCCATGGAAAGACATTACCGTGAGAACGTAACACCGGAAATACCATGTCAACAAATCCATACTGAAGTACGCAAACAAATCATGTAATTACACTGTCTGACTATAAAAATTGTTCTTTGTATATCTGGACTTATGTTAGTAACTTATTTCATTAATTTTATTCAAAATTACTTTTAATATTGTTTTAATTTATTTCGGCGAAATCGTGTGTGAAGCGATCGGAAGATCTAACAAACGGTTATTAAGAGAAACCACGGTCAGATTACCGCTATTGATGCCTTGAAACGAACTTTCGTTGACAGAGAATGGATACATTTGTCATAAATGCCATACTTTGACTCGTTAAAGGTCATATTTGTTTTTGTTGGACGATTCTATGTCAACACGTAATTCACGCGATCACGTGCACGGGAGCCTTGACGGTGACTGGTCAGACTGTGTGTTCCATGTAAAACCATGTAATACCCGGTAATATATAGCAATCAGCTGCTTCGCTTACGCTTAGGGTTATTATTATTTCAAATATGTTTGGTAAAAGCTGCATCTAAATTAACAAGATATTGGAATATATTATTCCTGATAAAAAGAAGAAGTTTCAGATACATATTTTGCCGATCCTTGCATTAAAACCCTGTAAAGTTATATCATTGGGTGTGACTTGACTGAATCACCGGTAAATTCCAAGAAATTGTGTGTACAGCTGATTGCTGTGTCCGGCTTAGTTTACGAGAAGATACACATGGTAATCTTAATCCCTGGATATAAAACAATGCCTAGCAGAACAAAAAAATACAATTTTAAACGGTAAATCAACATGTCTGGTGATTTTTTATCTATGTGTTTATCCCTTTCAACACCGTAGGCCGGTTTTCCGGCCAAGCCGTAGTCACGTCAAAATAGTATATATTTGTATGGACCTACCTATAATATCATTCATTTATTAAATCTATCACATTTCACAATGTCTGAAATACGTATTCCATATCAATTTATCATTTTTTTATCAATAAATAAAAAAATTATTCACTATTTCCCGCGATGTTATTGAAAATATAATTCTCGGACACACATTTCAACAACGGGTCCACATCAAACATGTCAAAGAGCAAAATAAAGACGTTTTAAGCAAATCTTTGATATATTATACAAAGTAATAAATAAATTCAACAAAAATATATCTAAAAGTAATCAAACTTACATCTAAGTTATTATTTCCATCTTTTCGTGCGATCGCATGTAATGTAAGTCAAATGACATCTCAGCTTTCGTCGCCTTAAATTCTCGGCTCGGACACGATGTTTAATGCAAAAATATATGCATGAAAAATCTGTCACAGCTCGTAACCTAGCACGATAGATTCACGAAGTTCCATATTTTTAATATATATATATATCGTGATTTCCTGCCTTTTAGTTCAGAATAACATGATTTAACAAAAATCTTTCGCCAACTTCTGAAATTTATCAAACACGAGCTTGGTATCACCGCTGAAATTTGATTGGCTGCCTGCCTTACAAGTAGTTAGAAATGTAGACAGTGATAGTAATTTCCAATATTACTTGCCTCCGGACAAGTTAAAGTAAGTGATTTTGTTGCCCAACCTCGTATTTCTACTTTCCCCGAGAGTCGGGAAATGGCAAATTTCCACCCCTGTTCCCCCCCCCCCCCCAAAAAAAAATAAATAAATACTGAATCTGCTAGAGAGGGGTGCGCACTATACTAAAGAAAATACGGTATTCATCATTTGCCGATTGACAACGATTTGTTGATGTTTTGACTTGCGCAAATATAGAAAAATACTTCGTGTTTTTGAACGGCGAAACGACCGCCTTAGCTGTCACCTGGGCGGATGTCGTACAGCGCATGCGTGGGTACTAAACTCTTAACATCGTTAGTGCATTACTTAATAACGGAAAGTGCTTCCTTCATTCCAGGTATGGAGCTTCATATCGAAAGCGAAAACAGAACACATGGCCAACAGTGATCTTGTCGATGTTATTATGTTCTGATATCGAATATTTTCACCGAAGTTACGCACTTATATTAAAAACGATCTTTTTTAATATCTTATGACAAGAGATATTTAGTCGCCAAACTTAATTAAAGACAAGGAGCCAGTTGGCGACTGACATGAAAATACCAGTCGCAAAATACAAAACTAGATCGCCATGGCGACCAATTTAGTCGCAACTTTGTGGCCTGATGGGGTGAGAGAGGGAGCCATGTGTCACTCTCCCTCTATCAGCAATATCACAAACATGGGGTGAGAGAGGGAGCCATGTGTCACTCTCCCTCTATCAGCAACATCACAAACATGGGGTGAGGGAGGGAGCCATGTGTCACTCTCCCTCTATCAGCAATATCACAAACATGGGGTGAGGGAGGGAGCCATGTGTCACTCTCCCTCTATCAGCAACATCACAAACATGGGGTGAGTGAGGGAGCCGTGTGTCACTCTCCCTTTATCAGCAATATCACAAACATGGGGTGAGGGAGGGAGCCATGTGTCACTCTCCTCTATCAGCAATATCACAAACATGGGGTGAGGGAGGGAGCCATGTGTCACTCTCCCTCTATCAGCAATATCACAAACATGGGGTGAGAGAGGGAGCCATGTGTCACTCTCCCTCTATCAGCAACATCACAAACATGGGGTGAGGGAGGGAGCCATGTGTCACTCTCCCTCTATCAGCAATATCACAAACATGGGGTGAGAGAGGGAGCCATGTGTCACTCTCCCTTTATCAGCAATATCACAAACATGGGGTGAGGGAGGGAGCCGTGTGTTACTCTCCTCTATCAGCAATATCACAAACATGGGGTGAGTGAGGGAGCTGTGTGTCAGTCTCCGTCTATCAGCAATATCACAAACATGGGGTGAGAGGGAGCTGTGTGTCACTCTCCCTCTATCAGCAACATCACAAACATGGGGTGAGGGAGGGAGCCATGTGTCACTCTCCCTCTATCAGCAATATCACAAACATGGGGTGAGAGAGGGAGCCATGTGTCACTCTCCCTTTATCAGCAATATCACAAACATGGGGTGAGGGAGGGAGCCATGTGTCACTCTCCCTTTATCAGCAATATCACAAACATGGGGTGAGTGAGGGAGCTGTGTGTCACTCTCCCTCTATCAGCAACATCACAAACATGGGGTGAGTGAGGGAGCCGTGTGTCACTCTCCTCTATCAGTAATATCACAAACATGGGGTGAGTGAGGGAGCCGTGTGTCACTCTCCCTCTATCAGCAACATCACAATCATGGGGTGAGTGAGGGAGCCGTGTGTCACTCTCTCTGTCAGTTATATTACAAACATGGGGTGAGTGAGGAAGCCGTGTGTCACTCTCTCTCTATCAGCAATATCACAAACATGGGGTGAGTGAGGGAGCCGTGTGTCACTCTCTCTCTATCAGTAATATCACAAACATGGGGTGAGAGAGGGAGCCGTGTGTCACTCTCTCTCTATCAGCAATATCACAAACATGGGGTGAGAGAGGGAGCCGTGTGTCACTCTCCTCTATCAGCAACATCACAAACATGGGGTGAGAGAGGGAGCCGTGTGTCACTCTCCCTCTATCAGCAACAGTGGAACAAACCCCATGGGTATTCTGTGTTAGAACTGATCCCCACGCAACCTGTGATGGTTGTAAGAGGCAACTAAATGGATCGGGTGGTCAGGTTCATTTACTTGGTTGATTGAGTGTCATCATAACCCATATCCTTGCTCACAATATCAATCCCTGGATTGTCTGGTTAAGACCCCATTAATTACAGGCCACTGTCATATAGCTGGAACATTGCTGAGTGCGGCATTAAACAACAAACAAAACAGTAGAAGAGGGAGAAGCACAAGTCTAGTGTGCGGTCAGCAAGTGACTCCGGGTGGTATTGAGTTCAATGCTGCAGTGTCAGTTACACTCAAGTTCAATGGCCTGAAGTTTCAACATCTGAGGGCCATGTAAATTGGTGCTTCTTGAACAAGTGTGAAGTATCACAGACGTCATGCATGAGGGGAGAATGACTGCTTGTACTACTTGATGTATCCTCATACCCATGTATTTGACACAGCGTCACACCCTGGTATTTGACACAGCGTTACACCCTGGTATTTGACACATCGTTACACCCTGGTATTTGACACAGTGTTACACCCTGGTATTTGACACATCGTTACACCCTGGTATTTGACACAGCCTTACACCCTGGTATTTGACACAGCGTTACACCCTGGTATTTGACACAGCGATACAACCTGGTATTTGACACAGCGTTACACCCTGGTATTTGACACAGCGATACAACCTGGTATTTGACACAGCGTTACACCCTGGTATTTGACACAGCGATACAACCTGGTATTTGACACAGCGTTACACCCTGGTATTTGACACATCGTTACACCCTGGTATTTACCTGGAGCTGTTTTATCTCCCCCGTGAGGGCTTCGTGTGCCGCCTCGTTCATGATTTCAGGGATGTCCTCCCCCAATATCCCATCCTCCATCTCGATGGTCTGGTTGAGGTCGGGAGACACGGCCTTGACCTGGGATATCTCATGCATGGAACGATTGCGTAGATTGTACCTGGCTCTCTGAGGGGTGGTGATGGTCTAGTAAGGAGGAAAGTAGGCAGCAAATGCTGGATTGGTCTTGAACGTGCAAATACAATAATTAGATGAATATATATACACACCACAATAAATACAAGACTCCTGTTCTACCCAATCAAGGGTGAGTTGGGTTTAACACGGCTTTGAAGGGCATTCCATTTATTTTATCGGCATGGCAGCTTGACGTTGGAGGAAAGTCCGAAGTGTTGAAGATCTTTACAGCAATAGAAAGTCCTCTTGTCCAGATAATGATGACATAGCAAAACCCTTAAAAATGGTGAATGTCTACTGGAACTGTTACCTTAACTATCGGGCAATTCGGCAAGGAGTAAAGGACTATGCCAATTTCTACTGCTGTCACTTTACAACTTGAAACCCACAAACACTGATAAGGTGCATAATTAAGAACCATAAGCAGATCCTGGCAGAGGTAAGGGAAGCAACTCTGCACAGCAGGTTGCAATGTTTAGAGCATATCACCACCTCTGCCCCAAAGCACCATAGAAAAGACTGACATGGAAGAAACTGTATTAACACCAGAATGCCTACCTCTATAGTGCGAGTGTGAAGATCATTCAAGGTTTTTTTCTCGTAGTCATAGTGGAGCTGACGCATTTTGAGACTTCTCATGACCTCTTCATTCATCTGTTTAGCCGAGCTAAGCTCAGCACCCAGCTCAATTGTCTTCTTCTCCGATGTCTCTTTCGTCTCTGTCAGCATAGCCTTCATCTGTAATATAAACTTAGATTCATCGGATCGGCAAAAAACACATGAAATTGTCACACAGTGCTGGGATCGCGAGGTACACGCTTAATGACCAACCTGCTAGCTATAGATGTCGATGTGAATAGACCAACACTAACTTCAGCCACACTCAATCTTTGAACCCAGTCCTAACAGCATTGTTCTAAGCACTTTTGTCTTTTTTTCTGACACACCATAGGTGCAATTTTCAGTTTCTGAATACACTAACCTTTCACAATTTGTTTGCCTGCTTTTCTTGAAATTGTAGATTTTACATTTCTCAGAATTTGTACTCTGTGAACTTTGTCTATCACTATAATTCAGACAAGGTATTTTTCAATTATAGGTTGCACTGTGGCATGTAACATGTAGATACCCTGTGCTCGGTGAGTATTCAATGATCAAACCATGCTGTATGGATGTGGGTTCAAGCACTAACTGTGCTGTATGGATGTGGGTTCAAGCACTAACTGTGCTGTATGGATGTGGGTTCAAGCACTAACTGTGCTGTATGGATGTGGGTTCAAGCACTAACTGATGTATGGATGTGGGTTCAAGCACTAACTGTGCTGTATGGATGTGGGTTCAAGCACTAACTGTGCTGTATGGATGTGGGTTCAAGCACTAACTGTGCTGTATGGATGTGGGTTCAAGCACTAACTGATGTATGGATGTGGGTTCAAGCACTAACTGTACTGTATGGATGTGGGTTCAAGCACTAACTGTGCTGTATGGATGTGGGTTCAAGCACTAACTGTGCTGTATGGATGTGGGTTCAAGCACTAACTGATGTATGGATGTGGGTTCAAGCACTAACTGTACTGTATGGATGTGGGTTCAAGCACTAACTGTGCTGTATGGATGTGGGTTCAAGCACTAACTGTGCTGTATGGATGTGGGTTCAAGCACTAACTGATGTATGGATGTGGGTTCAAGCACTAACTGTACTGTATGGATGTGGGTTCAAGCACTAACTGTGCTGTATGGATGTGGGTTCAAGCACTAACTGTGCTGTATGGATGTGGGTTCAAGCACTAACTGTGCTGTATGGATGTGGGTTCAAGCACTAACTGTGCGATATTAATGTGGGTTCAAGCACTAACTGTGCGATATGTATGTGGGTTCAAGCACTAACTGTGCTGTATGGATGTGGGTTCAAGCACTAACTGTGCTGTATGGATGTGGGTTCAAGCACTAACTGTGCTGTATGGATGTGGGTTCAAGCACTAACTGTGCTATATAGATATGGGTTCAAGCACCAACTGTGCTATATGGATATGGGTTCAAGCACTAACCCCTTCGATCTCCTTCTGAAGGTTGGCCACCTGGGACTTGTACTTCTCCAGGGTTGCTACGGCAACTTTGTCCCCTGTCTGGGGCGTGCTGTAGGGGCTAACTAGCTTCTTGCCACCGGGGGACTCGTCATCTGCAACTACACAGGAATCCAACACTGACCCCACTCACAGGAACTACTCAATGATGAAACTTTGCTATCATAGTATCAATTAGTATTACTTTATTACTTCATCACATTCAAGTAGTAGAATAACTCCACGGGTAGATTGGTACTATGTGATAGAGAGAGACAAGCAACTATTTGAACTGTCATTTTAAGGAGCATTCCCAACAGCAAAGTTTTTCTTTAGTTTTTTTTTATTATACTTTAACCTTCTAACACTACTCAAAATAAAATTTATGAAAATACAAATTATTTTTTTTACAAATTGTTTTTATTCATTATAGAGGTTACATAGTCATCGTGTCATAAGAGGCATCACATTACATGGTTAATATCATGAGAAATATGTACAGGATGTGATATGAAAGTAAGTTCACCTTCGATAAATTGTAATAATTGTAATAATGTTCATAAAACTCAATGGTGAATTTATGATTTTTGATATTTTCAAGAACAGTAAAATAAAGGTTTTAGAGAGAGTGAGTGAGTATGAAATTATTCCACTTTTAGCAATATTCCAGCAAAATATATACTGCGGGGGACACTGGGTCTTCAATTGGTTACCGCACCGCTCCAAAAGCTTTATCATAGTACACACATCGGAAAAGATTTCTGTAGTTGTTAGGAGTGAGTTTGGGCATAATACCACTTTGAACAGTATTTCTATCACATCATAGCAGGAGAACAAAGACTATTACAATAAAATCAAGACACAAGAATTCACCTTTTGACTTTTCGGCCATCAGTTCTTTGAACACCTTGTCCAGTTCCTCGATCTTGCGGTTGTCACTGATCACAGCTTGCCTGTAGTTGTCGTTATTCTTGAGCTGCTTCAGCTCCGTCCTCAGTTTCTGCAGCTCCACGTTCTGGCGGACGACCACGGGGTGGCACTTGATCCTCTCTGTCAGCACCTTCATCTCCTCCCTCAAGGAGGCCTGGGGGGACAGGGGATAACAGTCAAACTACCTCATCTCCTCCCTCAAGGAGGCCTGGGGGACAGGGGATAACAGTCAAACTACCTCATCTCCTCCCTCAAGGAGGCCTGGGGGACAGGGGATAACAGTCAAACTACCTCATCTCCTCCCTCAAGGAGGCCTGGGGGACAGGGGATAACAGTCAAACTAGCTCATCTCCTCCCTCAAGGAGGCCTAGGGGACAGGGGATAACAGTCAAACTACCTCATCTCCTCCCTCAAGGAGGCCTGGGGGACAGGAGATAACAGTCAAACTAGCTCATCTCCTCCCTCAAGGAGGCCTGGGGGGACAGGGGATAACAGTCAGACTGCCTCATCTCCTCCCTCAAGAAGGCCTGGGGGACAGGAGATAACAGTCAAACTACCTCATCTCCTCCCTCAAGGAGGCCCTGGGCACAGGGGATAACAGTCAAACTAGCTCATCTCCTCCCTCAAGGAGGCCTTGGGGGGACAGGGGATAACAGTCAAACTAGCTCATCTCCTCCCTCAAAGAGGCCTGGGGGACAGGGGATAACAGTCAAACTACCTCATCTCCTCCCTCAAGGAGGCCTGGGGGGACAGGGGATAACAGTCAGACTGCCTCATCTCCTCCCTCAAGGAGGCCTGGGGGACAGGGGATAACAGTCAAACTAGCTCATCTCCTCCCTCAAGGAGGCCTGGGGGGACAGGGGATAACAGTCAAACTAGCTCATCTCCTCCCTCAAGGAGGCCTGGGGGGACAGGGGATAACAGTCAAACTAGCTCATCTCCTCCCTCAAGGAGGCCTGGGGGGACAGGGGATAACAGTCAAACTATCTCATCTCCTCCCTCAAGGAGGCCTGGGGGACAGGGGATAACAGTCAAACTACAAACTAGCTCATCTCTTTCAAGGATTTGTTTGTTTATTGTTTAACGCCGCACTCAGCAATATAACAGCTATATGACGGTGGTCTGTAGATAATCAAGTCTGGACCAGACAAACCAGAGATTAACATGAGCATCCATGAGCTTTGGGATATGTTGACATGCATCAACCAAGTCAGCAAGCCTGACCACCCGATCCCGTTACTCGCCTTTTACAACAAGCATGGTTGCTGTAGACCTATTCTAACCCGGATCTTCACGGGTCCCCCTTCAAGGAGGCCTGTGTGTTGGGATATAGGGTGTAAATGGTCTTCAAAGTCAAACTAACTCATAATTATATCACAACAAATTGCTAAAACTAGTAAAAGTTCAAATGAAATTGTTTTCTTTATCTTGAATCAACACATTTCATGTGTAATCTTCGGGTGGGTTGTTTGGTGGCTGGGTTGTTGGGTTGCTGGGTTGTTGGGTTGCTGGGTTGTTGGGTTGCTGGGTTGTTGGGTTGCTGGGTTGTTTGGGTGGATGCAGTGAGGTGAGGTGAGGTGAGGTGAAATGGGGTTTAACGTCACGTCTAAGATTATTGCACTTTTATAGCGACGTGCATGTACGTGTGTGTGTTTGTGTGGCTGCTTGTACTAGCCCGGACTGGTGCCGATTTATAGTGCTAGCTCACTGAGATACCAAGCCGCAGTTTAACATGAATACCCCACTCAGACACAGTATACTGACTCCGAGCCGACCAGTCCTTGTTTTAGCCCCTTAATGTCGAGCGCCAGACAGGGTAACAACAAGTACCATCTTTTAATGTCTTTTGGTATGACGCGGCCAGGGATCGAACCCAGGACCTTCCGCTCTCCTGGGCTCTCTACCACTAGACCACGGAGGCGGTAGTGGATGCAGTGAACACCATGATGGGAATTAAACCTGTGCCTTCAGTGTGACAAGCGACCACTTTAACCCAACTGCCACCATGCATGTTATAAAATGTATAGGATCACACTATGCTTGTGGCATCAAAGTTCATCTGTATTCATTGGCCATTTCTACTCACAATCTGATCGTTTTCTTTGGTGCTGTGGTGATCCTTGGCGTTCTCGTCTTCTCCCCCTGCAAGCCTCGTCTTGAGCTGAGCAACCTCCTTCTTCAGGATCTCGATGTCCTTCTCACGGAACTTCATGACCATCTCCCGCGACTGGTTGAACTTCTCCCGCTTCTTAGCCACATCTTCAAGGTCCTTAATGGTCTGTATCAAATTCTGAAACAAGGAGGTTTTTAACCATCACTGTCTGAATCAGTCATATTTTCAAAAATGCACACCATGAATCCAAGTTTAACAAGCTTTGAATTATAATATTTTTGAAATGATTCATAGAAATGACAGCTAGCCAATGTCCATGGATTTCTGTAGAAGATGCTCGGTGAGCTTAATGTTTCACCAGTCCACACTTCATCACCTACGTCCTTGCAGGCTGAATGGGGGAGTGAAGCTGAAACATTCTCACAAAAAAGTAAACTGCATGAAACATTTCTGATTTCTCCTTGGAGTGAGTGAGTGAGTTGGGTTTAACGTTGCTTTTAACAGTATTCCAGTTATATCACGGCATGTCAGCTTAATGTGGGAGGAAAGCCCGAAGTGATGCAGGTCTCAGACGTTTACCACTTCGGTGAAACCCACGAGCACGGGTATGGTGCTGACAAACCTAGAAACATAATTGGGGCGAACCGGGATTCGAACCCACAATCATAGGTTTCTGGCGTGCCCAAGGGACGCAACTCTGCACAGCGAATCGCATTTCTCCTTGGAATGAGTCATGATGTCAGTCACTGGATTGTCTGGTCCAGACTCGGTTATTTATGGCAACCGTCATAGAGCTGGAATTATTGCCTCAAGTGGCATTAAGCAACAATCAGACTTGGAATTAGAATTTCTAAATAAAATTATTCTGACCCACAGAGTTATTTGGGACAAATTCTTTCTTCATTACAATATGACGATGTACCGGTGCACCAATGTATCTCTTCACCCTTAATTACAATACAGTGGAGACAGTTTATGTGTAACATGTCCCCTGAATGCTGATAGTATCACCTTCTTTTCAGTTTCAGCTTTCTCCCGGAAGAACATTGATTCTATGAAGTTCTTCCTCCATTCTGAATCTCCCCCAGTAGTCATGGTAACCGGAGCACTGTCTGAAGCAAGAAGTCAAGAAAAGTGTTTCAATTTTAATATGGAAAATTTCTTAGCTAAATGGTAGGAGTGAAACGACACAGCAAGGTCACAATACAAAGGTCATTATACAATACGTATCTCGATATGCATATTTATGTCAAATCGTGTGGAAACATCTTGACTATAAATATTTCAGAGCAGGCTCAATAGGAATATCTAGCTGTAGACACATGTTTGTTGTGGCTCTTGTTAGTAGTGAACTTAACTACAACACATTTTGTGATTTTTGATGGACAAAAACCCCAGGGGATCATTAAATGAGCAGTAATGTATTTTACCAATTGTATCATCTTGTATCAATGCAGAAAAAAATGTATCGAGTATCGTATCAGCGTATGAAAACTCACAATGCACTGGTATATCGATATCTCGTTTCACCTGTACTATCTGGTCCCTGGTTTAATCATTACTCCAGCATTGTAATGACATTGTTACTTGACACTAACTAGTCACATCTGTATGAGAATACAGCAGTTCTTTAGCCTTACTACAACACTTGTAGACTGCATCTGCCCAGACAGCGGCAGGTCAGTGGTTCTATCCACTGGCTGTGTCAAACCATGACGTTAAGAAAGTGACTGGCGTCCCATCCTGCATGAAGGGGACACCATTATTTCTCTGATAACATGCATCACGTTCTTATATAAAGTACGGACTGTGCCGTCTCTCACCTGACCCCCCCTGGAATGGGGGTAGTTCCCGCGGCCCCCCCTCCATCTGAAACTGCAGCAGTTGGTCCTTCAAGCGACGGATCTCGGCCTGTAGATGGAGTATGTTGCCCTGGGTGTCTTCGTTGACCACTGCCTGGAATACAAAGACATTCACTTCAAAGAGGGACTATGCTCCAGGACCTGGCGCCTATGTTCAGCCGAGGTCTAGACGTAGAGTGAGTTGTGTGAAACAGCTAAATGTTCAAAGTGCAATAATGGCAATCATTAATTGTTAGATAGATACTGTAAAATGTGAAATTAATGCGTCTCCAAAAGAATGCGACCGCTGGCCCCTAGCCAAAAATGCGACTCAATATGAATGTGACACCCCCTCCTCTCAAGCATCAGTGGATTAATATCTAAACAAAATGTCCTCTGTCAGGTTTACAGGAGAATCCTCACCTTAATCCAACCTTACATTAATCCAATCACACACCAAATAGCACCGCTTATTAGCGCTGAGTAGAGTACTACAGCTAAAACAATACGTGCGCGCTGGCTCGTGTCGGCCTTTGATGCAGTCGCAAAGACACTGTGTTGGGTGGCGTCTGTCTGGACTTGCAGGTGTGATCAGTGATGACATGAGTGAGTAGAACGCTTGTGACAATTCACTGGATGTAATTAGTGTCTGAATGGCATTGTTTTTATACTTGTTACAAGTGCTGCTCAATAAACAGTGATGTGGAAAGGTGTTGCCTTAGCTGGTCCGACCCCGGAACTCCCCATCCGCTGGGAGAAGCAGATGTAGAACTCATCACTGGACAGTGCCTGACTCAAGCAGCCTGCATCACTGTACTTCTTTTTTTAATTTTTTAATTTTTTAATTTTTTAATTTTTTAATTTTTTATTATATATTATATATTTTATACATCTATATACCCCAGGTATCCATGTACTAGTATCTGCTCAAATGCGATTTTATTTGTTCCACGTCAAGTGGATCCAGCATTCTTAACTCCTTGGGGAGTATACAACCCAGGTTGCCTAGGGCCCTAGAAGACTTCTGCATCCACATCACTGTACTCACCTTGTTCTTGATCATCTTGGCTCGTCTGGCGAACTGTAGCGTCGACAAAGTCTCGCCAAAACACCTGGGCAGATAGTCACAGTGATGCAATGGTTCACATGGTTAAACGTAAAGCAGGCAGTAACATACATTAACTGAAATGATTTGTTAGGATTTGTTGAGATCCTACTTATGTTTTTCATTTGTTTCATTTTCTACGAATCTACACATTTAGTTAAACATATCATAGAAAAGTTAACTTTCATTGGGTTTGGTTAGTTGGGTAATTTAACACATTTGTCTGACTGGTTGGCGTTTTATTCTCCACAGCTGTCTTTCAATTGGTTGGTTCAATACATTGATGTATGAAAATAAAAACACTCAGGGTACATGGATGTGCTGATATAAGATAGCTACGCGATAAATCGATGCATGGTTAATTTCATGATAAAACACTGTTCTTCTATCATGACGTCATTTCTGGAGATTCGAACATACGCTTGCAAAGTGATTACGTCATTTCTGGAGATTCTAACATACGCTCACAACGTGATTACGTCATTTCTGGAGATTCGAACATACGCTCGCAACGTGATTACGTTGTAGATTGGACGACGTTATTTTTGAGAGGGAAGTGAGATGTTCCCCATAGATGTAGCTGGGCAACACAGAAAAATGCCACGGTTGAACAATCATATCCGAAAGTGGGCGAGATATGTCAATTTGTATTAGGGGAATCGGTACATGTTATCGCCGTGAAAGTTGTGAGAATATCCATGAAATGCCAAACTTAGCCCCCTGTTCATGAAATGCCAAACCCCTGTTCATGAAATGGATTTGTCCGACATTGCAGGGGTGGATTGTATTCATGAAGTCATCAATATTATAATTACGGGTAAAGCGTGTACCTTTTACTAACATCCTTAAAGAGGCTGTACATAATGTTGATATCTCATATATATAAGAAATAAACGACTCGTGATCGTTGTTTATCATGTCCACAATAAAACCCTGCATGGAGAATAAACTACTCAGGGCGGCGCCCCTCATGGTTTATTGTGTCCTGCAGTGTTTTACTGTATGATAGATAATTCCCACGCATTGTTTTTTTTCTTAATTACAGTTATATGAACATGTATAAACTGATGGTCACATTATTGACTTACTTAGATCCAGGATGTATACAGGCCACAATGTGAGTCTTAGCATTGCCGCCAAGGGAGTCCTGAAACATGAGGACATGGAATAACAGGACTGTCAGAAGTCATGGCAACCAGGTCGTACAAGACTACAGGAGGGATGAGGAAACTGAGCCATCTTCCGGCCCACACTTCTTATTTAGGTGGATTAAAATCACCTGCCCGATGTTTCAGCCCCCACCCATATGTGAAGCATGTCTGTCACCTGTGAGTCGTGAGCAGGACTCATGTTGCGCGGACATCAAACACTGTACTCGGCAATATTAATTGCATTGAGTACTAATTACTAAACGGCTCCACTCCCGAAGTTCATCCCAGGAACATTTAAGTTTGGACCAGACTAACCCATGGCTAGTATAATGAGCAATGTTGTCAAAGTACAATGACATGCAAATCACTGAATCTAACCACCCGGGCCCACTTTCACAAAGCGATCTTAGTGCTAAGATGATCGTAACTCCCATACTTTAACATAGGCTTACAATAGTTGTAGCGCTAAGATCGCTTTGTGCAAGTGGGCCAGGATCCTAGTCGCCTCTTTCAACAAACTTTGGTTGCTGGGGACCTACTCTAATCAAATTCCAAGATGCAACATATGAATAACACACTAAAATACTCAAGCAAACAATGACAGGTTTGTACCCTTAAGAGGAAGGTTAGCTTAGAGTCCCTGTACGGGACGTGTCGACTCTTGCCATGCGCGATGTCCACGAGTGACATCATGACATTTCCCAGTGTTGACAGCGACTTGTTGATACATCCAGCCTCCTGTTGATGACAAATCAGACATTAGTTCATACTATTTAAAACATTACAGACTTTACCCATGCATGGCGATAAACATTTGTAAATGTAATTACTTTGTTAATTTTAATTATTACAGGTAAACAGAGACTTATGTATAAGAGTGAGTGAGTGAGTTGGGTTTAACGCCACTTTTACAATATTCCAGTTATATCACAGCGTGTCAGCTTAATGTTGGTGGAAAGCCTGAAGCGATGCAGGCCTCAGATGTTGACCACTTCGCTGAAACTCACGAGCACGGGTATGGTGCTGACAAATCTAGAAACACAATAGGGGTGAAACGGGATTTGAACCCACAATCATAGGTTTCTGGCGTGCCCAAGGGACGCAACTCTGCACAGCGAATTGCGGTGCCTTAGACGACTGGGTCATCCGTGGCCCCCTTATGTATAGGAAAATTTGCTACAATTATTACATTCTTAAAACGAGCGAGTTTTTACTGTTTTCCTGCTGAGACAACAGACCTACACAACACTAACAATTCCATGCAAAATAAGATCAGATCCACATAAGTAACAAGCAATATTACATATTGTGACGCAGGTCTGGATCAGACAATCCAGTGACTGAAATCCTGAGCATCAATCATCACATTGGGGATAATGTAATCATTAATTATTTTTTTGTTTAACGCTGCACACAGCAGTATTCCAGCTTTATGACTGTAGCCTAAATAATCGAGTCTGGACCAGACAGTCCACAGACATCATGAGCATCGATCCACACAACTGCGATACGATGACATGCATCAACCAAGTCAGCAAGCCTGACCTCCAGATCCTATAAGATGCCTCATACGAGAAGCGTAGTTGCCTCTTACAAAAAGCATGAGTTGCTTAAGTCCTATTCTACCCCGGATCTTCACGGGTGGCCATGTAATCAATGAAGTCACAGAGCCTGACCACCTGATTCCTTTAGTTGCCTCTTACAAACTGCAAGGATAGCTGGGGACCTGTTTTTTTTCACGGAATCTGAACTGGCCGCAATGGAAACTGGTAAATACTATATCATATTTAATGAGACTTCAATGATGCTATTTCTGGCAGAGTATCTTGTAAGGTGAAAATCAGTTTGATTGCAAAAAAACACCTGCCTGATTGTTTGTATGTGGTTTTACACTACTTTAAAGTCTACGTCCCCTATAAATAGTAGACCTCTCCCAAAGATGGTAGTGACAATCATGCAGTTGAAATGGTACATCAGTCAGACTGCTCTTTTGAAAATATTGATAGTTCAAAGGCGTATCATTGCTCAGGTTTCACTCCATTTATTCCAGGGATTTCAGAGAGTTAATCAACCTATAAGTAGAATTTTCAAATAGCAGTCATAAATAGATATCTTAAAAAGTAATTTGGAATTTCTCAAAATTTGGGTACCTATAGGGCAAGCAACAACTCTGGTGCTGACAAACCATGCCTGAAACCAAGGATGATAATGAGGGAAAACGTGCCATCAAATCCTTGTACTGCTAAGGGATGCAACTCTGCAAAGTGAAATACAATGCCTCAGATGACAGGGCCACCCATCCCCTGCCTACAAGTACCTGCTGTTTACTCTGACATCCCCATCACTGGCCCCAGTTACCTTGAGTCTCTGTCCGGCTGCGTTGGTGTCCTTCTGTCGTTCAGACCCTGCCAGGTCCACCAGGTTCAGCTGCGACATCCTCACGTTCTGAACCCCTCCCTTTTGCTCCTAGAGGTGACAACACAGTTGTATGTCACATGGAAGTCAAAACAACTCAATCACAAATGGAAATAAGAACTTTCTCCTCGAACTAAAATCAATCATTCTACAATTTTTGGTTTTCATTATCTTTCAAACCTAAACCAGATTACAGGTACAGAAACTCACTATTATTCAGTGATATAACACATTTTTTTCTTTTGTTGTTGTTTAACGCCGCACTCAGCAATATTCCAGCTATATGGCGGCTGTCTGTCAATAATCAAATCTGGACCAGATAATCCAGTGATAGACATCATGAACATCGATCTTTGCAATTGGGATACGATGACATGCATTGACTAAGTCAGCAAACCTGACCACCTGATTCCATTAGTTGCCTCTTACGGCAAGCATGGGTTGCTGAAGAGCAATTCCAAACCGGACCTTCACTGGTCGATTTAACACATGATGGGTGCGGATCTGCCAGGTTAGGTACTTTGTTTAATAGGCATAATGTTTGATAATTGGATACAATGTGATTTTATTAAAACTTTAAAAAGTTTTCAGTATTGGTGTATCAAAATTATTTTTTTCATGATTTTCGTCTTGATTATAATTTAATAGTTTAATATATATTACAAATCCTTTGAAAACGCATATTCATTTTAAAAAATGGACATAAAAATCAAATTACATTGTTCTGAGTTTGAGGAAGGCATGAAATAATCAAATGCAACAATTACATCACATACAAATCTCATTCAAGGTGTTTGAATGTCAAATCTTAATATTTTTTACAGTTGTATACTTATCCTGCATTACTACGTCTAAGGATGCATTAAGGAGTAATGCAGGATAAGTAAAAAATTATTCTGATATCAAGCTGAAGTTGATTATTTCAATTGTGTGTCAGTATATAACAAAACACAGCTCATTCAAACAGTGAAAATATCCGGTACAGCAACAGCAAATTTGGTGATGCTTGATGACTACATGACCTGACTTATGACATTCAAACAGTCATCCTGAGTCTTGACACAAAGCTTGAAACCATTACAATATTTGACGTATCTCATACTCATTATTTGGCATTTCCTGCCCCTGATTTGGGCCGGGGCAACATGACATATATGTACAAATGCAGTCAGGTGTAAACAGATACTTATAAGTGAAGCCACCAGTGAGGTCTAGGTCTAGGGCTAGGATGGGTAACTGAGGTACCCGGGTCGGGTGGGTACTGAGTAGGACCCTGATACCCACAGGACTACTCGGACCAGTGGTTAGTCACGTGATATATTGTTTATTGACAAAAATTATCTAGAACTCTATTGTAACACTACAAGTCACTAATGTTCGCATTTCTTTCTGACTGTGCACCCATTCCTTCTGATTTTTCATATGGTTGAATAAAGATATAACTCAATTCAACTCCCCCCCACTCAATACTGTAAGTGCACAATGTGCTTATTACGACGAACACGGTAAACATATTTGCGTACAAACCTTGGATTCTATGGCGAGGGTAAACACAGCGTGGCTCCTCGAACTCTCTCTATTCATTGACGTCGCTGCCACCCTTCTGTTGATCCAGCCCGATGACAGCACCTGCATGTTAATCATGTTAACATACACCATCACTACCCACTAATATGTCATCAGCACATCTTAATATACCGTAACGCCATCACTAAACACTAATATGTCATCAGTACATCTTAATTGCCATAACACCGTCACTACACACTAATATGTCATCAGCACATCTTAATATACCGTAACGCCATCACTAAACACTAATATGTCATCAGCACATCTCAATATACCATAACGCCATCACTACACACTAATATGTCATCAGCACATCTTAATATACCGTAACGCCATCACTACACACTATTATGTCATCAGCACATCTTAATATACCATAACGCCATCACTACACACTAATATGTCATCAGCACATCTTAATATACACCATCACTACACACTAATATGTCATCAGAACATCTTAACATACACCATCACTACACACTAATATGTCATCAGCACATCTTAATATACCATAACGCCATCACTACACACTAATATGTCATCAGCACATCTTAATATACCGTAACGCCATCACTACACACTAATATGTCATCAGCACATCTTGATATACCGTAACGCCATCATTACACACTAATATGTCATCAGCACATCTTAATATACCATAACGCCATCACTACACACTAATATGTCATCAGCACATCTTAATATACCGTAACGCCATCACTACACACTAATATGTCATCAGCACATCTTAATATACCATAACGCCATCACTACACACTAATATGTCATCAGCACATCTTAATATACACCATCACTACACACTAATATGTCATCAGAACATCTTAACATACACCATCACTACACACTAATATGTCATCAGCACATCTTAATATACCATAACGCCATCACTACACACTAATATGTCATCAGCACATCTTAATATACCGTAACGCCATCACTACACACTAATATGTCATCAGCACATCTTGATATACCGTAACGCCATCATTACACACTAATATGTCATCAGCACATCTTAATATACCATAACGCCATCACTACACACTAATATGTCATCAGCACATCTTAATATACCGTAACGCCATCACTACACACTAATATGTCATCAGCACATCTTGATATACCGTAACGCCATCATTACACACTAATATGTCATCAGCACATCTTAATATACCGTAACGCCATCACTACACACTAATATGTCATCAGCACATCTTAATATACCGTAACGCCATCACTACACACAAATATGTCATCAGCACATCTTGATATACCGCAACGCCGTCACTACACACTAATATGTCATCAGCACATCTTAATATACCATAACGCCATCAGCACATAGATTCAACATGGTCGAGCTTTCCAAAACATTCATGGGATAAACAAGGTGACAGACTTGCTGAACATTGTAACCATGGTAACAGTGGCAGAGTTACTGGACTTACTATATGCTCAATAAACAAGAAAGGACTCACGACATATTCAACAAACAAGAGAGATCTTACGACATACTCAATAAACAAGAGAGAACTTACGACATACTCAATAAACAAGAAAGCACTTACTATATGCTCAACAAACAAAAAAAAGGACTTACTAAATACTCAATACACAAGAAAGGATTTACGACACACTCATTAAACAAGAAAGGACTTACTAAATACTCAATACACAAGAAAGGATTTCAACACACTCATTAAACAAGAAAGGACTTACTAAATACTCAATAAATAAGACAATACTTACTAAATACTCACTCAACAAGAAAGGACTAACTAAATACTCACTGAACATACAAGTCCTTGTAATACACTGCAGTGATAGGCACAGTGTCATTCAAAACCACAGATTGTGACCTTCATTCAGCCCCAACTCTGTTATGTATGTGAGGCCTACCTTGTCTTCCTCAATCAGAGGCTTTAGTGACATCACACAGCATTACACAATAGTCAGGATGGCAGTCTTTGTCTTCAATTGGTTATATAATTCTACAAGCTGGTGACAGACTTTGGCTGTTTTCGGAAGCCTGGTATTTGTACAATCATGTTTTGTTTGTTGTTTTAATGTTTTATTCCAGCTATACTACAGTGCCTGTAAACAATCAACTCTGGGCCAGACAAACCAGTGATTGATATTATGAGCATAGTCGAATATCTTCAGGGTATGATCATGATGATGGCACATAATTAACCAAATGAAAATAATAAAGAGCATGTAAGGCTGTTGAGAGAATTGCCATCTCAATCTGTAAATAATCAATCTGGACCAGACAATCCAGTGACTGATATCAGGCATGGATCCACATAATTGAGATACAATGACATTCAATCATCTAAGTCACATAGTCGCCTCTTACAGCCGGCACAGGTTGCTGGGATCAATACTTTAACCCAGACTCCCTGCTCGCATCTTCACTGTCCTAGCCCTAAGACCTGTGAAGATTCCAGGGTAGAATAGGTCTTCAGCAACCCATGCTTGCCGTAAAAGGTGACTATGCTTGTCATAAAAGGCGACTAACGGGATAGGGTGGTCAGGCTCGCTGACTTGGTTGATGCATGTCATCAATCCCAATCGCGTGGATCGGTGCTCATGATATTAATCACTGTATTGTCTGGTCCAGACTCGATTATTTACAGACCGCCGTCTTATAGCTGGAATATTGCTAAGTGCGGCGTTAAACAAAAAACCAACCAACCAACCTAGCCCTAATTTTGAAAATACACGAAGGTTCTCATTGATGTGGTTTCGGAGCTACCTACGTCATATGCTTCACTGGGACTTGCCACTGCCTGCTCGCTGATGCCGTCGACAAACACGCCTTTCTTGATGTTCTCACGAAGGTGAAGGCCTTCCGCTGAGGGGTCAAGGAGGTCGTACACACACTCCTGGTAGATCTCGAGGAACGAACATCGACACAGGAACTGCTTCCTGTCCCCATGCTGCAAGTGTAGGCAAAGAGGTATAACAGCTTTCACACATCACGTTCATCTACATCAATATAACAATGACAATTAGTTACACACACATCTCACACTGGTTCTGAAATATGTTCTTACATATCTAGATTTTTCTAGCTGTAGCTCAGTGATGTCAAATCTCTTGAAACTTAAAAAATCTACTACCTGCTTACAAACATCACGTTCCCTGAATTCACCGGATTATAGACCTTTCACTCTGCCGATGGCCATGAAGTCTTCCAACTGAATTTAAGTCTAAGATGAAGACACACCTATTGAACTAGGCTTTTGATTACTTGCCTTATGACATCATATGGCGGAAAATGTTTTGAGTCTATTACCCCGAACCTGGCTCTTAACATCATTTTCAGTTAAACTTAGTGTTATTGCCGGACTATTATTAGCTGAGCTTACTCGACTGAAGAGAATTTTACAGGACTTGGCCTTCGGACTCATGACTAAAGCTGCAGACTGAAAGACCATACAGGATGTATGAATGTTTGCGCTATACAAATGCATTTTCTATGATGATGATGATGATGATGAAGATGATGATGATAACGATGAGTGAGTGAGTGAGTGAGTTTGGTTTAACGCCGCTTTTAACAGTATTCCAGTCATATCACGGCATGTCAGCTAAATGTGGTAGGAAAGCCCAAAGTGATGCAGGTCTCAGATGTTTACCACTTCGGTGAAACCCACGAGCACGGGTATGGTGCTGACAAACCTAGAAACATAACCGGGGCGACCCGGGATTAAAACCCACAATCATAGGTTTCTGGCGTGTCCAAGGGACGCAACTCTGCACAGCGAATCGCGGCGCCTTAGACAACTGGGCCACCCGTGCCCCCTGATGATGATGATGATGATGATGATGATGATGATGATGATACAAACAGATAGCTTGTTAACATCAATAGTACTCTAGCAAGTAAACTTGACCTGGGTTATATACAATATATCCCAAAGTTAAATATTGTTGAAATCAATCAATATTTCTTCAAACTCTTATGATTTAGTTAACATATAAAATCCCACATGCTTTCAATTTTATTTCACTGTAGAAATGATGTCAATGAATCAGGGACTGAGAAGTATGCTTTATGGCATCTTGTTTGATGTTGGTGGAAAATGATAACGATTCATTAATGAACAGATAGACCAGACCCAGCTGGTACTGAGGCTCACCAGCTGTTGTTCCCGGTTGATGTGACTGAAGAGGTACTCGAAGCTTCTCGGAGTCACCCCGCGCAGCTCATGCTGAAAACTCTCCGAGTCCTCCGACGGCCCTGAAGTTTGGAAGTAAACATTAGAAACAATTAACTCCTTCAAACTACACTTGGGTTTAAAGGGAGACATTGTATAACTACAACTACGACTCAAGTCTCTTCCTGAGACTTCAAGTGAGTGAGTGAATGAGTGCATGTGTGGGTGAGTGAGTGAGTGCATGTGTGGGTGAGCGAGTGAGTGCATGTGTGGGTGAGCGAGTGAGTGCATGTGTTGGTGAGCGAGTGAGTGCATGTGTGGGTGAGCGAGTGAGTGCATGTGTTGGTGAGTGAGTGAGTGAGTGAGTGGGTGAGTGCATGTGTGGGTGAGTGAGTGAGTGCATGTGTGGATGAGTGAGTGAATGAGTGGGTGGGTGAGTGAGTGAGTGAGTGAGTGGGTGAGTGATTGAGTGAGTGCATGTGTGGGTTAGTGAGTGAGTGCATGTGTGGGTGAGTGAGTGAGTGAGAGTGAATGAGTGAGTGAGTGAGTGAGTGCATGTGTGGGTGAGTGAGTGAGTGCATGTGTGGGTGAGTGAGTGAGTGCATGTGTGGGTGAGTGAGTGAGTGCATGTGTTGGTGAATGAAGCTATATTTAACTTTTTCTAAGCTAGCATGTGTGGGTGAGTGAGTGAGTGAGTGCATGTGTGGGTGAGTGAGTGAGTGCATGTGTGGGTGAGTGAGTGGTAGTGTGAGTGAGTGAGTGAGTGAGTAAATGAGTGAGTGAGTGCATGTGTGGGTGAGTGAGTGAGGGAGTGAGTGCATGTGTGAGTGAGTGGGTGAGTGAGTGAGTTGGTGAGTGAGTGAGTGGGTGAGTGAGTGAGTGAGTGAGTGAGTGAGTGCATGTGTGGGTTAGTGAGTGAGTGCATGTGTGGGTGAGTGTGTGAGTGCATGTGTGGGTGAGTGAGTGAGTGCATGTGTGGGTGAGTGAGTGCATGTGTGGGTGAGTGGGTGAGTGAGTGAGTGCATGTGTTGGTGAGTGAGTGAGTGCATGTGTTGGTGAATGAAGCTATATTTAACTTTTTCTAAGCTAGCAGGGCACAATTTAAGGAACTTGATTTAACTTGCAGCAGGTGAATGTTGACATGAAAAGCTGGTTGCACCAGACAAAACCAAGTTGCACCCTGGTCTCATAAATTTACCAAAGTTGGAACAGAGATTCATTACCTCGTCTAAATCAGTAAAATCTCAGACCTCTGAAGACTGTGTCATGTGTCATGAATTACACATAACACAGGGATTCGTTACGTAGTATGGTCAGACAAAAAGTCAAATTCTTGGTGCATGTAGACAAAAATATTAGGTTGCATTTTTCAATAAAAGGCTGCACTGGTGCATGTTTCATATACATGCACTGGTGCATGTTTCATATACATGCACTGGTGCATGTTTCAAATACATGCACTGGTGCATGTTTCATATACATGCACTGGTGCATGTTTCATATATATATATATATATATGATACATGCACCAGTGCAGCCTTTCATTGATATATATATGAATTGTGTGTGTGTGTTGGGTTTCAAATACATGCACTGGTGCATGTTTCATATACATGCACTGGTGCATGTTTCATATATATATATATATATATGATACATGCACCAGTGCAGCCTTTCATTGATATATATATGAATTGTGTGTGTGTGTTGGGTTTTACGCCGCTTTTAACAGTATTCCAGTTATATCGCGGCATGTCAGCTTAATGTGGGAGGAAAGCTCGAAGTGATGCAGGTCTCAGACGTTTACCACTTCAGTGAAACCCACGAACACGGGTATGGTGCTGACAAACCGAGAAACATAATCGGGGCGAACCGGGATTCGAACCCACAATCATAGGTTTCTGGCGTGCCCAAGGGACCCAACTCTGCACAGTGAATCGCGGCGCCTTAGACGACTGGGCCATCCGTGCCCCCTTTGACATGAGGTTTTTAACTTTATTCACAACTGTGAGCACTACAATAGACATACCAATCCCTGTTATTGTCTACAGAATACCTGACACACCTCTGCTACAGTTATATACACACTACAGACATGGTCTCCCCACCTACCCAGCATGGTGAAGGTCTTGCCACTGCCAGTCTGCCCACTGGAAGAAGGAAGAAGGAAGAAGAGATGCAGGGTTAGAAATTATATGTTATTTAGAAGTGACAGCATCGGCATCGGATAGGATAAGTCTTAAAATTTGAAAATTTTCAAATAAATTGTATATTTATGCACTTATCCTACCTCACACTCTAAATGCCCACCCAAGCATCCCTGCATCACAGTTACACCAGCCACTACACTCTAGATTGAGAATGAGGGTGCTGGATATGTCAGGTGATCAGATCGCAGGGATCGTGTCGCACGGGATTGCAGTGGTGCGTGACCCATGATCACAGTGGTGACATAGTGATGTATTGGATGTGTTGGGGGGAGTTGTTTTTTGAAGCTGGAAACGTTGTTTCAGGACGTTTCCACACCAGGATCGAAGAATAAGAAGAATTGCATAGTGTGAGATAGGACAAGTTTAAAAAATCTAAAAATTGAGCAAGACACTTGTAATGGAAGTGATCACATGTGTTCATATGAATGAGAGTTAGATTTGGCTCACTTCACTACAAGCACATTCGGTTATACACACAACATGAAAAAGTATGGATTGTGGGGTTAGTGTAGGTTTTCTGAGCCCTGGAGGTATAGAGGATGTCAAAACGCCTGGCTATAGAGACTTCCATGTAGGGAACAAGTCTTTGACTCAAGTTTGATTTTCTGTAGTCCATGTTGTCTCAACAATTTCGTCATGTTCATCATGTTCGATTCTATCTCTTTGATCGAAATATTGCCATTTCACTTATTTTAGCTGACTTACCTGATCATGTCCGATGTTCAACAGGGCAAAAAGAAGGGCTAATTGTAAAACATGTTTCATTTTTCAAAAACTTTAACATTTCCAAAGATACTTAAGAAAAGTCAGAGCGTATTATACACGAGAAAATTTTTTCAAGGATTTAATGGCCCATAATTAGGGCCGCGTATCATACATGAGTGCGTTTTTTCACAAATATAAACGGTCCTTTCCTACATTTTCACCAGTAAACTCTGACTTGGAGTGCAGCTGGACAGGTCAGCATCACTGTACAGATTGGATACTCACTAGGCAAAGATTGTTCCATTGTACCCGTTGAGACAGCCATCAATGATCCCCTTGCCCACTGCACAGAATACTGCTTCCTGAAATCAGATACATTCTAAGTTTAGTTCAATTCTCAGATGATATGTAACTGATGAAGTCATCTGAACATAACATCACCAACTACATGCCACGTCATGGGACAGTAGGTATCATCTTCCTGGGGCAAGGAAGTTGAATGACTGAAAATGTCAAAAAATCCCAAACATTTCTTACAATTAACTTGCTAACAGAAACACATGTATAACAAATGTATAAAAACAGCATGCATAAATACCCAACGAAGCGTTTTCAGCATGCGTACACAGGAGCTTATTTCCGAAACACAATTACTAGCAAATTAACTTTCCGAGTCAAGCCTATATATTTAGAGCACTTATCATGGGGAGATACATCTAAATCATTATTGTATTTGTTTTAAATCTTAAAATGCTCACACTTTTGGGGAAATACACAATAGAGTGATGAATAGATGACTGAAAGGTATTGGTTACCTAATGAAAAATGTAATGACCCAATTAATATAGAAACCCTAGAGTAAAAGTAAAAACTCAGTTGCTCAAAAAGTTATCTGGAGCTCTGTATCAACACTCATTGATAAAAGTTTAAAACACCTTGGCAAAACTTTGATCAACTTGTGATAATACATTTTGGTGGGAGAGTGAGATTCTCCATATATAGGCGGACCCAGTCAACAAGATGGCATTGTCTTGAGTCTGGTTTGAATGACACAAGGCTGAACATAGCCATCCAGTGACATGACACAGTTCCTTCACGACTGAAACAAGCAGCCAGATGTCCAGTGCTCAACTTGCCTTGCTGCACATCTCATATACAACTAGAACACCTAGCAGCATGGTCACTTCCTCAAATCAGGGAAACATATTTGCCAGCTAAAAGTCTTTTGGTTTGACTAAGGATACCACGGGCATGCTTGTACAATGGCACAAACTTGAACATAAATGTTTGCCGAAGTCGCAGTCAGAGAAAACTTGAACATAAATGTACGCCGAAATCACATACAGAGGAAACTTGAACGTATATGTATGCTGAAGTTGCAGTCGGAGAAAACTTGAACGTATATGTATGCCGAAATCACAGTCAGAGGAAACTTGAACGTATATGTATGCTGAAGTTGCAGTCGGAGAAAACTTGAACGTATATGTATGCCGAAATCACATTCAGAGAAAACTTGAACATAAATGTATGCCGAAATCACATTCAGCGGAAACTTGAACGTATATGTATGCCGAAGTCGCGGTCAGAGAAAACTTGAACGTATATGTATGCCGAAATCACATTCAGCTGAAACTTGAACGTATATGTATGCCAAAGTCGCAGTCAGAGAAAACTTGAACGTATATGTATGCTGAAGTTGCAGTCGGAGAAAACTTGAACGTATATGTATGCCGAAATCACAGTCAGAGGAAACTTGAACGTATATGTATGCTGAAGTTGCAGTCGGAGAAAACTTGAACGTATATGTATGCCGAAATCACAGTCAGAGGAAACTTGAACGTATATGTATGCTGAAGTTGCAGTCGGAGAAAACTTGAACGTATATGTATGCCGAAATCACAGTCAGAGGAAACTTGAACGTATATGTATGCTGAAGTTGCAGTCGGAGAAAACTTGAACGTATATGTATGCCGAAATCACATTCAGAGAAAACTTGAACATAAATGTATGCCGAAATCACATTCAGCGGAAACTTGAACGTATATGTATGCCGAGGTCGCGGTCAGAGAAAACTTGAACGTATATGTATGCCGAAATTACATTCAGAGAAAACTTGTACATAAATGTATGCCGAAATCACATTCAGCGGAAACTTGAACGTATATGTATGCCAAAGTCGCAGTCAGAGAAAACTTGAACATATATGTTCGCTGAAATCACATTCAGAGGAAGAGCTTCAATAGGTTGCTAATACCAAGCTTCTGAGCCAGAGATATTCTGTACTATGTTAATGATAAGAGCGATAGAGACGTCATTTTCGAAACAAAGCTATGGCAGAGAATGAGTCCAGGGTCTTCATAACAGAATGGAGAATATTAGATGAATAATTGAGACAGCATACCTGCGTAATGTTGATATCCGCAACTTTGTCGAAGGAGAATACTTTAGGTTCAGGCTTGGCCCGCACTGTGACCGAGTTCCGTTGGTCGTCCACCTCAATGGCCTTTTGTGCTCCCAGCTCATTATCTCCCTTGTCTGGAGGTCGCACACGTACAAATACCTTGATGGAGTCGCCTTCACTGATGAAATGACAACAAATATGATGTTCTGTTATGTGAGTCACGAGGTCATCTGTATCATCGTAATTCATTACTTGTGTTCTAGGAACATTCTCTGTTGGGTCGGACAATAAATGAAATCAAAGAAATCAATGAATATTTTCAGTTTCATGGCATATTAAATTTATGTCATACATGTAGATTTGAGAAAAAGTAATCCTTCAACTTCAGACTCTTGGGCTAATGGCTGTGTCTAGCCCTGCTGAACTAGTGCATTGAAGCAATTTCTAAAACAATTTTCAAAACAATTTGTATTGTTAAAACAGAGGTTACCATGTTTACCAAATAAAAAAATATAAAAATTTGACTGTTACCATGGTTACACAAAATATTTATGAAAAATACCTGGAATCGTGGCCGCCTTTATCTGAAAAAATAAATAAAATCATGAATTTCAATTAAATTAGCTCAGTGAGACGTGGACTTCAGGGTAAAATGTCATTTTACACTCTATGACTGACATGTATGTGATTTGCCACACATTTGGGTAAATCAATGAAAATTACATAATCTAACCAGTAGGGATGAAACGACACAGCAAGGTCACGTTACGATACGCATCACGATATGCATCTTTACTTCAAATCGCGTGGAAACATCTTGACTAAATATTTCAGACAGGTTCAAAAGGAAAAGCTGGCTGTAGACACATGTTAGTAGCAGCTACTTTTAGAAGTGAACATTATTACAACACATTTTGCAATTTTTGACAGACAAAAATGCTCGGTCATTAAACGAGCAGTGATGTATTTCAGCAAGTGTATCATCTTCTACCATTAAAGAAAAAATGTATTGTGTATCGTATCGGCGCACGAAATCTCACGATGTACCAGTGCACCAATGTATCGTTTCGCTTCTACTAACCATGCTAACTGTCTTTGTTTCATAATGTAGCCACACAAAGTTAAACAATGTAAATGATAAAGGTATCATCTGGGCTGAAAATGTCCCCATCCTGATCATAATGCTAACTGCTTACACCCGAGAGGGGTAGGGTAGGATTGTGGTTAAAGAGTTTGGTCGTAATGCCGGCCTCGATTCCACACATGGGTAAAATGTAATGGTGGGACTATACACAGATGCATCGGTGGATCGCGATTCTTTACTTCTTGATACAAGTATCAATCACAGTCACACACTAAGTAAAAATTAACGATTTTGACCTTAAATGTTTGCTTTAATAACTGTTCCACTAAACACTGATCAGTAGTGCAAGTTAATAGTAAAAACGAATATTTTCATTTGTTGTGCCATACTTGACACTCCTCACTGTAAATCATCAGTGGGCCAGGTATTTGGTCATCCTGTCTATGAAAAAGATGGCTTGCGCCACAGATAAGAGCACATGCAATTATCGTGATACATATCTGATCGTGAGCAAGGTATCGTGATACGTATTGGATCGCACAGTTGGTGTATCGTCCAAGCCCTAGTAATGTGTCCCTGCACGATATTACTGGAATATTACATGTGGCATAAAACTCACTCACCCATTCACACATTTGCAATGTTGTGCCCAGAAACTGAACAAGTGGGGACAGGGACCCCTTCAGCATAAATCCATGGGGTCATTTTCAAAACCAATGGGGACACACTTTGAGGGATATCATTAACTTAAAACCCCATGGTATGCAGGTTATTGATGCAGAATCACTGTCCACAAGTAACGCTAGCGATACACAGAATTTTTGCATGGCATCCGATGTCTTATATAATTGGCCTCAATAATTTGTTTGTGATCACTGCCGTTAGCATGTCTCTTCAAAGTACTTGTTATAAAATTATAATGTAGCTCTATCACTGAATTAGATTTCACATGATTCATACAAAGCTGACATATCATAGTAGTTCTACCTATTTCTATTTTAGAGACACCGCAGCTGGGATCGTTCACACAAAGATTCAGTTCCAAAGAGGAGATATGGTAAATGAAAAGTTAATGACGGCCCGATGCCAGACAAGGTGCCACAACTTAAGCAAACACACATTATAACTTTTCTTCGTGACCCATGAAGATCCAGGGTAGAACAGGTTTACTGTAACCCATGCTTGCCGTAAAAGGCAACTATGCTTGTCGTAAGAGGTGACTAACGGGATTGGGTAGTCAGGCTCGCTGACTTGGTTGATGCATGTCATCGTATCCCAATTGCATGGATCAATCGCTGGATTGTCTGGTCCTGATTTGATCATGGGGCAGATAGTTTTCGGTGAGTTCCCCTTATTGTGTCTGCCATGCTTTATCATGATTTGAGTTAAAATGGAAAATTTGAGACCAATATTGACAAAGCCGTTTGCACACAAATAGAGCACACATTACCAAAATGGTGGAAGGGTATCTAGCCTTGGATTTAGTTGGTTGGTTTGTTGTTTAACGCCGCACTTAGCAATATTCCAGCTATATGACGGCGGTCTGTAAATAATCGAGTCTGGACCAGACAATTCAGTGATTGGCATCATGGGCATCGATCCACACAATTGGGACAAATGACATGCATCAACCAAGTCAGCGAGCCTGACCACCTGTTCCTGTTAGTCGCCTCTTACGACAAGCATGGGTTGCTGAAGACCTATTCTACCCCGGATCTTAATGGGTCTTCTAGCCTTGGAGGAAAACATGTAACAAATTGTTTCTTCCAGTAGTATACTCTGTCACATTATCAACACGTTTCTAAAATACGTTTCTTATATTTCACTTATCCCAACTTAAATGTCTAATCCTAGATCATGAAGATACAAACATCAGAACATGGAATGGAAAATTATTTTAAGTCATGATATGGATCATATAGGGCTGGCTATCGATACAGATCATAGAGACTGATAATCGTTAACAAAATATCAATCAGCTATTGATAAATATTGGGGAAGTAACTTAAGCAAACACGCAAAAAAGAGTCAGAAAGAAATCAACATATTTCACTCCACTGGTGGGGCGGTCGGGTAGCCTAGTGGTTAAAGCTCGCCACGCTGAAGACCCGGGTTCGATTAGCGGCGTAAAACCATACTCACTCACTCACTCCACTGGTGAGTGGTGGCACATTGATTCAGGGATTACTTTGTAGACCTTTGAGATATAACAAAAACAGTTACTTTCAATCTTCAGCAATTGACGTTATTGACAATAACAAGTCTGTTTCTGTAAATCTAAACTTAATTTCATCCAAATAGATTTTGTTACATTTAATCGATGACACAACTTTCATATCGATAATCGTTAATATTTCTTTCCATTGACGATAATTCCAATTACCGGAATCAATCTTTTTTGCCAGGCTGCGTATCATATGTATAGCAAAAAGCCTTTTAAACAAATGCAGTGATAATGATCAATAAACTACTGACCTAGTGTGTTATGGACATTTGCTTCAAAAAGAAATTAGAAGGGGGGTGTGTAAATCCATCTTGTTTTTATAATTAGTTATTTTGTCATATAAAATGACAAGGGGGAACTTTGGATAAGTCATATGACAATTTTGATGAACTTTATAATATTTACAGTATCGATACATAGTTTCTGTGGTAGCGTCATATTAAAATTTGGTATTTACTCTGATAAACTAACCACTGCATATAATGTTTACAATCCAACTGATTCTATGAGTAGGAAAGATACTAACAGAGTAGCGATGGGGTCCGGCAGTCAAGACATCTGGACCCTACATCACGTGATTGAAATAAAGGAATGTGTTGACAAGAATACACAGCAACATAGCACGCCCACATTGTCAAGCTTGCAGAATATTGTTTTACGCCGCGACCAGCAATATTCCAGCGACATTATTTAGGCGGTTTGTAAACAGAGTGAAACCATTGGTTGTTACAGCATCAGCCAAGCCGTCCGGGTACGATGGCACAATCATCAAGGTTACACACAATGTGACAGCCAGATTATCAGTTCAGTCGCCTCCTTCGACAAGCATGGGATGCTGGGTACTTATCCGGACTCAGAGCCCCCGTGGGCGTAGCAGCAAATGGACCAGCTGGGTGTCACTGAACACCGGACTGATAGTAACAGTGTTGCTGTCACCAGGCATGGTATTTCCAATTTGCAAATCTAAGCTGCTGAGATGTGTTTAATGGGGAATGAAAATAGCCTGTAACCATTTGATGAACAAACCTGACATAATGAATAGTCAAAACAGTCAATCTTCTACTCTGTGTTGTCAGTGCGGTACCAAATGGCGGACTTTTCGAATTTAGCGCCCCCTGCGAGATATCGCGAGACTCTCAATTAGAAACCTATTTTCCTACATCATATGAATGCTTCTTGCAGAGGACGCCAATCAGTCTTAGTAACCGTCTAAATTGTACATTTAAATGCCAGCATCTTTATATCACTATTACAAACAGGCAGTACAAAAATATCTACACCTGTGTTATCTTACCGTTGATATGAATTGGGTCAGCTTCTTTAATGATGTATATCATATTGGTTAGGGAAATAGCAGCAAGTATAAGCTTCGTGAACGGAGGGCGCTTATCTAAAAATAGCAACCACCACAAGTGGAAATCCCCTAATTTGCATATCGGGAAAGGTATTCACATACGGTTAATTAACCGTGACAATCAAGTAACAACACACAAATTTATTCTTTGCACTTTATTCTGAGATTTGTTACGACATATTTATTTATTGTGAAGAAATATTCCTGAAAGTTGAGTTGATCCTAAATCTTAAATAAGCGAATCACGTGCGAAGCCAGATCTATTTATAGACATAAACAAAGGGGATCGCTGTATTCAAGTGACGTATGTTGGAGCAATCAGCTGACCAGACGTCGACATATAAATGCGATGTGGCTTTGTGCGTGTCTCACTAGAGGCGGCAACAATACCTTAGTACAGACATTTTCAGATAAGGCAAATTTTCCTCGCTCAGCTGGAAAATCCTCCAGGATGAAAATCGAGAACAATATTCTGACATGGGCACATAAGATGTGGAATTTCATGTTAATGAACCAGAAAATAAGCAAGGTGAGTGCCGACCTTAAACACAACCATACAGGTTTCACATTTTAGCCATAACGGTCAAATTAAAAAATGAATAGCACGGCGTTGAATTATAAATTAATTTTAGTATGGAAATTGTATTTTAAAAACCTTTCTTTTAAATTAATATCCTCAAGATTAAAAAAAGACACGCTAACATATAATATTAATTTATCAATGTTAGTATAATAGTGTATTTCAACTTCTTTATATCCACATAATTCCGAAGTTAATGCAAGTCATATAATAATGCAAGTCCAATACAGCATTGTGTACGCGTCTGTTTCTATATGTTTGTCGATAACGATATAATGTGCTTGCGACACCACAGATGAGCCACTACCTCATATTTAATTACAGGAATGTGATACACGCCTGTCTGTCATGTTATGTCATGTTAATATAAAGGGCATCTTCGTCCCAGAACCATCCAACCGTTCCATTTCTGTAATTAAAAAGGATATCATTATTTATTTTTAAATATGTATAACCCTATCCTTTCACGTGCTATTTATTCGTTTGATGTGTTAGACTGCATGCCAAATAGATGTTGCTCCAGCACATTCGTCTCAAACACGAGGAAGGAGATGGGACTTTTAAAAATATATTTTGAAAACAATAAGATGACAAAGGACGCCCAGGGTTTAAAGTGACGCGCCGATGCCCGAGAAAAAAATCTTTCTTTTAGCCCTTTACATATATTTCTTTATGTTTGAGATGTAGTTCTGTATACTAAGATGAAATACGTATCTCAGCGTTAGAAATTGTCACTAGTCCTGTAGTCCTTACCAAACTGCCAAATAGTAAAGGTATCCGCAGGACAAGTAGAAATTGGCCCATTTTAAGGGTTTTGCTATATGTTATCATTATAAGGACTAGTGGACAAAAACTGTTAGTTTCTAACCCTGTATCTCTTTATACTACGATAGTAGATGAGGTCGGTGGAAAGTTAAACACGTTTACTGATTAAAACACTAATATTTGTTTATTATTTAACGCCGCACTCAGATACTGATATTTTAATTCGTATGGTTCAGTATGGGACGAATACAATATTTAGTCAAACGCCATATACATACAAATTTTTTATTGACGTTTAATCACATACTGATGTGGTTTATAGAGCAAACTGCATGCGGTGCATGTCCGTCACCATGGTGACACTGTTTCAGTCCATCATTAGATGTATAAATTTCACCTTAAACGTCACATAGGGATGAATATGTTTTTTATTGACAAATCTGTTTAGTTGGACAATGGGTGCAACAACTGACTGATCAATACAGCTCATGTGACAATCACAAGGTTTACACTTTATTGAACTGCCGGTCATGTGTGGTGCTTCCGTTTATAGGGTGATGTCATCCTCGGACTGGGCAACAACGACATACGTACAGCCCAGCACGCTGCGCACTTGTTCAAGGAAGGTCTCGCGGACTGGCTCATGTTCTCCGGGAGGGATGGGACATTGACGACAGGTAAAAATAAATAAACTGATATTTGTCTGCAAAGTGTTTAAATGTGAATGGCATTTCGCTGCATGTGCAGAGCGATGCCTCTTTGTGTAGCGATAATTATCCCAGATTCGGCCGATTATGACCCCTGGCCGATTATGTCTCCTGTCGTAACTGCGTTTTTGGGTAAACTCAGCCCTACTACAGTTACCTACGTTATTGTCGTTCCTTGGCTTCATAGGCAAAGTAAGTCTTGTCAGAATCTTAGTCAAGGCGTGTTTGGTCTATCGACTCTTACTCCGAACTGTCTCAATCCACATTCATGTACCGGCCCTTGCATACACCAGGAGTAAACACAAGACATAGGTTATACTCACATACTTTTAATAACCCTTCAGTCCATCAAAGACAACTTCCACAGAAGACAGGCTAGACTCGTCATAGACTGGACAAACAGAGTGATATCGATCTGCTTCAGTCACTGCCAGACACGCGCCCCTCAGCTAGTGTTGAACGTATCTTTTTAAAGGAGTCGTGTCTAACTTTTCTTTGTCACATGTAGTGAGTGAGTTGGGTTTAAGGTCGCTTTTAACAGTATTTCAGTTATATCACGGCGTGTCAGTTTAATGTGGGAGGAAAGCCCGAAGTGATGCAGGTCTCAGACGTTTACCATTTCGGTGAAACCCACGAGCACGGGTATGGTGCTGGCAAACCAAAAATATAATCGGGGCGAACCCGGATTCGAACCCACAATCAAAGGTTTCTAGCGTGCCCAAGGGACGCAACTCTGCACAGCGAATCGCGGCGCTTTGGACGACTAGACTACTACTAGATACTAGATACAACTACACAATAAGTTAAAGCATTACACCTGTTTTAAATCATTCATTCTGACTGAAAAATATCTTTTGGATATAAATGTTAAGAAATTCCGCACTATCCCGTTTCAGGTGTAGTTCTCATGACCTTCTAATAGAGAAAGGTAGACATTTAGCGATACCAAGGGAAAACAGATTGTGTAAATATTGTACTTGCCAAGAGATAGAAGATGAATACCATTTTTTGCTAGTCTGTCCATTGTATGCAAATATCAGAAAAGAATACATACATACATATTTTTATCTGAATCCTAGAATAGACAAAATTTATATTCTCATGTCATCTCAAAATGAAACAGTAACAAAATATCTTTCATTGATATAAACCATGCAATGAACATCAGATCCTCTGCATTATAGATGTGATATTTTGTTACGATATAAGTAATTCCTATTGTACCCATCGCTACTGTATGTATATATGTACTATAGGCCTATGGCCTTTTCAGTACTTGAAATAAAGATTGATTGACTGACGGCTAGACCACCCGTGCCCCCTTGTCATAACAATGTCTCAATTTGATTCGTTAAAAGTTAGATCTGACCATGAACTCATATGTGTCGTAATCGGAAAAATACCGAAGCCTACGTGGCCAATTGACCATCTTTCTATTGATTTTATGGCTCACTCCGGATTCCACAAATGAAAAGTATCTCACCTCTCTGCTGATTCATGGACTAATCGACGATAACATGGAACAAATAAAATGATAAACATGAAATGTCCAGAATACTCTTCTGATAAATGTGAAATGTCCTTTCTCTATTAATTCTTTCCTAGATTACAGTTCTGTCACGAACTTAATATGCATAATACAACCACATCATTGCAGTTATGAACGATTTTATTTGGTACAATTTTGTTACCATTTTCGAATGTTTTGAGACGCATTTTAACCTTATAAAACTCCTGCCGATTATGACTCCTGGCCGATTATGACTTCTGTCCGATTATGACTCCTGGCCGATTATCGATTATGACTCCTGACCGATTATCGATTATGACTCCTGGCCGATTATGACTCCTGCTGAGTATGACTCCTGGCCGATTATGACTCCTACCTATTATGACTCCTGGCCGATTATGACTCCTGGTCGATTATGACTCCTGGTCGATTATGACTCCTGGTCGATAATGACTCCTGGCCGATTATGACTCAGCACCATATCCCAAAATATACTGCCGGGCAAAAGAAAGTATACACTTGAAAACTCGATTTGAAAACATTTTTTTTACGAAGGTTATCAAAACGTTACGAGGCCGAAAACAGTCGCCGAATCACTGCAAAAATCTTGTATATTCTTTTTTCAGATGTCAATTATTTTTTATGACTCCCTTAGATATGTGTAATATATTTTATGACCCTCCCCAAGAGATTGTCATATTCGTCGGTGACCCTCGATTAATTCCCTGGAATGGCTAAAGTACTAGTCCCTTACATCAAGCGTGTCAACTTGATGTGGGAGGAAAGCCCAAAGTGATGCAGGTAGTGGGTAAGGAACCCGAAAGTTCTTGAAAAACATAATTATGCTTCAGACTATTGATAAAAGAAAAAGTTGCCTTCCGATTTTGTATGCCAGCCCACTGATTTACCATGCCGCAGTTACCCTGAATACCCCACTCACAGTATACCAATCTCATTAAAATCAGATCTTAGTTCTCGCTACCGCTTAACAAAGATCTAAGGACATCCCATTAGGGGTCACGTCAAAACGAACTCTCTTCCGACCAATCAGAGCATCGCTTACCAGATCATGAAAGTGACAGTCGGAATGTGATTTCTTATCATGCAGCCTGCGAAAACTTTAAAACGGGGTATTCCGAACGATAGTTACGAACTTAACGACTGAACCTATACAATCTAGACCATATATTAGCCATTCGAGAATGTTCATTTGTTCAGGTTTCAAATTTTTAAGCGTGAATTTGTCAAAATATGTTTCGAAGCGTAGTCGCCAATTTGAAATATGTGCCGTAAAGCCTTCTGATTGGCTAATGTCGGCTTCTTGTCAGGAATTCCATTGGTCCGTCAGAGTTTGCGAAAGGTCGGTCTGACGTGACCCGTAATGGGATGTCCTCAGATCTTAGTTTAGCGGCAGCGAGAACTAAGATCTGATTTTAATGAGATTGACAGTATACCGACTCTGAGCCGACCAGCCCTTGTAAATGCCGAGCGCCATACAGGGTAACAACAAGTACCATCTTTTAACGTCTTTTAGTTAGAATTGGTCGGGATCGAACCCCGGACCTTCCGCTCTCCGGGCGGATGCTCTACCACTAGACCACGGAGACGGCCGCAGGTGGAACATGATTCCATCGGAGGTAGACCCGTGAAGATCCGGGGTAGAATAGGTCTTCAGCAACCCATGCTTGCCGTAAAAGGTGACTATGCTTGTCGTAAAAGGCGACTAACAGGATCGGGTGGTCAGGCTCGCTGACTTGGTTGATGCATGCCATCGACCCCAATTGCGTGGATCGATGCGCATGATATCAGTCACTGGATTGTCTGGTCCAGACTCGATTATTTTACAGACCGCCGTCATATAGCTGGAATATTGCTGAGTGCGGCGTAAAAACAACAAACCAACCAACCAACAACCATCGGAGGTAATATCTCTGCATAATGCGGTGTATGAAGGTAAAGGTAGACGTTGATATAATGGGTTTGATTTTTTAAATTTCTGCCTCCTCAACCTTGTGTACGTGTTTTCAGGGAAATGGGACCGACCGGAGGCAGAAGTGTTCCGTGACGTGGCGGTGAGAGCTGGGGTCCCAGAGAACAAGATCATCCTGGAGATCGAGGCCACAAACACAGGCGAGAATGTTGCGTTTTCTCACACAGTCCTTGAATCTCTCAACATCAAGCCCAAGAAAATCATTCTGGTGACAACTCCTTATCATGAACGTAGGGCTTATGCCACTTTCATGAAACAGTTTCAGGGAGCAGCGTCAATGGACGTAATGGTGACGTCACCGGAAATAACGCTCCAGGCATATCCAAATAAGGAAGTCGGGTCTTTAAATGACGTCATCGGTGTGATAATGGGATGTATGCAGAGATGTAGGTTATACCCCGAGAAGGGCTTCCAGATCCCTCAGGATATACCCAATGATGTATGGGAGGCCTACGAGTCGCTGAAAGACCTTGGGTGTTTTAACAACAATCTCATCTGACGTCGCCATGACTCTCTTGATATGCGACGTCATATATGACCATTATTTTCGTTTTGTACATTTTTTATAGATACACTTATGTCTTACTTAGAAGGGTTTTGGGGTCGCCTGTAATAAAGCGATCTCGTTTCTATGGTTACGTTAACGTCAGGTGTGATGGCCACTCGCGGCGTTCCACGAGGTGATATTTCGATACGACATTAAACCCATCTCACGCACTCACTCGACGGGATATTACTTCAACACTACAATGCACACTCGGTTAGTAGATTCACGTCTTTTTTTCTTTGTGAAACCACAAATGTGTTGGAAGAGCAGATGGTACAGACATTACATACACTCCTCGTTACTTGCTTACTTGGGGGGCACGGGTGGCCCAGTCGTCTAAGGCGCCACAATTCGCTGTGCAGAGTTGCGTCCCTTGGGCACGCCAGAAACCTATGATTGTGGGTTCGAATCCCAGTTCGCCCCGATTATGATTCTAGGTTTGTCAGCACCATACCGTGCTCGTTGGTTTCACCGAAGTGGTAAACGTGTGAGACCTGCATCACTTTGGGCTTTCCTCCCACATTAAGCTGACACGCCGCGATATAACTGGAATACTGTTAAAAGCGGCGTTAAACTCACTCACTCACTTGCTTACTTATAAGATGTATACTCAGTAACTCGTAAAGACCCTGAACGTGATGTTGGATAGATAGAATGTAAACTAAACAGTGGACCCGTGGAGATCCGGGGTAGAATAGGTCTTAAGCAACCCATGCTTGCCGTAAAAGGCGACTATGCTTGTCGAGAGAGGCGACTAACGGGATCGGGTGGTCAGACTCGCTGACTTGGTTGATGCATGTCATCGTATCCCGATTGCATGGATCGATGCTCGTGATGGCAATCACTGGACTGTCTGGTCCAGACTCGATTATTTACAGACCGCCGTCATATAGCTGGAATACTGCTGAGTGCGGCAAACAAACAAACAAACAAACGTTTTTCTTATGAACACTTGATTGATAATTGGTTCTTTCATTAAGTTGTTCACCGAGTCTTACAACGATTGCTGGCAGCTGACAGCACTTCACGCTGGTGCTCGCCAGTCGCTACTGAATTTACTGGACCATATCAATAATTGAATTGGAACGATGTCCTCTGTGAATTGACGTTTGACGTCTGTGTTATAATTTATTTCGTCAGCAAAAATGTTCGAAACACATCGACGTTTATGTTGAATATCTATGTGTAATATGCTATTTATTCGTGACTGTGATATAATCTGTTATACATACTTGGAAAAGTTCGTGGCTGTTATGCTCACAATGCTGTATGTCTTTGTGTACATGTGTTTGTTTTGAACGTAGTTTTGTTTTATTAGTTGTATTGCGACCAGTCGGTTGAGAGTAAGTAAGGATAAGATTTACAGATGAACAACTTCTTTATTACAATTATAAGAGCGACGTTTCGATGTAGGTTCTAACACCGTTATCAAGCAAGTTAAAACCCACACCGAAACGTCGCTCTTAATTGTAATAAAGAAGTTGTTCATTCATAATTCTTATTCTTACTTAATACTCCAACTTCTAAATGCCTATCAAAGAAGTTACGGTTGAGCGTATGTTGGTTTTGGCAGTTTATTTGGAACCCCACAGAAACACGAAAGGGTGTTTTGAGAACAAACGTATATAATATACAATGATATTCTTGTTCTGTTTAGTTGTTATGTAACGCTGACCTCGGCAATATTCTAGTATTCCAGCTGTTCATGGGTGTCGTGCTCATGGACCACCGTTGGTGGTTGGGAGAAATAAAGTGATTTTTATTCCAAGCATTTGATGTCAATTATTGATTGGTCTTATATAGCTGATTGATATTATTCAGAATTTATAACAATACGAATGTTCACGAATAACATTTTGAAGTTTTACTTTGTAGTGTGTGTTGTTTGGAGTGAGTGAGTGAGTGACTTGGGTTTAACGCCGCCTTTAACAGTATTCCAGTTATATCACGGCGTGTCAGCTTAATGTGGGAGGAAAGCCCGAAGTGATGCAGGTCTCACACGTTTACCACTTCGGTGAAACTAACGATCACGGGTATGGTGCTGACAAACCTAGAAACATAATCGGGGCGAAATTGTGTGTTGTTTAGAACGCCTCACTTAGCAGTATTCGTCCCATGTCGTCATGATGACACACAATCAACCAATTGTCTGGGCCTGACCACCCGATCCACTAAGTCGCCTTGTACGACAAGCAAGGGTTCCCCCCTTCTCTCTTCAAAATACCCCGTGGACCACACGAGGGTGACGTCATGACTAATAGTTCAGGAAGCTGTTCAACAGTTCCATGTCGGATATGGAACGGTCGGGTAACCTAGGGGTTAAAGTGTTCGCTCGTCACGCCGAAGACCCGGGTTCGATTCCCCACATGGGTACAATGTGTGAAGCCCGTTTCTGGTGTCCCCCGCCGTCCTATTGCTGGAATATTGCTAATAGCGGCGTAAAACCATACTCACTCACTCTATGTCGGATATCAATCTAGATTCCTTAAGTTTTGGAGTAAGCTATGCTCTGGAAATGAATACAGATAATGATACGGAGCATATCATAGACATGCACGGGTGTGGTGATGACAAACCGATCGTCAATATGGGATTCGAACCCACGGTAAGCGGAGCATGTCTTAGATCACCGTACCACCTGTCACCCGGTTGTGATATCTTAAGATGAGACGAACACGTCACACAAGCCGAATAGTCAATAACGCTTCATTGAACGTATAGTAAAAGATAATTCCAGCCAAGAAAATACCAACATATGAATCTATGATGAAGTCCCCTTTGAGCCCCCGAGATCTATATTGTTTTAAACGTTTGAAAAACATTGGAGAGTCATTATGAAAGATATTTACATATGAATGAAAAAGGATTTGATACTTTTCAATTTGTACTTTCGGACACTAAATGCATAGATATAACAAAATGTGTCACAGTAGCTAATTGTAGAAGTTTTCGGATAACTTTCTCCCCAATATCTAGATATGAACACGTCCCTGGCCTTGGCTGATTTTCTCAGGAAATGTGGCTATACACAGTATTGTTACGTGTCAATTCCCAAACTGAAACAACATTTTAATCCAGAATTTTGTACGTAAAGGAAATTTGTGTGAAACCAACAAACAACCAACAAATGGTATACACTCAACAAATGTAATACAGTTTCACTGGGTTTACAAATCAATACAAATTACTGTTCAGCAATTACTATGGACGTAAACGATAGAGTGGTAGTACAATATTCAATGGCAGTATTAAATATGGTGACAGTGGTCAGTATCAAATACAAAAATACAGTGTTTATAGCAAAAGTCAGTGATAATAGTACATTCACCAAGCGACAACTGGGGTAAAGCTTCCAAGATGACCTTAACAGGGAATCCGGGATGATGAATGATCCTCACACGAAAGCTGGTCTTGATGTATGAATAATGTGAGAGATACGAGAGACACACCCTTGTTCCCTTATATAAGTCTAACTAGCTACTGGAAATTTCCACACAGTTCCATCACAACACAGAATAAACTACATGTTTCCTTAAAACACTATCACAGTCCACGGTGTCCTGGAAGTTTACACATTACACTAGCATCTAAATATAGTAACTGCCTCAAAACTGCCTACACTAAACAGTAATACACTCCTGACAACTAATCACTGCCCAAATACAATGCAATGAGCTTCAAATCTCAAAAGAAACAATGTCAGTTATAAAAAAATACAATCATTGTTCAACAATAAAATACACTGCCATATAATAGTACAAACATAAGGTTAATAATTCTGTTCCGAACTTGCGCATTGTTAGATTGCAATAATTCAATTCTTGATCATGTCTTGATCAAAGGACAACTAGGAAAAAATGTAAGTCATTTGAAAATGCCCGATAATTTTCATAACTATAATGTAAGTTTTTTAGTGATAACTTCAAAATTTAACATTTCCAGTAGACCAATAAGAACCCCCGACATTCCTCGTCTATCAGTTGCACAATGAGGTTCTTCGTAATTAGGCAGGCTATTTGTTCTGTTAACGTGCAACTATAATTGTTATTGCCTGACAATGGACTATACCCAGGAGCAGTGGGGAAATACCACACGTCATGTTTAGAATTATACACGGAAATAATACATCACCAATGAATCATAAAAAAGTTTGTCTATTTATAGAGATGAGTGATGTTTAGGTGCAGCACGTGATGGACTAATCGGACAAAATGAACGAACAACAAAAACATACATTTTCAACTCGGCCAAAGAACCATCTATCACGATGAAGGTTCAAAATGAGGTTGTCCAATTAGTGACGTAGTTGTTGCATTTTCTGCTTTTGAGTCATACAATACACAATTTAAGTTAAGTTTGTATTTACTGGTCCCCAGCAACCAATACAGGTCGTTGTTTGTTTGTTTGTTTGTTTGCCGCACTCAGCCGTATTCCAGCTATATGACGGCGGTCTGTATATAATCGAATCTGGACCAGACAATCCAGTGATCGACATCATGAGCATCGATCCACGCAATTGGGATACGATGACATGCATCAGCCAAGTCAGCGAGCCTGAAGACCTGATCCCGTCGCCTCTTGACAAGCATAGTCGCCCTTTATTGCAAGCATGGATTGCTGGAGACCTATTCTACCCCGGATCTTCACGGGTCCTACGTCACGTCAAGGATTGATGTTCATGATATTATTCACTGGATTCTCTGGGCTAGACTCGATTTTTAACAGACAGCCGTCATATTGCCTAGAGCGGCGTTACACAATTTCAAATAATTCAATAAACGGCATCAAACCATCGCATACGACAGGAAGCTTGTTAATTTGACCCACAACTAATGTCATCGGCTACTTTCAGCTAAAGTCAACTGCTTCTGAAGTTACCGGTTACGAAACATTTCAGGTGAAAAGTGCCTGCAGTGCACGTGTTCGGATCTCTGTGAGGAGTGCCTGCAGTGCACGTGTTCGGATCCCTGTGAGAAGTGCCTGCAGTGCATGTGTTCGGATCCCTGTGAGAAGTACCTGCAGTGCATGTGTTCGGATCCTTGTGAGAAGTGCCTGCAGTGCATGTGTTCGGATCCCTGTGAGAAGTGCCTGCAGTGCACGTTTTCGGATCCCTGTGAGAAGTGCCTGCAGTGCGTGTGTTCGGATCCCTGTGAGGAGTGCCTTCAGTGCGATGAATTCAGAGCATGGGTAAAAGTTGTCGTGAGGATCCTGAGTACCATTCACCGCATTGATTGCGCTCCTTGCAGCATGCAGTGCGCTAACAGACTTGTTCGAGGAGGACGAGTAAGACTTGTTCGAGGAGGGAGGACGAGTACAAGTGCTTCCATATAACCTGAAAAACAAATGCGTTCACTGGTACCAGGTAGTTGGTTCTTACACAATGACCAGTTGAGCCCTTTTGCAACAAAGCAAAAACATTAAAAACACACTTTAACCATCGGTTGTTGAATTGCAAATACAGGAAATAAAGTTATTGTTATACCTTCAGAAATTCAACTCGGTAATGGAACTCTTCCATCTTCGGGACTATTCCTTGTAATCTGGACCTTAGCGTAGATCCATCTCCTAGTGCATGATTGACTTGTTTCTGCCTCTCAAAGGTGTGGTAGTCCCCTCCACTGAGTATATTCTGTGATGGAGAACGTTTGGTGAGGTCCTAACTGTGGCCAGGAACGAACTGGTGAAGACATTCTTTTATGTCGGTCAACTGGTCATTGTATTTTTCATTTTTTGTAGAACTCCGAGTGGTATCTGAAATAAATCTCCAGGGTATAAGTTTCTGAAACAATCATTCATTAATGTATTTTGATAATAGTTTGTTATCGTGCGTAGGTTATAATAGAAACATACTTGTAACAAATGTATACTTGTTTTTAATATGAATAATCCGAGCCTACTGTAGGGTGCTTGTAACTAAATAAAAGTAAATAGAAAATGTGCACCATTTGCATTTTTGGCTTGTCTCCTCATTAAATCATATATTCTTTAGCTTATGCGCATATATAATGTAACATATGGCACTTCTATTAACCAAAGTAATAACAAAACATTAAACGTTTCATGGTGTATGGCATATGTCACTTATATGATTTCTTTTTCATCTGAAAATGTCAAAAATAATATGTCGCATTTGAGGGTATGTCAGTTCAAGGAATGAATGAAGAGAGATACTTGACTCGAGAACATCACAACACATTTCACCATTTACCTAAGACATTGGTCTTGTCTACTATACAAAATATCGACAATAATAACGTGTCATTAATGAAAGAAATGTTTGATGTTATTGTCGCACAATTCGTGTAATCAATCAAATCAATTTGTATCGTTATATGTAGAAGAGCAATAACACATGTAATATATTTTCTCAAACATTATCTGGAAGGCAGAGCGTCTGGTGTATGCTGTGATTACTTTCAGATATCAAACGATAGTCTGATATGTTCAACGTTGTACAGTTGTTTATCAGAGTGTAATCCACGTGACTACACACAATGTACTTTAACATATACCAGAACAGTCTTAATTGTCTTAAATCATGTACAGTATGCTGCAGTGTGTATTTAGTTAACAAAACTGATGTAGTTCTTAACGATTTATTCATCGGACCATATTATGAGATATTTCATCAACTTTGCGTAATCTACCTGACATCATTTTTCGTAAGTAAAAGTTTGACGAGTTTTAAAAGTTTTTATTATCATTTGCAAAGAGTTGGTCCGTTCAATTTACAAAATCTGGACCGGCAACTTTCTAACTTTTTGCCCGTGCCTCTGTCTCGCTATGGTTTTTGTGTGAACACTGACGTTGCAAGCAGTCGCTCGAGGGGGTGTAGTATTGAGGCATAAGCAAGTGGGTGAGGGTGAGTATGTATGATTTTACGCCACTATTAGCACTATTCCAGCACTATCACGGCGGGGGTCACCAGAAATTGGTTTCACACATTGAACCCATGTGGGGAATCGAACCCGGCCCTTCGGCGTGACGAGCGATCGTTTTAACTACGTTTAGAGGTTTTGGGCTTCTGCCGCGATCCAATCTGATTAAAATCAGATCTAAGTTCTCGCTACCGCTAAACAAAGATCTGAGGACATCCCATTACGGGTCACGTCAGACCGACCTTGCGCGAACTTTGACCGACCAATGGAATGACCAATCAGAAGGCAGCTTTCTCGTGCTTTACGGCACAAATTGCAAATTGGCGACTACGCTTCGAAACATATTTTGACAAATTCTCGATTACAAATTTGGAACAAACAAACATTCTGGAATGGCTAATAGATGGTCTAGATTGTAAGGATTCAGTTATTAAACCCGTAACTATCGTTCGGAATACCCCATGTTAAAATTTTCGAGATTGCATGATTAGAAATCACATTCCGACTGTCACTTTCATAATCTGGTAGGCGACGCACTGATTGGTCGGATGAAAGGTCGGTCTGACGTGACCCCTAATGGGATGTCCTCAGATCTTTGTTTAGCGGTAGCGAGAACTAAGGTCTGATTTAAATGAGATTGGCCGCGATCCAGACATCGTCCAAAAGAGTTTTAGCCCTGTTATATAACAAACAATAGTTTGCAAAAGAAGGGACAAAACCATTTACACATCATGAGAAATGTCTGTTAAAAGAGGAGACTCTTTCACGATTCCGACTATATCATAGGCATGTGTTTTTGAATCACTATCAAAAAGTGATCATACCAGATGTTCGCGAAAAGCGTGTCCTGCCTCACCGGTAGCACCCGTCACAAACAAACCAATGGTCGCCAAACGCCATTTAAGTTGTTTTTCAATATGCTTATAACGAACTCAAAGGGACCACTTATTTTAGTTCGTTATAACCGTTGTTCGTTATACTCATATGCACAGCATATACTCAGGAAATGGCCGGGACAAAAACAGTTCGTTATATCCGCCAGTTCGTAATGAAGGTGTTCGTTATAAACGTAGCTTACTGTATTTGCCATGGTGACCATATATACAGCCTGAAGCTCTTTAACAAATGCTGATGCTAATGCCATACAGATATTTTTTATGAATAATTAAAGTAAAACCTTATCATCTAGCATCGTTGGCACATTGAAGTCACACAATGAAAGTATAAAATGGGCCCGACTGGAAGCAGAAGTGTTTCATGACGTCATTGTGAGAGTTTTGGGCCAGAGAATGAGAAACAAATTCCTGTGCATAACTGAATATTGGAGGCTCCCGTGATGAGCAATGATGCCTCCCTACCCCATTACGCTCCCATCACCGAATGCAGAACGTTGAACAACGCACGCGTAAACGTAACGTTCCATCTGACGTAACGATAACCACGTTGACGGCCATCACTGCATCTGTAAAGGGGACAAGCCTCCTGTAGCTTGAACCTCAGATGTTGTCTTGGCAATGTAAATTGATGTACAACTGGACGTCGTGGTCGGGTGTTACGCTCTCGTCCTCGATTCCCCTCAGTCCTTGCACTTATCAGACGTAAGACAGGGATGGCGGAGAGTTGCAGTTTGACGTCACTCGTGGGTGTCCCGAACGTGTCGCCAGTTTTGGGGTACGGACCCCAGAGTGACATATGGTGTTACGATGAACATCAAATCTCATAACGTGTTTATGTTGTGACTGTCAGATATTCCGCTCACGGGGAATCTCTATAGCGCCCATGCTGTGACTCTCCTCCACCCCGACCCCCTCGGATAGACACCGCCACGGGTCGAATTCTATACCCTTAACTCGGGTAGATAGCCGTCACTGATCGGAGACCAAACTCGGGTAGACCCTGCCACGTTTCAAAACCTGCTCCTCAACGTCGAGAACGGATCGACGTCGCACATCCCAACCCCGGGTTGACACCCCCCGCCACAGGTCTCAGACCGTGAACCAGATTCGGGTGGACACCCGCCCACGACTGGTAGACACCCGCCCTTGTCGGAGACTGTTCAACAAACTGTAGTAGACTCCACGACGGGTAGACACCCGCCCTTGTCGGAGACTGTTTATCAAACTGTAGTAGACTCCACGACGGGTAGACATCCGCCCTTGTCGGAGACTGTTCATCAAACTGTAGTAGACTCCACGACTGGTAGACACCCGCCCTTGTCGGAGACTGTTTATCGAACTGTAGTAGACTCCAAGACGGGTAGACACCCGCCCTTGTCGGAGACTGTTTATCAAACTGTAGTAGACACCACGACTGGTAGACACCCGCCCTTGTCGGAGACTGTTCATCAAACTGTAGTAGACTCCACGACTGGTAGACACCCGCCCTTGTCGGAGACTGTTTATCAAACTGTAGTGGACTCCACGACTGGTAGACACCCGCCCTTGTTAGCACCACACACACACACACACACACACACACGCGACCCCCGATCCCTCTAGACGTGTTCGGGTAGGGGTCATATCAGTTTGTTGTCCTCGAGGTTCAAGTTGAACATGTGTCATTTTGTTCAACACAGTTACCACCCTACGTTTGTGTGATAGCATCATAAAATGACTCGGCACAACACGGGTTGCTGGGTCATTAAACGAACACTGACCACGTTTCCTATGTAGGTCAAGTCACACACAGCTATAATTCTATAGTTGTAAATCCGTGCTCTGAATTCAAACTATAATCCCGTCATGAGTGTGGTTCGTTAGCCCCTTTTCCAAATATACACCAACTGGCCTCATCGGACGTTGTGAATGTTATCCGAAAATGAGACTATTTAATATTTGGAGAAATAGCACAATGCCTATTACGTACTAAAACGTGAAACCAACGGTGAATGTGTCCAGCTATATCACGACGGCCTCTAAACAATCGATGTTAACGATATTCCATTATGAAAAAGTTTTATTCATTTGCAATTTATTCAATTAATTTTTTTCATTATTTACACAAGCACAAAACATGTATTTCGGTCAGATCCTCCCCGCCCAGTACCAAATTTCCTTCATAAATTAAAAAAAAGCAGCTCCCCATCCACTACTTTCCTACGCGTTTCCATTAATAATCTTGGCCAATATTAGGAGAGGACAAGTCAATTGCATCAGTCAGCCTCTATTCGGGTATACCGGCCTCGTTATGGGTAGGGGCGTGGGCACACAGCATATGCCGCAGTGTCAAGGCCAGAAGATCCGTCCCGTGCAGTGTCACTGGGGCAGGGTCTGTGACTGACGCCATCATGTCTACCGGAAGATTCCTCCACTTCGCCTATGCCAGCAACATGCTGAAGGAACGCATGCTCTGCTACAACCCTATGGCGTTAAAGATATTTAGGGGTCCTGCCAAGTTGGAGGTAAGAACAGAGGTCTATGAAATCAGATGATACGTTGTATGTTACGACATACATAAAACTATGCGTGTTTTGCGAGGGGGATGCTTTTTGCTTGTTTAAGAAACATTGAAACTTGTTTTGTATAACATATATGTTTTAATATTAACTCCTAGAAAGAACAACTTGTAAAGCTTGGATAATTTACGAAATACTGGGTGAGTAAATTTGGTTTAACGCCGCTTTGAACAGTATTCCAGTTATACCAGGTCGTGTCATCTTGGTAGGAAAGCTTGAAGTGATACAGGTCTCAAACGGTAAATATACCACTTTGATGAAACCCACGAGCATGGGTATGGTTGTGACAAACCAAGAAACATAAACAGTGCGATTCTTGGACCGAACTCTGCTCCAAAGAATTACAGCGCCTGTGATCATTGGTGTACCCGCTTTCCCACTGAAAGAATAACTGAGTTATTGAATGACTAGACTCACTTTGTGGGTTTTTTGTTTGTTTGTTTGTTTTTGTGTTTTGTTTTGTTTTGTTTGTTGATGTTTTGTTATGTTTTGGGGGGCTTTTTTGGTTTTTGTGGGGAGGGGAGAGGCTTTGATTTTGTATGGAGACTTGATATTTATTCAGCAACAGCTGCAAAACCAGATATTTCATTTGATTATTATAAATTTATGAGTCTAAATTGTTTTTTTGCATTGGACATCAATGCATTGTTTGTGGCTGACAATTTCTTTGAAACAGTCTTAAGCATATTTTGTTCAAGCATTTTCGGGGACTATCTATTTTGTTTTGATAAAATGATCCGAGCCCACATTTTATAAGTTCCCGTGATTCCAGAATTACCGTCTGGCATTTTGCCGTGATTGGCCGTTACCAGGAGTCTGGCAAGGACCAACAGCTAATCTCCGGAAGTCACCAGGCAGCCATGTTTGGGGGGTGATCTGGGAACTGGAAGACAATGTGAAGGCCGAATTGGATAGGTAATCTGGACGTCTGAAGTTTCATTGAATATTCCTTGAACTTCTATTGGGTGACATTCCGTAATAAAATAGGATCTACTGTATATGTTTATTTTTCATCACCGTAAATCTTCACGACAATTAAACTAGCCAGACTTTTGAAACAGAAATGTTCACTTGTATAACACATGGAGGGTACTGTGACGATACAGGAAGATGGTTTGAAACAATCATGGACGGGCTCAAAGGTGGCTCGGCAACGCCCGTCCCAGTACCACAGCTGCTGCTAATTGGTTAATTCAAACATAGGATGTTGTTACAGAATATATTGACATCTGTGTCAGTCACCAATGGCAACTATTGCCATAAAGTCTACACATTTATGAATGTGTCCTCTTAAACAACCGGCTGTTGTAAACATGACGTCATTCTTTGCAGTTTCCCGTGGCAAGGGCTTTGACTGACAATAAAAGTCCAGTTTCCGCCTCATGGCTCGATCGTAGTGGAAGCAGTGGCTATTACGAGTTATGTCCCTCCTATTGACCTATCAGATTCCACCTTTCATATCACCTGCCTTTGCTTCAAACAACATGGCGGCGCCCGGCCAAGACGATCTGATCGATAGTCAAGACCTCTTTTGTAATAAAACGAGTCTTTCCTCGCATAGTGCCTAAACTCATCTGAGCACCTTCATAAACAAACCCATGAAAATCGTTGAAAGCCATGTTGTTCACGAACCGGATGTCGATTTCGTTACGCGATTTTGATTGGATTATGCATAGACTCGTTAGTCCAGCCAAAGTGTAATTCCGGAAGCACAGCCTAGTTCGGCAAGGGTGGAAACTGTATCTTTATGCAAACGCAGGATTCGGGGGTCTATTCAGGACTGAGCAGGGTGGTACGCGGGACACACATATAATTGTATTTAGTCCGCAGAATCAACATTTAAAGCAAATTAATGGTGTACACAACCGTCTCAACGTTTCCTTTGTAACATTTGATTTTTTCGATACCATGCGTGTGTGTGTGTGTGGGGGGGGGGGGGGGGGGGGGGGGGGGGGGACTTCAAATCACTTTTCTCAATGCTATTGAATATTATATTTATTAGTATTCAGGATTCATGGTGAGCAATGAGACTCTGAGGGAAACATTAGATAGTATTCGAGATTCATCATTATTGATGAGCACCGTATATCACAGAAAACATATACTCTTTTTTATAAACTTAATATGATAACTGTCGCAAGAGCTCATCCTGAAACGTGTGTTTGTAACTTTCTCACATGTTGGCTTTTTCGTATTATCGCTGCAGTCAAGAAAATACTCACCAAGGACTCGACCTGGAGGTGACTGACCTTCAGGGTAACAAGTTCATATGCTACGGCTTTGCTATGCGTGAAGGTCAAGGTCAGGAGGAGCTCCCTTCACCGCAGTATAAGGACGTAATAGTGCGTGGAGCTCAACAGAGCAACGTTCCGGAGGAGTACATTCAAACTCTGAAGGGTCTGCAAGACAACGGCTTTAGCGGTCGTGTTGCCGTGTATGAAGACGTCCTGGCGATACTGAAAAGGCAGCCTTGACAATAACGTGGAAGTCGACACAGTGTTACTGTGGCATATATTCCCGTCGAGGTCATATTTAGATGGTAACAGTGAAATGGACTATATTGGGCACAGCTTGTTACTAGGATTGACGGATACTATATAAAGTTAATTCACCTAATTTTTCAGATCAATATATATTGTATATTATTATAGATATATGTCACATTATCTCAAGCCCAATAATTTCCAAGTGTTGTTCTAAAGTTGCCTTGTATTTTACAATACAATTACAACAGTAAGTATACTGCTTCTTGTATTCTGTTATAGACACATGTTAGGAGACTTGAAAGCGGTATTCCACTGTGTGAGTGTGTATATGAAGAACCGGGACTTAGAATTACTAGACTCTATATCACAACTGGGTCGCTTCTCTCAGGCACTGCTAAACGCGGTTATTTAGTAAATTTTGTTTATTTTTGTTTCTGAAACTTAGTACGAATGACATGTATTTTAACGGCATTACTACTAGCCTTTGTTTTCGCTTCATTCACACATTGCATCTTTTAGCCTTTGGTGTGCGTTTCCTCAGTATGGATACTTAATAAAGGACATCTACTCTACGAAAACACTCGTCTAATAATCTATTTTTTTTTTTAAAAAGTCTGAATACAGAGCACCGGGAACAAGTACGCGATGTCTGCAGTAACTGGTGGCGGCTTGCTCTACTTACCTGCATTTATATACAGGTCTCCCACAGGCTAACAGGAATATGAATCCTGCATAATGACAAGAATTAGTAAAAAATACATTCCATGTCAGAAACTAGCAGGATCAGTCAAGTGAATGTAATAATGTTAATGTGTTCATTCAGGCGTATATCGAATGAGTTAAAAGTGATGTGCATAGACAAAACTTCTAACTGTGTTTGAAAGTCGGTGAAAGGAACACAATTAACAACTCACATCCACCGTGTGTGAGGCCATTGCTGAATGAACCTTCAGAGTATGTAGGCTAAACTGTATGATCGTCGGAACATGCGACTTGGAACTCATACAAAGTAAATGTCATTTTTATAATTACTTATATCCCTATTTTATACCTCGAAAGGTGTATACACAATTTTAGAATAAATATGTTCCTCAATAGGTGAGGTGTCATGAACGTACGTATGCCCATATCGCTTTACTGTAACATCGTTGTATATTGTTTGGTTACAACATATATATTTTTTGATAGGCATCACTTAGAAGTTCACCGATGACAAAGTAGACACAATTTTTGGATAACAACTTCTTTAATACTGTAAAGGCAACGCTTCGGTATAGATCCTTATACCGTTGTCAAGGATCTATACCTAAACGTCGCCTATACAGTATTAAAGAAGTTGTAATACATACATTATGTCTACTTTAAGATATAAATTACCAAATGAACCTGATTTTTGTATCCCCGAGTGTTCAAGTTGTCATTTACGATCACGAGGCGTGTTTTCTTGTCGTCGCAAATGTCCCCCCCCCCCCCCCCCCCCGCCCCCCACCAAACTATCCACCAACTCCTCCATATGGGTTGACCTCTTGGGCGCATCTACGTGCCACCCTCCCTCCATACACACTGGCTCTTTCATGAACCCGATGCAGAGGAAGCGACGCTCGACCGTGTAGAGTATGCCCTATGCCAGTGACGTCGCTGCCAACGTCATACAGGTCGTGCCCATTGCACTCCATGTCTTACGGAAGGTACCGTTCTACGGAAGGGACGATGGGCTCTGACACCAGCACCGCGTTGACGTCGAATAATGGGGTGGCCCAACGCCGTTGCAGCCGTTGGCGTCGCCTTAACGAACCTGTTGCGGAAGTGGATCGAATGGATATGGCGGTATAAAAGGATGCTTCTGAATTAGTTTTGAGACGCCCCCCTTGTCTGCCTACCGTTCTCTCCTAACAAAAATAAATCGGTCACAACGACTTACGGCCCCACCAGAGCAGCCTTTTCCCCATGATTTTGTACCCAAGCGAAGCAAAGGTCGCTCTCGTGACATCCCCCCATGGTGAGATGTTATCAGTGAAGTGGGCTATATTGTACACAGATTGGAGTATTAACGGATTCCACACTAACTGTATTTGCAGAAATGTGAAAGCATTATTACCGAATTGAATACTTCACTACAAGAGTTTGAAATATATTTATGTAAATTTCCTTGGGCGAAGAAAATTTATAAATTTGCATGCCTAAGAAAGTTGTGTATTACTTAGGATATCAAGGTCTATTGACCTGTATTAACACAAGGTAACCAGACAAGATTACACCATGCAAAATAAATCTGTCCTCGTTGAAGGAAAGCAAAACGGTTAGGTTAATATCACATTTTGGTGATAAGCGAAACTATGGTTATAAGTTAAAGCACACCGTTATTCCATAGAACACATCTACACAAACCGGGCTAAAGTCTCCGTCTACAAGTAGTGCTCAACACAGAGTGTTATATCTATGTTTCATGAACTATGTATTTGTAATGATACGTATACTGTACTGGGTGTTAAACATAATAGGTTTGTCCATGTTACTGTTCAGTCTCAGGAACAGTCAACACCACTTCTTATGTAGCAACAAATTTGTTATTGCCACGTCCTTGTGCGCTAGTACATTCCATTTGGTACTGCGGTAGTAGTCATAAGTTAATATATTTTGCTGCTATTAATATATTATCAATTTATCACGAAGCTATGCTGTTATACAACTATGCATACATCACGGATCGGTTTTAGAGATACTTTTAGGAACATACCAAGTTTCATGCTATATTAGGGGAAGGTGTTGATTGCTTGATCTGTTATACCAGGCATGAAACCATGATCGTAACAGAACCCTTACAACATGGTATATGTTCTCGATGTCAATACTCTCTGTTATTAAGTCATGTTCCAACGTGTTTATGATTACGTTATATCTATGACCGATATAGATAGGAGATTTTGAAAAATAGGAGTAAAAATCTAGATGAAGGTCAAATAGGTGAAGGAGTGGGTGGGTTAGCCTGGTGGTTATAGTGTTCGCTCGTCACCCCGAAGACCTGGGATCGATTCCCCACACAGGTACAATGTGTGAAGCCCATTTCTGATGTCCCCCGCAACTGTCGACCAAAAGAAAGTCTTCACCCTTATTTGAACGTTGCTGAAAATAAAACAAACAAGAAATGGTTATTCAGTTGGAATGTATTTGAGACGGGTTCCATGGTTATATCTTGGGCTTAATGAGTGTGGGGTCTCCGCGACAGTTCTGAACCTAATAACGTTTAGTAACATTTGGTAACTTTTGCTAACGTTGGTAATTGTTTGGTCAAATGCACTTTGAAGTGTCTACTTTCTTTTCCTCCAGTTTACATGTATAAAGGACAATCATTTGCTTTATATTTCATACATCATGCTTTATATTTCATACATCATGCTTCATACATCATACATCATGCTCCATACGTCATACACCATGCTTCATACCTCATGCTTCATACGTCATACATCATGCTTCATACGTCATACATAATGCTTCATCATCATGCTTCATACATCATACACCATGCTTCATACGTCACACATCATGCTCCATACGTCAAACATCATGCTTTATACGTCATACATCATGGTTCATACGTCATACATAATGCTCCATACGTCATACATCATGCTTCATACGTCACGCATCATGCTCCATACATCATACATCATGCTTCATACGTCATACATCATGCATCATACGTCTTACACCATGCTTCATACGTCATACATCATGCTTCATACGTCATACATCATGCTTCATACGCCATGCTTCATACGTCATACACCATCCTTCATACGTCACACATCATGCTCCATACGTCATACATCATGCTTCATACGTCATACATCATGCTCCATACGTCATACACCATGTTTCATACGTCACACATCATGCTCCATACATCAAACATCATTCTTCATACGTCATACATCATACTTCATATGTCATACACCATGCTTCATACCTCATACATCATGCTTCATACGTCATACGTCATGCTTCATACATCGTACACCATCCTTCATACGTCACACATCATGCTCCATACGTCATACATCATGCTTCATACATCATGGTTCATACGTCATACATCATGCTTCATGCGTCTTACATCATGCTTCATACGTCACACATCATGCTTCATGCGTCATACATCATGCTTCATACGTCATACATCATGCTACATCCGTCATACACAATGCTTCATACGTCATCAGCCATACTTCATACATCATATACTATCCTTCATACGTCACACATCATGCTCCATACGTCATACATCATGCTTCATACGTCATACATCATGCTTCATACGTCATACATCATGCTACGTACGTCATACATAATGCTTCATACGTCATACATCATGCTTCATACGTCATACATCATGCTAAATACGTCATACACAATGCTTCATACGTCATACATCATGCTTCATATATCATACACCATCCTTCATACGTCACACATCATCCTCCATAAGTCATACACCATGTTTCATACGTCATACATCATGGTTCACACGTCATACATCATGCTCCATACGTCATACTCCATGCTTCATACGTCATGCTCCATACATCATACATCATGCTTCATACGTCATACATCATGCTTCATACGTCATACTACATCCTTTATAAATCATACACCATCCTTCATACGTCACACATCATGCTCAATACGTCATACATCATGCTTCATACGTCATACATCATGCTTTTTACGTCATACACCATGCTTCATATGACATGCTTCAAACGTCATACATCATACTTCATACGTCACACATCATGCTCCATACGTCATACATCATGATTCATACGTCATACATCATGCTTCATACGTCATACACCATGCTTCATACGACATGCTTCAAACGTCATACATCATACTTCATACGTCACACATCATTCTCCATACGTCTTACACCATGCTTCATACGTCATACATCATGGTTCATATGTCATACATCATGCTCCATACGTCATACACAATGCTTCATACGTCACACATCATGCTCCATACATCATACATCATGCTTCATACGTCATACATCATGCTTCATACGTCATACGTCATGCTTCATACATCATTCACCATCCTTCATACGTCACACATCATGCTCCATACGTCATACATCATGCTTTTTACGTCATACACCATGCTTCATATGACATGTGTCAAACGTGATACATCATACTTCATACGTCACACATCATGCTCCGTGCGTCATACATCATGATTCATACGTCATACATCATGCTTTATACGTCATACACCATGCTTCATACGACATGCTTCAAACGTCATATATCATGATTCATACGTCATACATCATGCTTTTTACGTCATACACCATGCTTCATACGATATGCTTCAAACGTCATACATCATACTTCATACGTCACACATCATGCTCCATACGTCAAACATCATGCTTCATACTTCATACATCATGCTTCATACGTCATACATCATGCTAAATACGTCATACACAATGCTTCATACGTCACACATCATGCTCCATACATCATACATCATGCTTCATACGTCATACATCATGCATCATACGTCATACACCATGCTTCATACCTCATATATCATGCTTCATACGTCATACATCATACTACATACGTCATACACAATGCTTCATACGTCATATATCATGCTTCATACGTCATACAT